GGTACAAAGAGAGTAAAGAAGATTTTAAAGTCCGCCATTCAATTTTCCGCCAAGTTCCAATTTCACATCTATTTCCGTATTCGGGATCCTGCGGGATGCTGGCGGCTGGAGACTCGACGCTCCGTAATTTAGCACAGAATAAACTGAATGCCATTCGTTACCGTAACCCGAGGCGCAGACGATGCCGCGCGGCAAAGACGCGAAATACGTAGAATTGAAAGTTCTTAGAAACTCGCCCGTCGTCCTCTACCGAACCGGTATAGAACGTTGAAGAGTAAATTCGCCAATTGAGAATAGTAAAGGATAAGCGGGACCCTTCGATAAATTCTGAATATATATATATATATATATATATATAATTTTCAAATAATCCCTAAGACAACTTACAGACCATTCTAATACAAGGGTTGCATCCCTTAAATTCTCCAATAACAATAATCGAGTATTTGATCGTATCGAAAAATCTACGTGTGCAGTTAAGCCCTAGTGGACCGGATATCCGGAAATATCCTTCAGCCAACCCCCACCTAGGGTTGGCATCATCGTCCGTGTGGTAATACGAAATATGACAGGCGCTCACGGACAGGTAACCAGAATAGTCGTGAACACGGTCCGGGAATACTGGGAAATACCTGGAAATCCCGCCAGGGCGCCTAACGAGCGGTTTCCTGTTTAGCCCCGGTCCTGCTAACCCCAGTTGGTATGCCTGACAGTACGGGATTAATACGTAGAATTCCACGTAAGACCGACGGGTCCATCCGGAACGGGACGTCCAAGCAGGACACAAAGATCACTGTCGTTCGGTCAGGTATTAAGGATAGTAAATATTTCGTCTCGTGGAAAAATCATAATTTTCATTTCTGTACCGGAAGTCCCATCCTGATGAGGTAATCGACAAGAAACATTAATTACGACCCGAGGGAAAACAAACGACGACCATCGATATGTTTTCGTCTGCCAGACTTTGCTGCCAGGGATGAAAAACATCCCCCCCGTACAGTCCCGATAGAAACCGAAAACGGAGTGACTGAATAACAAGTGAAACCGGAAGTGCTGGTGGAAGCGGAAGGAAGGGGGTCACCCCCCCGGAGACGAGTTAAGAAAACTCGGGTAATTATGCAATTTCCTTACTTAAGACTGAATCGTTAAGGATGAAGCGAGTGTCGGGGAGGTAGGGGATGGTTTAAAAAAAAAAAAAGACACCATATATGTATATAAGTTACACAACGTAATCAGCACATCCTTAATTCACCCTTATACGTTTTCTTCCATTTACTTAGCCCAAGAGCCACGGTAATTAAATAAGCTGAGTTTATCTGAAAAATTTCGGTCTCTTTCTTCCTCTCTTATTTCTTTTTTCTTCTCTTTCCTTTTCTCAACATTTTTCTTACGCCTCTGTACCACTCCACCTACTTCGTTATTAACTTCGACTTTCTCTTATTATACTTTGTCGTTTGGCTCCTATCTCCTCGCGTCACAATCAAGCGTCGAGTCGACGCTCGACGGCATCTTTTACTACAGGGAGATTCAAATCGAAACGCCAAGTAGTTGCGCTCCGGCTGGATCTCGTGACTCTTATTTGACTTTCGTTCCACCCGGTATATATTCGAGTGACTCTCTATCGTCTTTTCCAAGGTATCCCAGGGTGGCCTACAAGTACGATAATGGCCTGTTCTCGAGATAAGGAACTTACGATAAACCATGCACTGACTCGGAGATTCGACTATTTTGATAACGAAGCGTCGCGACGCTCGTGCCTTATCGTCCCTTGTATTTCAGTTGGGACATTACTTCTTTTTTGCTAAGTACACGCTTTTCGATAAGCACGTATATACGGGGTGTGCAATATTTTTCGAAAATTTTACATCAAATCACGCTCGCTGAATATCAATTTTGTGGCAAATAATTTTTTTTTGTAATTTGATTATTTAATTTTTGTCGAGATCGAATTTTTTTTTGTCGACTTATCGCTAATCCAAATTAGCGTATCTCTCGTTCATTTTGTCAAAATCAAATTGGAGATCAGTCACACTTCCGGTTAACGGACAAGTATTGACCTCAAACTTCCAACCGGAAGTTTAAACACTTCCGACGGAAGTCCTTTCAGTCTGGTATCTAACCTCGGTTTCGGATCCTCGTGGATCGGGGGTAGTTAGCACCCTCTTTCTAAGGGATCAAACTACGGATTTTAACCCCATTGCGTGTAATCGGATGTTCTTCTCGCAGGGTGGGAGCTACCCCCGGGTGGGAACAGATGTCGCCATGCCCGAAATAGAAGTTCTCGGTCTTCAATATGGCGGACGAGTTCACTAACAGCTGATCTTAAGCGGGAATCCCGGATGCCGTCATAGCGCTAAGCCGGACGTATCGGGGTAACTGCTGGTGTTATTGTCTTAGCCGAAAAGCACTCTTAACGAGGGCTAAATAGTTCATCCGTATCCGGCCGAAATTTTCTTTACTACAAATTACGAATATATTGGCAACGAATTTTATTCTAGAAATTCGTTCGAACTTTCGGGTCGAACTTTTTTTTAAAATCAAACTACCAATGACTAATATTTCGAATAGCGCATCGTGCAGATTTAGAAATATTTGTGTGATTCACTTTTTTTTAATTTCGAACCACGGTGTTAAATCATTAATAGCTAATTGAACTAGAATTTAACCTCAAAATACAATTTAATACTGACTTAATAATAATGAACGACACTGTATAGAAATCAGCTCCATATGGGTTATTAATTATCAAAATTAATTATCAAAATTAAATTATACGTAATAAACACTAAACAATACACTCGATAAACGTGATAAAGACTGATAAACAATTTCACGTGGAAAATATACAACGATCGCACCGACAAATAACAATTACGAAAATGGATGTAGTACATACAGATATACGTACGTACTGTGTAAAATATATTATGACCAAATGATGCGAACGAATGCCTGCTGCCTGATATAACACGACTCACCCGGTATGTCACTGTTGTTTTATACTAATAATGCAAAACGTACAGTTTTGCTCCGCCATTGATAACGGAGTATCGCGACGCCCGCGTCGATAAACGGTACTAGTAATTCTACTGCGATTTAATATCCGGTCGGTAGGAATTCTAATTAAAAAAATAAATAAACTATCACCAAATCGAGCACTAATTTTATTTACGACACTCGATCAAATTGGCGAGCTAATTGCAATTGGCGTTTCAAATATGTGGCTTATTGGTAAATACTCAAAAAGGTCTATTTTTAAATATTTTTCTTTTTTCCCAATTCTGGGAAATCATTAGAGCTTTAACAGAGCTCCGCGGTTTTCGTACGATTTCGCAGTGTTCGCGTAATCCTTGAAAAACTATTATAATATGCAGAACAAATACACAATATACGTGTATATATATATACAGGGTTATTCACGGCAAACGCACCAGCTGAAATTGGCCCTGAATGGATGATTTCATGAATCAGAGCAGAGTAGGCATAATGAAAGAAATAAAAGTTAATGTCATAAAATTCCTAAGATCATGTATTTTACGTTATTTAATTGGTTCGACAAGGCCACGCTGCCTCGACTAACAGAATTGTTCAATCGCGTCCAACTTCAGCTGGTGCGTTTTCCGTGAATAGTCCCGTACATATACGTTACTTCTTGTTATATAATTGCGGGCGATAGAGCCCTGAGAAAATCTATATCTATTCGCGGATATGTAATATTCATGTACTAATATGGATATTATATTCCTGCCACGTACCAATTCATTATGAAGGCTTTCACACGAGGATTCTGCAATCATTATATCTTTCTATATATATACGCCTGCAGCGTCACTGCGCCAGTCAACAACGCGATGCTGCCAACACAAGGACGAGATAATTCCTATTGTTCCGAGAACCGGACGGCCCCGAGGGCTTCTGCCACTTCAAAGCAATTCGGCTTCTCACGTTCACGTCCCGGCGGTAAATGAACTGCCCGTGAGGCAGGCCCGGGAATGCTGTCCTCCAGAAGTGAATTTAAAAAATATTGGAGTCGAATGAGTATTGTTTTCTATTCGAAATACAGAAGAAAGCAGCGCGCCAATCTCAATTCGTATTGTTAAACGAGACCGCGCGTACGATTAGATTGATTGTGAATGGATTCTCGGATATTTTGTTATGAACCCATAGAAATTTGTCGATGCTTTTATATGATGTACTGTATGGTATAATAAAGCCTTTTCAGTTAATTCAAATGCACGCATAGTTATTTACGTCATATTCATGACACAAGAGACTTTATTCAAAGAATCCTTAAAGTATTGTTGACCAGTCGCGCCATCTCTCGTTATCCGCATGAAACAGTCTGACGCAAATCAAGATCGATGAACTTCGAGGGTAAGTCTGTCGCTACGTTTCGTGGCGACATCTATACCACAGCATTGACATTGCTACCAACTGATGCTCACTGACCTCTTATCAACATCGTTGCATAACTCCACTAAGCCAGTACGACAAAATAAGAGATGACGAAGAGGATGATACTTATGTCTTATACATGCGTATTTATGTAAATAATCAATAACTCACTTGAATCATTGATGTGTGCTGGCAAGCAAGACAAAACTCCCCGCTGTTGGTCCTCGCGAAATTAGACCCTCCCAATCCGCGTACACCGCACTGATCTCCGTACATTCGCCAAGTTTTCGAGTCTCACTTGTCACTCACGCACTACGCATTGTCACCACTACTTAACGGACTTACGAACCGGACACTATCGCTAGCCTCAAAAAGGCTTGTGTTTTATTTACCCTTAAAGAATAACAGCGTAGTTCTGGAATGTATTATTGGTGGCGCTTACGATGGAAAAGCGACGCGCGCAAGTAGCCACATCGATTTCGTTGAATTCGAACTGAAGCGCTTTTACGATATCTCACCAGGATAAGAAACCGGTAAGCCCTGTGACCGATCCTTATGACAACTTCCAGGATAACTTAGCTACTACGGAGAAAATATAAAGGATCTTCATTGATGGGCTAACCTATAAAATATATTTTATGGCTATATTCTTAATGCTCGACGCGGAAGAAGGGATCGGACCTATGTTGGTACACGGGGGATACCTGGGGAATAATATCCAAAGAATAACCTAGCGATTTGGATCTTTTTAAAATTAAATAAAACCCCGAAGGCTGAAGCTACGTTGGAAGGCACGACTAGGGTGCTGTGCTAGTGGAAAATGACTAAATAATTCGGGAGACATTGCCAAGACAAACTACGAGGTAAAGTTTCAAGACATGATGTCCCGGTTGGTTTCAGATGTACCAAGAGGATCTGATCTCACCGTACCGGCATCTCGGAGGCCATAGGAGGTTATAGCAGGTACAGGGTATGGCTTCGAGATAACTTTAAATGAATTATTTATCACGATGGAATTAAGTTTAAATATTTCATCAGCCAACTAATCTCTAGGGTACCGAAGAATTTATTTACGAAGCTCTTGTCCTGCGCGAAGAAGCGTTACTACGTTGAGTTAGGCCGCCTCGAAACGGTACTTTACACGTTCGTCCAGGTTGACTTCGTTCTAGGACGAATTGATTGTATCGGTTTGTTCACAAGATTCTTCAGAATATCACACTACCACGTTTTACAAGCTGTTCTATCATTTTCTTCTCACTGAGGTGTCTCTCCTGCAGCGACTCCAAGTGGGGATCATACAGTGGCTTCAGGGATCTGGGACCACGTAAAGGACTGGGGCACGTTCCTGTACAAGATCTCGATTTCCTGGATGGTAACGTGACGCCGGAAGTGACACTCTTGGTACGAAAGTCCTTCACGTCTCCTCTCAAACCTTCCTGTGTATCCTTAGCATCGCAGGACTCAGCTTTGCAGGAACGTACTTTCTAAAATTCCGAAAAAAGAAATTCAATTTTCTCCAGTCCATCAAATTTCTCGTCTGAAGAATTTTCACTTTTTATCTCTTTATTTCAACGATCCTATATTCCGCTGTTATCTATTTGGGCTTGTACCTCGATCGATGGTAAAAAAAAGATGGAAAAAAGACAATAAAGAAAACCACATTGTTTTACCTCTGGGACACAATGGTTTCTCAAATGATCTTGATGGTAATTTTTCTGGTCTATTCGCCTTAACGGTAAAAATAAAGAAATCAGTGAGCCGCGTTATCCCCATCGCTACTGTATAAGTGAAAAGAGGAAACTGATGGAAATTTAGAAAAACGAAAACGAAACCCCCATTCTTATTTACAATCTGCCAGGGTCGCTGGAGAGTGACTCCACTGATCCTATACTGCATAGAATATAAACCAGACGTATCCAACGACATAAAGCATCTATATTCAAAGAACTGGGGAAAAAAAAAACAAGCAATAATCTAACCCTGTATAAATTCTACGACTGTATAAATTCCTTAGGATTGTTAAATCTATTCAAAATTCTCTCTGTGCCATATCAAAGGAAGACATGTCAATTCTAAGTGAAATAGAATTTTCAGGCTGTATTGAACATGGCTAAAGGGATAGAAATTCTTTGGAGAGTTAGAGAATAAATTGAATTCCTAGTGGTGCTAGCCAACGGCAAAGGCTGATGCATCCTAGCCTAGGTAGAGATGCACGTGAAGCACACTTCCGGAAGAGCGACGTATAAAACCTAATTTCAGTACTAGGTATTTCCTGGCCAGTGCAAGACGGCTGACACGAAACAGGGTTATCCACGTGGGGTAGCACGTATCCCCAATTTCAGACTGTGCTGCTGCTGGTGGTCGCTGCGGCCAGGAACAGTTGCTTTGTGCGTATAATTGGATTTATGTTCGGGTAATGCCTGGCTACGTGATGGCATTCCAACGCTGGCCCCAGGAAGTACCTGCCTATGGCCTACCCGACCCTATGCAACGAGGGCGATACTTTTTCTTTCCTACCTCACGGACCACCGCCACCACCCCTCGAGGGCCTCTTTTATTTTCGCCATTAAGCTCCCTACTAATTAGCAGGTAAGTCCAAGCAGCACCAGAGGACTACTCCTGCCTGTAGAGGCCACTAGAAAGAGAATTGCCTTCCGAGCACTTGCTATAATTTCACATGAATTTTTCAAAAGGCCATCCTGTTCCATGCAGCTTCCATTTCGATGAAATTGCTTCTAGTATCTCTGCCCTAAAAAGAACACGACTTTCAATGACAATTACTTTCTTGACTAGCAAACATTTTTCTTTATCAATATTTCCCTTAAAGATATTAACTGTAATTCTCGCTAGTATTTACATTAATAAATCAGCTTCAATCTATCTTTCTTTTTCACCAATCTTCTTCCTTATTCCCTTATTCCTCTTTTCTCTCCTCTTCGCCTTTAACGTTCCACGCTTTTTCGTTCTCTTTGAAACTCACATTTACACAGTAAAATACAACGTAGAGATCTTCAAACGGAATTGCGACTTCCCTAGTAGCGCTTCTTTACTGACTATATATTCTGAACAGTAAACCACTGTAGGCTTTAAAAAAAGATATAATATACTATAATACTTTTCCACGGACTCTAAAGTCAAATTTATATAATAGAATATCCATTGGCAGATACATATGATTTAACAGACAAAATCAGAAACGACAATTTTCTTAAACGACTTTACAAGCACAGAAATACGACAACGTCAAGTACTGATTCCTCAAATTACACTATATCCATAAACACAGTTGCTAACTAAATATACAATTTCCTAAATAAATCGTATTAAACATACACCCTACAAGTTCTCTAGAAACAATTCACCGCAGAGAAATGTCATTGTTGATTAATGAATATTCCATTATTCATAATGCACTTCCGTGCCATCCATTAAAACATGGACCCTCCATTATTACTTGATGGGAATATGTACCCCACTAAAAACCAATAATATATTACAACGTTTGATAAAACATTGAAAGCTCATCCAAAGCACACCAGTAAAATGGATTTGAGCAAGAACGGAAACAGAACGAACACGAAGAGATAGTTAACGTTAATAGGACTGACGCAAGTAATTATTTTCATTGACAAATCACATCGTTAGTTATTACACTACGTTGCAGCCTACATTTTTTTCCCGATGCAACAGCTAAACCAAACCACTAGCACCACTCTCCATATCTCGTTGACATCATAGTCCAGTAATTGCCAATTAAATGACAACCGCATATATACATGTACATATATACGAAATTGAATATCAGCAAGATCGAATTTTACTCGCAGAATGGATCGACGTATAATTAATAAATATTTTCCAATTTTTCCACTCTTTCCTATGGCATTCCATTTCGACGAAGAATATCCTCGAGGCTTCACTTAGCATCTTAAATTAAGCCAGATGAATTTTAAGAACCAATCTGAAACCTAAACTAAGCATACCAGCCGGAGGTCGCAAGCTGTAAGGCACGGACGGTCTCATGTAAATTCGCAATACCATGCATCACACTTTGACTCTCGTCCTTTGATAGGCTGGCATAAACTAATTATTAGCACGCCCTAAGCTAGTTTGGTAAACCGGACAATGGCCCTGGGCCAAAACGTTTGTAGGATAGCAGCTTCAACGGAAATAACCGTAGGTGGATGGACTCCATGGTGGATGAGCTGTGACCAACCTTATAGCCATTGACTATACGATCAGTAGAATTAACCTGTTTCATATAGAGAACGTTGAAATAAGAGATATAAAACGTATATGAATAATATATATATGTACTGGGAGTTTACATACCTCCTGGAGAATGCGCTGGCGATTTCGCGCACTAACAGCATCCCCGTATAATCTGTGTCGCACCAGCCGCTCCCTCTGGAACAACAAACAAACCCCTGAAGCAGCTATCGCTTTTGCATAACTTTCAAATTAAATATTTCAAAAGACTTCGGCTTTATTTGCCGCTTGCTTCGTCTATTTTTACCAACTTTCCTGTACAGGAAACTACGCTTTGCGGACTTTTACGTCTTCGTGAACTTTCCGAGAGAGGAATCTGTATTTGATTATCGAGCCTCAAAGTAATATGGCTTAGCGAAATACAGTTAAAATAAGATTCGTTACTCAATTATGAATCTCCTTTTGTTCCACGTTGAAAATTATTACAGATTTATGAACATAGCGTGGCTGAATTGTCATATAACAAACAAAAAATCTATAAGTGAAAGTCTGAAGGAGGATAACGAGAACGAAAATTCCGGTTGAGATGAAACATTATATTTTCATTTCCTGATCTAAGGTTCAACATCGACTGACTAATGTCGCGTTTATGTGCAAACCGGAAGTAAGCATTTTTACTAGTCAAACTACAGTAAGTCAGGTACTATTTACATAATTATATAAAAAGAAAGGAAGCGCTTAAGGTACACGAGACTGACAGTGGCACCATCTAGGTTTGAAATCCTACCGGAAACTTTGAGGATCCGCTTGCGTTGGAGAACATGAAATGTCTACGTTTATTGGATTGAGGTTATTAAGCAGACCTAGAGTGTCTGACACGATCCTGTTCCAGAGTGAAATTGTAAAGGCATCTCACCACTATCACCTTCAAGAACTTCCTTCCGGTTGGCTTTACTGACTTCGCTCTCTACGTTCTCCCATTACTATTTAACTACTGTGAACAATGAAGTCTCACATAATACAAGTTATACAAGATACACGTTAGACCCAAATGATAATAATTATCAAATTCGATTAATATAGCTAATACTATAAATGAATTAAAACTTTTTTTACGGTAAGTTGACCATAACATTCATTTACCTTTTTCCGCACTTCCACGGGATCTGGTCCCAAGGATCTATCTCTTCTAGGTACTGATAGTGTCTTCAAGTCCTTAAGACTATAACGACGATAACCAGGAAATTTTGGTTGATTCAATTTATTCTCGGGAGTACTCCTGACGTCGATGTTCCTCAAGGAGGCACTGCCATCACCATTCCGAAGATGATCGTCACCATCATCTTGAAAGCTCTCACAGGAGCGACTCGTTTCCAACGTCCTCGACGTTTGGTTCATCAACCTCTTGTAGAGGCTGAGCTCACTTTGATCATCTCCTGGGAATCCGGACGACGCTCGACTCTTGACATCCATGAGACGCTCAACTGAATTGTCTCCGCAAATCGACAGCGAGGAACTCTCTGAGGAACAAGCACGCCGGTTTCTAACTACATCTGAAACAGGGAACGTGGTTACTTTATCAATCATCTATTTCAGATCTACTGGGAACGACTTTATAAATCAGATTTACCAAAGGTAGTCTTTAAGAAGCGGTACCGTCAGTCAAAATTTTAACTGGCGCACTACGTGACGTTGGATATTTTATAAATATATAACTTTTAGAATTTACTGTCATTCCGGTTTTTGTCCTTCACTTAAATTTTCTACTTAAAGACTAAAGTGACTCACCGGTTCTACGACGATAACGTTCCAAATAAGAGACGCTTCTCCTGACGCTTTCTTCCATTCTCCAGGACGCCCTTTCGTCGGCTACTCCACTCAACTTTTTCGTATGCCTCATTGAGCCCATGGGAGTGACTATCCTGGGGAAGGTTTTCCGACAACCAGTCGACAACGGAAGAGTCTTCTTAACTCTTTCCTCTTCTTCCTTCTCGCGGCCTTTCCTTTGGTGAGCCGCAACGTTCATAGTACAAAGACCATCCCGGATAACGTTGTCGTTACTGTCCTTGTTATCCCTTGGGTCCAAGCGACTCTTCTCTTCCACTCTGGTGAACGAGTCCACAGCAATTATCAAATTCCTCGAGGAGACGAGGCTTCCGTTGAGAGCAGAGCATCCTGAAGTTTCATTAAGGACATCTGAAATTTTTTTACCAAATAAAAATTCAATCTGCTTTTGACCGTTAGCGTAACTATCGTTTCACGTTATGTTTTTATCTTATTGTGTAGAGATTAAATGCTTTATGCAATAGCGAGACCTGAGATAGGCGATGATAATTTGATAATATTTAAGGAAACCGATTCATGCTTTTTAGCCGTTATCTTTGACTGTCTAGATGGTTCTAGGTTAATAACTTCGTTGGAACTTCTATTAGATTGTAGCGGTTCTTCTAGACAATCATTTCTTTCTAAAGAATCATGTGAATAACGTGACATTTCCCAAACTGTTTCTAGTAGATCAATAAAATTAAATGCTAGATGAAAATCAGCTGTACGATAGACACTCCATTGTCTTGTAATTGACAGGCGACAGCATAACGAAATTATGAATTGACAAAATATTAAGAATCAAGCATATAATGCAATCTTCAAGATTTTCTTATAACAACGCCATCTCCTGCTAGTTTCTGACAACTAACAGTATCTTGAAACATTTTATTTGTTACCAACATTAGATATTCATGTCAGTGTCATTATCATTTTATCTATGAACGTTAATTTTCATTTGTATCAAAAGAGCAAATTATACAGATACAAGAAAATTGTGTAGGATGCCCACAACCTTTAAGCATTTCTGCTGATTTCTGCTAAAATCGTAGCATTGTACATCTCCCTATTCATCTCCACTTTAAGCTTATCAGTTGGAAAGATATATGTATTCAGTATTAATTCATCTCATCTTATTAAAAATACCTCCTGCCATGTGATGTTTATCTGATAAGACACCTAAACCTGTTCGGTATGAAAACTTTGACTCTGACTTTGTGGAAACTCAAGAAACGCGGAATGAATTTCGATCATGGTAATCGTTATGCATTCAGGAATAAGATTCCCTCCATCAGATTTATCTCATCTGACAACTCCTTGGTAGACTTTGGAGTAAAAGAATTCAGTAAAGGTCAGGCAAAGGAGAAGAACACTTCTGGACATAATGAGCGAGGTAAAAATATTGGACGGTGGTTTTTCTACACAATTGACTACACACGTTGGACCAAACGTAGACGGGGATCCTCTGTGGACAGCACGTTTTCTTGTTACTAATCCTGAAGCTGTTTTTGCAACACATCTTGACTTCTTGCGTGCTGGTGCTGATATAATACAAACCAATACGTATCAAGCATCTATCACTGGCTTTGTGCAATATCTGGGGATCAGCAAAGAAGAGAGTCTTCAATTGATATACAATGCTGTAGATCTTACAAAAGGAGCTGTAGAAACATACCTTGAGGAGATAAAAGGTAATGCCAATGTCGTCAACCCAAAGCCACAGATCGTTGGTTCATGTGGTCCTTATGGAGCTTCCTTGCACGATGCCTCTGAATACACTGGGTCTTATGCTAAGGATGTCACTGCTGAATTCTTGGCTCATTGGCATAAACCACGTATAGAAGCATTAGTCAAGGGTGGAGTAGATTTACTTGCTCTGGAGACAATACCTTGTAAACTTGAAGCAGAAGCACTAATTGATCTATTAAAAAGAGACTTTCCTAGTACAAAAGCCTGGCTTTCCTTTTCATGTCGCGCGGATGGAAAAAGTCTTGCTGATGGTAGTAACTTTCAAGAAGTTGCATTAGGCTGCTATAAAAAGGCATTAGTTAATCAATTAATTGCAGTTGGCGTTAATTGTCTTGCGCCACGTGCTATTACACCATTGATTAAGGGAATCAACAATAAGTCTAGTACGAACCGTATACCTCTGGTTATTTATCCAAATAGTGGGGAAAAATACTCAGTTCAAGAAGGATGGAAAAAGGAAGATGAATGGTATCCACTGGAACAATTCATTGATGAATGGTTGGATCTTGGAGTTACGTATATCGGAGGATGTTGCAGGACATATGCCAAAGACATAATTAGTATACGGGAACATGTAAGAATTTGGCAGTCTAAGGTGAATACCAGCAAACCCTAAACCATAAACAAAGTTTTAGAGACATCTACCTTGTTTATTTTTATATATTCAAATATACATATATATATACTGTATGACCAAAGAGAATTTAAAGTTTACAATGTTCGAAACTGTAACTTGAATATTTCATAATGAGTTAAGTGGTGACACTGAATGATACTCGTTGGACATTCTATACAAAACAATTATTTTTGTAAACCAAAAAATATAAATGCTCAAATTTTGTACCTTAATCAAATTTAGGAAAATTCTACATGATGTTTTTTCCATAACATATTTTTTATAAAATTTTATTTGCATGATAAATGTATATATATTTAAAATAATAAAAGTTTTTTTAACGGAATACCGACTAATGATATATTATTAACCCATCTTCATTTTATTAAATCTTGCTTACATGAATTGTTCAATTAAATAATCATTCTTATTAAATTAATATTACTTTCATTAAGATACACCAAAAGATTTTCTTCAACTCTTTTGCTGTACAAGGAAAACAATATCTGTGCTTACCGGCTCTACTTTTCCAGCTTCATTTATACTTATCACTTTAGTCTCTAAGTTAACATCAAATACAGTATCCGGTAGAATTTTTATCTTACCACGTAGTATGTCATCGGATGTTGGTATGGAACGTGGACCCAGAACTGGATCTTCATAACGATAAAGAATAATTGAAGATGAATCTGTAAATATAAAAACCCATTAAGAAACTAAATTTATTAATTATAATATAACAACGAACCTTTAACTTGACGACATTCTTTGGCAATACGTGCAGCGACGATGGAAGCAGTATCTCCAGAAGCAATTTTAACTTTTGCTGTAAAGATACCATTACACTTCTGTGGATTTACAGCAGATAACCAAACACCAGGTTTTACGGAGAAACTGATGTAAGGTGCGCCAGGACAACACTCCTCCTTGGTTTTCTCAGGAGCTTCATCCGTGAACTTAATTTCAATTTCCTCCAGCTGTACAGGCAAAGCAACCATGGCAATGAGAAATAAAAGCAATTAAAGTTAACAAGATAGATTTATACTTACATCCAATGTATTACGAAGGTAATCTATACCACCAGTAAGAACATCAACTTCGCTAAAGTCAAGTGTTAAATTCAATGCTGTAATTCCAGAAGACTCAAGTTTTTCTCTCATTGCCTGTACAAAAGGCATAACACGTTTCATGTATTTCTTCAGTTCTGACTTGCCACTCAGTTCAGTAGCAATTACTTTGTTCTCAGGCAGCTTGTTCCCATTTTTCTGTAAAAAAAAATTTGTTTAGAGCTATTCGCATAATGTCCAATGGATTTATGCAGACTTCTCTAATGAATACGTACGTTATAAAGATCTCTCATTGTATTAAGTACAATGCTTTGCCAAGGTGGGAATGTCTTTGCGACCCACACAGTACCCAGTGTAGGTTTCTCAACAGGAGGGTTTTCCTGTTTACCCTTGGGTGCTTTTCTTACTGTAATGTGATTCTTCAATAGAATTCTAAAGGAGTGTGCGGCTTCCATAAAATAATGAGATGATTTTATTAGGAGCTCGTCGATAGGTCCAACTATTGGCCAACGCTCGTTCAATATACTATATTTCTGTAAAGTCAGAGGTCACAGGTAAAAAAAAACTAAAATGCTTTTCTTAATTCAACGTACCTTTCCTATAAGACCCCAAACGTATTCCGCAGTGTGAGGACAAATAGGTGAGATAAGGATTGTTTGTAGTTCTATGTACCGCAGAATTAAATTTAAATTAGCGCCATTTAATGCACTCAGCTGTAAATATTTATCCCTTGCAGCTTGCAACTCAAAGAATCCAGTTCTGAGTGCTTCCTTGTACAACATTTTTGAATAATTCTCACCTGTCTCCCGTATTTTTAGATTCATTTCGCTGAAAATATTTAAGAATTGCACGATGTTCATATTGCACAGGATTACACGCAGCTGCTGATTTCAAAAAAGAAAGTACCTTTCAAATACACGATCATTGAACGTGCTTATATCCCCTTTCCTAAACGAATCTCTGGAGCTCATAACTTCTTTCACCCATTCAATGAAAGTAAACAGCCGAAGAATTCCAGCATCGGCCATAGTTTCCACGAAATTAGCATCTTCAACAGAATCACCGGAGTCAGCGAGACACAGTCTCATGCCGTCAGCTGAAAATTTCTGAACCGCATCTGACAGCGTTAAGAAATTTCCTTCGGATTTCGACATTTTAGCTGAATTGAGCAATAAGTGGCCATTAGCCCTGATGCCCTTAGGCCACAACTCAGGCTGGTCCGGCCATATAGCAGTGTGATTATAAATGAAAAATGTTAGATGATTCTGAACCAAATCTTTTCCTGACACTCGCAGATCTACTGGATACCAGTACTGGAACTCGCGTCGCATATGATTCAGAGCATCTTTCTTTATGGATGTTTTTGGTAACTTCGCATCCTTAAAGAAAATATAGTCCCAAACTTCAGGCGTCATCTCTTTCACGCTGAAAATAATATTAATCAAAATAATATAACACCCTAATCACCTATCGATCTACATACAGATATTTTTAGTCTCACATACCTTATTCCTAAAACATTAGGCTTATCTCCCTTAAATGTTCCACCTTGAATTAAATGAGCCACCGTATAATAGGCCATATAAATAGTCGAGTCGGATAGTGACTCGATTAACCATTGTTCGTCCCAAGGTAATTTGGTTCCTGTAATTAATAGGTACATAAAAATGCCAGGAATTGACAATTCATCGAAAAAACTTCCTAGTAAAACTTACCAAGTCCATATGTCCTGGAGCAGGCGTACTCGTGAAGCCAATCCAGACAAGCCATAAAATTTTTTCGTACTTCATCATGAAATGTTTCTAAGCTGGCCAAAGCTTCTTCTGCCTGCTTCTTCCACTTCTCCTCACCGTAATCCAAATACCATTGATTGCAGAGAGCGACGACGCACTCGTCGTTTGATCTAGAAATGACAGTTTTTTCTGGTTCATAATAAATCACAGCTTCCTTTGCGTCCACCAATTTCTTCTGAAGCTGCTTCTTCACGTCCTGTACTTTCTTTCCCTTGTACTCGCCTACTAGTAAGACACCATCGTAAAAACCTTTCAGGTAAACCATCTCCTTGGCTTCTAGCAGCTTCGCTTTTTCATTTTGCGACTGTATTTTTAGTCTATCGTATACAGTCACTGCTGACAGATTACCGAACTCTGGTATTTCCAAAATTGGAATCTAACATTTAAAAAAGAAAGTTATGGAATCGCTATCATAGAAAAGTATTAACATATACCACGTTCAAAATAACTTACAGGATCGTAAGGTAATACCATCTCGTCTTTGATATTGTACTTCTCTCTGAAGGGTTGCTTCTTCTTCAGATCTACCAGAGCTGCGTAGTCATCAGGAGAATCACTGGGAACGGAAGTGACGATACCGGTCCCCTTGTCTTCCTTGATTGTTAACATAGGCAAAGTGTAAATGACTTTATGACTAGTCAAAGGAGCTTGCAGAGGTAGTCCCAAGATATCCTAGAACAGATAAATACTTCATTTAATTATGCTTCTGATATATATGAAAAATATTCAACTTTTATAGGAAAAAAAATGACTGACCTGTCCAGTCAGGGTAGCAATGACATCAATCTTCCCTTCCTCTTTAGTAAAACCTTGATAAGACATGTTACGGGCTGCTCTTTCTGTAGACACGTAGACCTCGCCATTAGCCAAAACATAAGCAATGTATTTCATATCTGGGTGGACCCAACAATTCGTTTGGCCATACATAGTCTCAGGCCTTAAGGTAGCAGCAACTAAATAAATTGATTTCCCATTGGCAGCTCTGTAATTTTATCCTTTGTTAATTATATGCTTTTAATAATTAATAATGTCATGTAATTAGAGCTTTTACTTAAGACAACTTGGATAAGGCTCCAGCAATTTCATCTTGATAAGCGTGTATTCTTGAGGACCAACTCCTTCTCCAGAAGATCTATCATGATCCATGCAAGGCTGTCCATCCTTTGGAGAGAATACAGTGTATCTTTTTCCATATTTTATTTTATTACGAGCCTTCAGATGCAGGAACTGCCACCTGACAAAGGAATCGAAGAATGGATTGGCATCTGTCGTTATAAAAGTGCGACGCCAATCCACATGTAATCCAATAGATTTCAAATCCTGCACAGCAAGTGGTGGGAAATAATCCAGCCAATATTCTGCATCAGCAAATTTCTTTATTTCCTCATTATCAAGCCCAAGACTCTGCATTATTTGCCACTGATATTTTGCAACACCCGCCTTAGCTGTAGCCTTACTCTATAAGTATTACGAATTTTATTATATGCTGAATAAAGAGATTGATAATTATAGATGTCCTTTTGCCATACCTTTTTTCCTTTGCTCTTGTCTATAACAGTGACATCATCTGCTTTCTGTTCTACCACTACTTCTTCTTGAGGAAATTTTGGTGGATATCCAAATACTTCCATTTCTCTCTTTAATTTGTCAGAGCAAGCTTTAATAGGCATACCAGTACAATGGAAGCCAAATGGAAATAATACTCTTTTACCCAAAAGACGATTGTAACGAACTGCAAACTTCATGAAATAAAAGAATTCATTCATTTAAAATAATCTTAACTATGTGTTGGGAGAATGTCACCAAAATTTTGTATAGTTCACATTCTTTAGTTATCTGATGCAATACTAATCTGACAAACATAAAACTACTTAATATTATACAAAATAAATTACTAATATTTAACGGTTACCTCGCATTTTGATAAGGAAAATGTATGTCCCAGATGAAGTCTTCCATTCATGTAAGGGAATGGAAACGTAGCCAAAAACTTTTCATCTGGTTTCTTCCTTGCTTCGACAGGAGCATCTTGCTCATGTACTTTAGCAGCTTCCCATTTAGCTTGTACTTCTTTCTCGATTTTCTGAAGATACTCGACCTTATAGGTCCCTTTTCTTTCATTAGCCTGAAAGTAGAAATGAAAAGTTTAATCACAGCTGGTAAAAAAATAGAATAAGAATAGGTTAAGGAAAACGTTCTAATAATCAATCATTATTATGTACAATCATGACTTATTCTCGTAACACAAATTTGAATTAATACTTTTGGCATCATTTGATACTTACCATTCCTTTATTTTTATCAGTGGAACGCTATTTGATAATGGACCACGGATACACGTGGGATGCGGCTCAACATATATCCACCATCCGGCAACTAACCACACTAACTGACCCCCTTAGCAGCAAGTACCTCACCAACTGAAGAAAGACATGAATAAAAACAGATTGATAAGTCGTACATAAAATTACCATAACGCTAAGTATAGGAATCTATTAAACAAAAAAAAAACAAGTAAAAAGGAAATGGATTGAAGTACACAAATTTATTCAATTACTATAGTAAAATACTGAAATTATAAAGACGCATCCAATAAATATTTATTACATCTTACATCCGTGACACTGGTTTCAGTCCTAGCAAATCGAAACACTGCTCAAATATTATAGCAGTTGCTTCGGCAATTAACAATCGACTTATATTAACTTTAACAACTTCATTAAGTTGATTCTTCTCAATGCAATAGCAATTGTCATAGAATTCACTAAACGCACATGCTATTTCATAGCAATACTCGCAGAGATAATGAAGGCAAAGGTCCTTCACTATCTTTTGAAGAACGTCAGGAAACTTCAGCAAAACTTTTGCCAGCTTCCACTCTTTTGGATGATCCAAGGTGATAGGATTAGTTTCTGCTGCCTTCTTCAACTCTTCTTGCGATACATTAGCAGTACGTGCTATGGAACGAATTCTTGTGAAATTATAAAGTAAATACACTGCAGTGTTGCCTTTGTCTTCTAACATTTTGTCAAAGGAGAATACGTATTCATGATTTCGATTATGGGACAGATCAGCGTATTTTATACATCCATACGCTATAGATTTCTGGGCGATCTTTAGTTCCTCTTTTGTCAATACCTTATCTCGTTCTTTATCCAGAAGAGTTTGCATTGCTCTTCTCAATCCTATAATTAATAAGTTTAAAAAGTTGCTATAAACTTGTTTAAACGCCAGTTAGTTAGATCGTTTACCTTCGTCGAGCAAATCGCTAAGTTTCACAGTATCGCCAGATCGGGTTTTGAATTTCTTGTTATCCTCGCCTAATACTACTCCAAAACCAACATGATCAATTCTGTGTTTCTCTGTTATAATTTTGGCTCTCTTTGCACACTTAATCAGTGTTTGGAAATGAACAGATTGTCCTGCATCAGTGACGTAAACGATCTGGAAATATAACAAAATGTATTATTGTATGCAGAGGATTTTCATAAACGGATCGTATGAGGTTCTCTTACCCAATCAGCATTTTCCTCCTCGACACGCTGCTTTATTGCAGCCATATCTGATGTATCGTACGTAAAACCTCCATCCGATTTTATGATTGTGAAAGGGACTCCCACATTGGGTTCCTCTCCCCACATGATCTTTCGACCTTCATCCTCTTCGAGGAGACCTTTTGATTCCAAGTCCTTAACAATTGTCTCCATGTGTTTCTGGTAAAAGGACTCACCTCTTTCAATTATCTTGACATCTAATCGTTCGTAAAGCTTTTGAAAATCTATAAGAATACAGTACTATGATACAGTGTCAATAAGAATGAAAAATGAAATTTAAATAAGTAATATTATTCAAACCTTTTCTTGATACATCACAAATCAATTGCCATGCTTTTATTATTTCAGGGTCAAATTTTTGAAGTTTTACGACACATTCGTATGCTCGAGCTTTAAATTCTGTGTCCTCTTCAAATCTAGCTTTCGATTCTTTATAAAAACTCTAATGAAGTATAATATTATTAATATTAAGTACCTATGATGTAGGTAACAAATGGACACTGTTTACCTGTAAATCAGATATCGGTGGAGACTCTGTCGAATAATTTGGAAACTTGTCTTGAAGATGTGCTATTAACATTCCAAATTGTGTTCCCCAATCACCCACGTGATTGAGCCTCAACACATCATGTCCTAAATACTCTAGGAGTCTGCAAATACTTTCACCAATGATGGTAGACCTCAAATGCCCAACATGCATTTCCTTTGCAATATTGGGACTGGAGAAATCTACTACAACCCTTTTCTTTTCAGTAACTGGTGGTAAAACCTTTGCAGTTTTTACTAAGGAGCTCAAAAGGATTTTTACAAAATCTTGTTTTAAGAATATATTAATGAAACCAGCTCCAGCGATTTCTAATTTCTCTACATAAGGCGATGGACTGACATTAGATTGTATTTTACTAGCTACATCATATGGGGAAGCTTTGATTCCTATACAAACAATTGACAATAACTTTTTTAGTCACTCTTACAAGTGAAATTTCAAAGTCTTACCTTGGGCACTAAGTAGCTTGCTGATAGACATAGCGCTGTTACATTGATAATCCCCAAACTTAGGATTACCAGCAATAGCTATTGTTACAGGTGGATCTGGTAAATCAGGATAAGTGGCAATAATTGCCTCTTTAAAAAGATGAGACAAAGCATCTTGTATACTGATCAAAGTATTTGAATCTATTGAAGGTACAGCATTATTCTTTGAACTTTCAGCTTCTACTGCCTAATAAAAATATTATTAATATAGGCAGCCTATTGACACATTAAAAGTAGACAATATTGTAACATACCCTTTTAAGTATAGCCAATCGGTGTTTCAGCTTAATGTTTTCCTGCTCCAACTTTCCAACATCAGTGTCCACGTTTTCCATATCATTTGACATAGTTAAACCACTGTCTTGGAGCAACTGAATATCTCTTTTCAATTTCTCAATTTCCCTCTCCTGAAAAACATAAGGATTATAACCTAAAACTTCCACACAACCAAATTGCATAGCTACACGCTGATGACACGTTTCACTAAAATATAAAATACTAATCAATATACTTACCGCAATCTCAGCTCGTTTATGATATTTCTCCAAATTCGTTTGAGACATATTGTTAAAAATATATCATATACACTCTAACAATCCACGTGTAAATACAAACCGGCATTAATTGAATGAAAAACTTACAATTAGATAGTACCAACTGCGAGCTTACAGTTTAACATCGAAACAGCTGGCAATAGCAAATTACAAAAACTGCATCTTATTTACTCGAAATTCCAATCATAGAAATGATTTCAGAGTAATAAAATTTCGTAGGTGTGGGGCGAAAAAATTGAATTTTTTATCCTAATACGTTAAGCGCAAAGATGTGCAACAAAGTACAACGATATATCAATCATATATAGAAACTTGAAGTAACAGTTGATAAGTAAGAACCCACTAGTAGTTATCTAAGTATTGCAGGATCACTAGGACTCAGCCGTCTACGAAAATGGGCGGTAGAGCGCAGCACATTACAATAAATAAATTCTTCACTGTTCTTGATGCAGGCAATTGTGTAAGGAGTCATTTTTAAACTTATTATTGTAGTGCAACTTACAAGAAACATTTAGCAAAATGTCGTATATGCTATCACATCTTCACAATGGATGGCAAGTGGATCAAGCAATACTTTCTGAAGAGGATAGAGTTGTGGTAATTTTATTGGAGCATAACCTACCGCATCTTCTTGTAGACAATTCTAGAAAAGATTTTAATACATTTATATATTTTAAAATTTAGGTAATCAGATTTGGACACGATTGGGATCCCATGTGTATGAAAATGGATGAGGTGCTATATAATATTGCAGAGAAAGTAAAGAATTTTGCAGTTATTTACCTAGTTGACATTACTGAAGTTCCTGATTTCAATAAGATGTAAGTCTGCATCTCCTGATTTTACTTTGATGTTTTCCAAATGGAACCTTAATCTAGTTTGATTTTTTACAGGTATGAGCTGTACGACCCATGCACGGTCATGTTTTTCTTTAGGAATAAACATATTATGATAGATCTGGGAACTGGAAACAACAATAAAATCAATTGGACTCTAGAGGATAAGCAGGAGATGATAGACATAATTGAAACAGTATATCGAGGTGCAAGAAAAGGACGTGGTCTTGTAGTTTCACCCAAAGATTATTCCACTAAATATCGCTATTAATTTATTTGAATTGGGCTCAGTGTTTTAATGAACTATAAAACCCAGTCTTCATTAGAAGAAAACAATAACGAATAAAGTACAATGAACGTATTTACCGTACTCCGTCAAGTCGTGCAGTGTCTCTTTGTATATATGAAAAACATTTATTAGACAGTGTTGCATAAGAATAATATTAAACGAATTAATAAGTATTACGTCTTAATGTTAATCTATGTACAGTGAACTATAATACAAATGATTAAAAAATCTTAATACCTATGTGTGAAAATGACGCTTTGAGGCATAGAGTGGTAATATTGTACCTATATCTCTTTGGTAAATAAGTTACAAGTGTCTGCATTATAGAATAACATTTGTGCAGACTCAGTCGCTGTATAAATATATATATATAGAATATAAAATCATTGTAAATATTTTTGTCAATGTACTTACACATAAATTCCATTCCAAAAGATAATAGGTACAAGAAGATTTATTTTAAATACTCATATCGATGTATCTTTCTGCAATGATTCTGAAAAAATACAATAAATATTGTGACCAAACGAGCATTAAATTTGACCAAGTCATTAATTTTTCTTTTTAAGACATACTTTGTGACATATAAGAATACAAGACTTGATTTTTGCCAAACGTATGCACCGATTTTGAACGTGTTAAGTTAGGAAGATTTTCATATGTTGAACTCCTTGACCCACTTATATCTCCTCTCTCCGTACTCTGCTTGCTGCTTAATGACTCTGAATCCCTTATCGATTCATAGACAGGATACTCCTGGCTACCGTACTTCCCTACAAATATTCCACAATTTTCAAAGCCACAATTTACAAGTACTACAAAAGCAATAAATAATCTGTATAATACAAACCTATGGGAACTTGAGGGGTCTTGGAATGAATAGCACTTGTGGACTTAGAATACCTCAAACCTAAAAAAAGGCAATCATTTTTTTAAAGACTCCCGATTATATAATTTTTCTCTTGAAACTTAACAAAACTTACCATTACTTGTTGTGCTTATTTGGCTCTTCAAAATAGGTTGTGGCGAAGAATCAAACATTGGCTCCGTAGAGTCAATCGACGGAGTTGGGCTACTTTTTCTTACTGAAACAATAATATTTATATAAATTTAAAGATTAAGTCAAATACATAACCCTTTATATACGTGACATCGAAACAAATGAAAGCAGTCGATACTCCATACTCTGATGATTAATCATAACTGTTAAAACCTTGTAAAGTTTAGGAATTTCAGTGAAAATATGCATAAGCCATGCATGATTATAAAGACGAAGCTTTAAAACCAAGGGACACCAAGTATATACAGTTATTCAAGACCATTGCATCACCTAAAAATGACTTTACCATTGGACTTAATGAAAATCAAATGGATAAAACGATCTTCAGGTGATGCAATAGTCCTGAATAACCATGTATGTTATGTTAAATGTATTCAACCGTAGCATACCTCACTAGTTTCTACATTGTTGCTCACTTTTTTCATACTGTAGTACAAAATAAATATGGTTATTTCTACGATGTTATTTTCTACAAATACATTCGGTTCTTTGAGATAGATGCTTCTATACTGGGCTGGAGAAGATTGTTACATACACGTCTCTAGGCTGCTGACTAGGTTCATATTCGAACTTGACCTTTCTTTCTTCTTCCTTGAGATGTTCTCGTAGATCGGATCGACAGGTGGTGGTTTGTCTGCAACATAATAAAACAATAAAAATCTCTTTTCACTAATAAACATTCTGCGTTAGTGACAAAATAGAAATACTTACATGATTTTAAACAGAAAGGATTCTTAAGGACTTGCCTTATACAATTGTAAATGTAAGCGTATTGACTCTGCAAGAAAAATTATCGTCAATTAATCATACGATCATAACACAAATAATATAAATATATTATTACCTCTCGTTGCACCATATTAATTCGGCAACGTCTTAATCTGTAAACAGTACCAAATACATCCAATTTCCTGTTATCTCTGATACTCTGCAGTAATATATCTAGGGCTATCAAAGTCCCCGTCCTGCCTATTCCGGCGCTGTTAAATCATAAATATATTTCGGTAAATCTTCTTTATTAAACAATTATTCTGTTAGTGGCAAAATAATTTTACCTGCAATGTACAACAACCAGGCCTTTATTGACTGACATTTGTCGACGCATTATTTGGCAGAAATGAATCATCGATTCGAAATCTTCAGGTACATCATGATCTGGCCAGTCTTTAAAGTGAAGATGCATTATGTTACGCTTTTCATTGTCCTGAAAATAAAAAAACAATATAATTTTTCTAATATAAAATTTATCTAAATAACAGGACAAACCTTTTGTAAAGCGAGTGTCCTCTGCGTGTACGTTCGGAAATCCAATTCACTGGTGCATCTTATCGTCATGTGCTCATAATTGAATGATTCGCGAATGGTCGGGAAGTACTGATGACACTTTTCCTAGAAAGTATAGAAGCATACACTTTATATGATTGATACATTACCAATTACAGAATCCCCAGACTTGTAGACAAAAATACGTGTCGGGAGCAATGTCTCATCAAATATAATCAAGATACTGTGACATTTTAAATTAAATATACTGACTCACTTTTCCTTTCTCGACGAGTTGCGTCAACATGACAATGATTTTAACGTCGTACTGGTCGACCATCCTCCAAAAATCATAAGTGGTATCATCTTTTGGCCCTTGACAAGCAATGTACTCATCAGTTCCGGAATATCCCTATAATTTATGAACAAAACATTGTCACGAATGATCTACATGCATGGAATTAAGATGAAATATATAAATGTCTAGACCCACTCTTATAAAGGATGCATTGATATAATCGGAATCCGAATTAGGATCGTTGTCGATAATTTCAAGTTTCACTCTCGAAAAGTCATCTGAAAATCATGACAAATCTTGATTAGTCGAAATATGTTTAATTAAACAAAAACTATACTAATAAATTATAGATACGCTCGTACATGGTAATATATCCGTGTATCGATTCTTCTTTTTATTAGCCTGCAAGCATGCAGCGTTCGTCGGCATCTGCAGGTCTATACTGAGCGTCTGAAGTAACTGAAACTCATTGCTGAGCTTTCCGGGATTCTCAGCGAGCTGTTGACAGTGTGCAATAAATTTCCGTCTGGTGAACGGAGCAGGTACAGGAGAACCCGGCATATCCGAGTGTAGCAATCTTCTCAAGACTCTGAAAATGCATAAGGTAACACAAAACGATTAACGAGAATAATAAAAACGCATTATACACGTGCCAACGTTAAATACGCAATGAATTAAAATGATTTTAAAAAAGAATTGTGACTGGCAGTAGTTGTATCCGTACTTTCCAAGACTGGGAAACATCTTCGATCGTAGCGTTGATCTAATTATTGGCCAAGGTCTAATTCCAACTGGCACTTTGAATTATCACAACCTTGGGAATCGATCACTGAACTGTTACAGGTGCATGATGACTAACAAAAAAAAAACATACTTTGAGGTAAAAAATTACGCGTGACTCTTTTCCAAAGTCGAATTGTGTCACGTTTTAACAACGTCTCGAGGGCGCTCGTATAGCAGTGTAACAGGGTGATTTAAAAATAACTTGGAATATACGCACTTCGTCAGGAAGCAGAAGAGGGATTTCGTTTTACAGATATGCGAACTCATTATATCGAACCGAGCGCACGTGCTATAGATCAGATTGACTTTGTATTTTCATTCTGTCATTCGCAATGTTCACCTTCGCCTAGTACGTTGCAAATATATTCATGATAAAAATACCCGTTTGAATTTAGGCAGCCGCGGCCTCTACGTTCAATCCCGACTAAACGCTCTGTCCAAGACACTTGCCCCCAATATAACGTATACATTAATGACTATGGCGGATTCGTGCATTGGATAACCTTGGCTGAGCTCCCTATAGCATTCTTCTGAGTCATAGGACTAATATTGATTATTTCCCATAAGTGTATACCTGGTCAGTATACTTGTATTTTGTATGAGTGACACTGATACGCTCCTGAGGACTCTTATGCAGTCATCGTCACTGCGGAGACTCGTCCACCTCCTCCTTCTCCTCTCTTAAGATTACTGCCATTCACGATACCGGAATTTTATACTCTGTATATATGTCTAACACCTGTCTATATGTTTAAACAGATAACAGACATCGAGTGTGCTTATCACTATACAGGAAAACATGTTACATATGTACTTACGACTGTAGAGAACCTTTGCGAACGAGTAACATCATTGTGATAATAAGGCCCAGAAATAGAATTCCAAACACCACCCCAATCACAAAAGCGACGTTTAATTCGGCGTCTGGTAGCGCAGGATTTTTTTTTCGGCAAGCACAAAAAGAAAGGAATTATTAGTACTTGATAAACATTTACAATGGGCACGTCCAACCCAATTAATAGCACAGTAGTTAGTATTGGATGACAAGAAAAATAAAAGAAGTGCAAGCGATGAAAAATTTAAAACTTGAATTTGAATTATTTAGTTTCAGATGAATAACGACAAAGTGGAAGTACTCTCAATATAGTAAACATGTCATACCTTGATGGTACTCTTCGTTGAATCAAATGAGATTAATTACCTGTCTTGACGGTGAACGTAACGGAATCTGCATAACCGCCACTAGTGAATGCTCGCATTCGTACATGGTACAACATGTCAGGTTTCAAAGGACCATTACAGTACAATCGTGATTCTGTATTTGCTGATAACTCCTTGCAGGTGATATCCTCACCAATGACGTACTTGACGGCACTCATGTGGCCATAATCGACTACATGGTTGGCTGAAATTTAAAGTTGAAAAATATATTAATTTATATAAACTATACTACAATGTTAGAACTCGATTATATGGTTGTTACTGACAGTAAGCTGGATTCCAGGATTTTCGAGTTGCCTGATAAGGGATAACAAATTCTGCCAGCATGGATTCTTGCCAGGCTGAGATATTAGGCCAGTTTCCATTCCTAATGTCAAGTCTAGCCTGTCGTGCAGTATTGTATCCAACCTCAGATACTGTTATAGCATAAAACAAGATCTCTCCGTTTGTATGGGGAAAAATAGGCAGCAACACGACAGCTGTGGTTGTCGTTCTTTGTGCCTTCTGAGGATCTAATGTGATCAGTTTGACATAATCTTTACTCGGTTGTGCAGGAACTATAAATTAATATTAACAGGTATGGTATATGATCGTGATGTATAATATTTATATAATTTTAATGATGACTGATATATACTTCCAGCTGGATACAGAACGCTAGTCGAGTCGGGTGCTCCTAGTACATCCAAGTCAATTACTTTCGCTGATACTTCGAAAGTATAATTGTATTCCGCCTTTAATTCTCCAAGATTAATCGAGAATATATCATTATTGCCAATAGCTGTAGTTATATTATATATTCGATCGAAGAAATCGTCATTAAAATCTGTTCTTGTACCATAAACGGAAATATGGAAGTAATCAATCTCCCCATGTAAGGCACATGGTAAACTCCATGATACAGTAGTATCCAAAGTGTCTGGATCATTTTCGTTATTGGTAATGGAGTATGACAAAAGTTCTACAGTGCCAGGAACTAAAAGAACAATAAAAATAAAGGTTCATACAATTGTCATTAAATGACACAAAGTATTTATACTCAATATATTAACCTACCTCCAATTTTGGTCTCAAAGTAAATCCAATCACTGTATACACCCCAACCAGCTCCAGTTCGAGCTCTGATTCTTGCTGAATAATTGGAATAAGGTACACCACTTGCATACGTGTAAGCTAAACTGCTACCGTCGATATCAGAAATATTAGTACTCGTCACTCTATTCATCTGGCACCAATCAGGCATTAGGAACAATGTATCCCAGTCAAGTATAACTTCAAACGTGGTTAAGTAACCAGCTAAATAATCTGGTTTACTCCATGTTAATGTGAAATTGGTATTGGTGATACCAATGACATTAAATGTCGGCGCCGATGGCACTACAATATTAATTAGCCGTAACGATAAGGACTTTCGTTATCATATTACCTGACACACCGAAGAGATATTGATAAGGATGAGCAATTCCCGTGTATTTCGAGTATGAAATTAAATGGATAGCATATCAACCCTCTCTAAAACTTCTGTGTTGATTCTAGAATGTGTCCTATATCCAGTGTACCCAGTAACTGTTAGCCACAGAGTCCCACAAGGCTTAACTAATATCTCCTCGGTGCCCAGCAACACTTTTTATCAATTAAAACTAAACTCACCGTCCTCTGATGTAATAGCGCTTACAACTGTACTAAGCGAACTATTCCCTGCCGAATTAATTGTAAGCGCTTGACAGCTGTAAGTGGTAAAAGGACTAAGATCCGATACTGTGATGTTAACTAATAGATCTACCAAAGATGAAATACTATCGGTCGACATTCCACTCAAAAGTTCAAAACCATGCCCGTCGGTTGAAATCCAATTGCAAACAGTAACGACAGAGTACAAGGGACAATTATTCATGTAACTTAAAATACGCCAGCCTATGGATATGGTGCTCATCGTGACCCAAGGACTTACGTTAAGGACTGGCGCATCGGTTACTAAAAATAAAAATATTTGATAATAACGTTCAATAAAAAAAATATATCAAATATTAAAAAGAAATTAATTTTATATACCAGATTCTTCAGTAGTCTGTATAGTAGTATCAAATGGACCATCGCCATTGGTTATACCAACTGCGTTCACTTGTGCAGTGTAAGTCATACATGCGTATAAACCAGATATCCTAATATAATTATTTGTCGTAGTTTCAGTTACCGTATCCCACAAAGTTATACGGTAATGCTTGATACAAGTAGCAGCAATCGTCGGCATCTGCCAGCTGATGTTCAAAGAAAATTGTCCTGGTGTCGCTGTCAAGAGAAGTGGTGCTCCAGGAGCTGGAATAATAAAAAAAATTATAATGAAATATGGAAACACTAATATTTTATGTTTTATTACTATCTCTCTACTCACTAACGTAAGATGTAGTTGCGCTGGTGCTTATATTGGCAGATTCTCCAGCGTTTCCAACAGCAGTCACAGAAAATGTATAATCCACACATGGATTAAGATTCGTAACATTGTACGTTTCGACAGTAACAGTTGTTGTGGTGCAGTTGCCTCTGCTACAAGTTGTCACAAAATAATGTAACAAGCATTGAATATTTGTTGTTGGTGCCTCCCACGTTAGTAGCACCCAAAAACCACTGATGCTAGTTATTAGATCGGTTGGTGCACCAGGTACTTGAATGAAAAATAATTTAATAAGGTACAAAAAAAATCAAACAATTTTTAGTACTCGAAGTTCAAGCAAACTTACCACAGTCAAGTGTGTCCCCAGTGGTAAATGCAGCTGTACCGTTTCCTTCAGAACTACTATAAGGTATTACTTCGACATTGTACTTTGTACAGGCATTCAGGCCTGTTATATTGACGTACAAGTCGGTAGTACTAGTTGAAACACTAATGTTTTTTCCATCAAGTTCGTACCAAACATTAATATAATACCAAGAGACAAGACTGGCTTCAATGGGAGAGATCCAGGATGCACATAAGCCATACTCCAAGCCAGTGACATTAAGTTGTCGAACAGCTGATATCGCTGCAATAATTAATATATAAACATACTACAGTATTACAGTTGTTTATATAATAAACGTTATATGAATGCTTACGGGATGTCTTAGTGACTCCATAAACAGATACTGGTGTTCCCATCAAATTCGTAACAGGTGTTATTGTTATCGTGTAATTAGTATTGGGATTCAGGTCTCTTACAATGTAACTATTTAACGATGACGACTGATTACAACTTCCTATCGCAGTAGTATTTTGGTACCATTGTATCATATAAAAGTTTAAGTCATTCCTAGATGCATTGAGAGTCCATGATACAGCAATGTCATTTGTACCAATACTGGTAATTGTCAGATTCTGTACTGCAGCAGTTTCTGTAATTGACAAGTAAAAAAATATGTTTGATTCAATAGTTAATAAGTATATTAATTACTAATTAATACGCATGAATAACTTACCATTATCTGTTGATAATAAACGCAACGCGTTCGACTCTCTTGTCTCGAGATATTCGTCCATAGAAATGGTATTACTGAATTCTATGGGTTCTGTAGAATTGTCAGACACCGCAGAGCTTGTATCAATAGTATTACGTTTAATGAAATCGTTTATCGATTTCCAATCTGAGTCTCTTGGTTCTAACGTTGATGCGTTCTCTTCTTTGTATACATTAGTATACCCAATAGATTCACTTGAGTGCAAATTATTTTCAAATGTTGAGATATCCCCCTCCGTAAGGACCTCCTGGACGAAGTCCACGTTTTTAGTAACAGGACTCGTTGATGAACCTTCTGTACCCGTGGTGTCGCCATCGCCAAACACGTAGAACACGTGCATTACGTATAGCAGGATTTGTAATCGTTTCCTTGGTATCATCCTGGCTTTTTTTTAATCTGGAAAGATTCGTAAACATACAGTTCGACGTGAAGATTAACCGTTTGTACAAAATAATAAATAAGTTAAATATTTTTCCAGCATTTTCGGTTGTGGCTTCTAAGATGGTCCTCTGTGATAACACTGATATCTTGTCCTCTTATCATAAATTCGCAATATCAAAAAAATTATTTTACCCTGACAATTTAAAAACGTAGCATTGATTGATAGCAGAACATCAATTACTAAGGATTTATTTAAGACTTTTGGTATATCTGAAATGTATTATTAATTCATTGTAATTATTCTCTTTTTTTTACAATAGACTTTAATACTCGATGTATCATAGATCTGATATACCAACTAAAATTTATCTATTATGGGATTTATAAAGCTTAAGTCATTATCGGACACAAAGATTGTTGAATAAACAAGAAGCTTTACGTATTTTCTTGTAGTTTTCTATGGAACTACGTCATTATATGATATATAATGTTATATACATTACAACAGGATATAAGTTGTATACAGAAACAATTGGTCCTTGAATATTATCTATTGGCTATTCAATAAATTTCATAGCATCAAGTATTATAGTTTGCCATTCATGTTATCGCTGTAGCGCACTTTACTACGTAGGCAATTTTATTAGATATCGTCAAAACCACTTCCGCTCTTGTGTATTCGTGAAGATAAGTTGAGGATTTTAGTGAGAAAATTTGAATACTGTTTAACCTGCATTAAAATTTTTAAAATTTCGTGGACATTAATGGAGGGTGGTTCAATGTAATATCTACCAATAAAGAATCTTCATGGACACTACTGATTTATGGTAATTGTTCCTAGAACAATAGGAAGCCTATTTAGTTTTTAGTATACACTATTGACAAAAGATAAAGTATCCATTATCTTTTTACAAAACTTTACTCTAGTCTGATAAGAATATATTGATGAAAAGCTATTTTTAATCCCAATCCCTACTAGAATTGTCAAACTTTTTATAAATCCTGATAAATTATTCGATCGTGAACGTCACTCCGAAATATTTAATCTTATCAAACATGAGATATACATTTAGTATTCTATTATCAATCGATTCGCTTTATACTGACTGGAAATGCAAACGGTTATTTTTTTAATATAATAGAAATACTACAATGCTTACCTATATATCTGATATATTCATCGATTTCAATACCCGGTATAAATGTAAATTTTTATATAGCACAGTAATGTCTCTTCTTAGACAAAAATTCATGAATCTCATTGTACGTGACATTTTTGTTTAATTAATATTCCAGGATGCGTTATATTAATGTCTAATTGAGAAATTTCATTTATCTGCCTTTTCTACTTTCACATTATATTTATGCAGAATATTAAATGTATTCAAGACACTATGAGCTTCATCCAATTGCTTCATTATGGTTTACCAGAAAATTGAGAATTTGAGAAATAACAATTAAAAAGAAAGTACATTCCAAACGATCAATCTAATTTTATGTAATTAAATATTTCTTATAGTCTGCTAGGCCTAATCACATAATGATACGCTAGCAAAAGTGTAATAATTTATTTACGAATATAAAAATTCACGACTTTGTAAACGTAAAAGTACTTAAAACTAAGCTAGTATATGAGGATTATGTCATCCTTTATAGTTTTACAAGTCCCATGCCAAAATATAAAATGGAATTTTTAAAACAAAATTCTATTTATATACCCTCACAAAATAACAATTTGGACTATAGTATATCTGAATACAAAGAATCCGCTCACAGATTTAATTAACCGTGACAGTTGATTTGATCGATGTACATAATATAAATAATATAAGGTTAACACGAGAAGAAATGACGACACTCTTCCAATGGATACTGTCCATTGCTCACTGACAGCTACTCTCTTGCTGCCTGCGGACAACGCTGATATCACTGATAACATAAAATTCTAATCAGGTTCCGCCGACTCTCCATACGGCGACTCCATTAATTAAGCACGATGAATATTGTCCAAGGCGCTTTACTATAAAATAAGGGAGCTTGGATTGATTCTTCAGGAATCCAAAAACTGCACAATAAGAAAGATTAACAAAAGAAAATTTTGATCTACTTGTTGCATTATTATGACAATAATCATTAGACTGTTCATACGTGTGTATGTATACAATATATGTATGTTGCATATACAATATGAGATGCAGGGGTCTCTTTTATATTAAAAGTGATAAAGAGATGGCCCGTTCGTTATATTGCTTTACGGCAGAAAGCAAGCAACAGTAATGTGTTGCTGGCGTTCTACTTAGTGCAGATGATGTATTCGTCATTCGCGTAATTAAAATTGTTAGCTTAATTGTTAATTGTGAGTGAAGACAAGTTTGCGCAATATATAAGATTCTGAATAGAGATGTACGTATAACGTACAAAATGGTAGATTGGTGAATTATTGAAATGCTAGGAATTTCAAAATCTAATTGTAAGGAATGTTTGACTCTGTATAAATAAGAAGAATAAAGTATATAAACATTTTGAATATTGTAAAAGTAAAACGTATATATGGATACTTAATCAAGGCGTCTTAAAGTTCAATCAACAACCATGTTAAAAGTCGTTATAAAATAATTTAAGACAATCTGATAACATCTTTAGAATAGTAATACTTACCTAATTCCTGAGATCCAAGAAAGATGTACAGTTAAGAGCGATGATGATGAAAACTTATAAAGTATCAAGTAAACAGGACTTAAAGCGGCAAACGCAAGACCAGCCAGAATTACATGATCAAATAATTCTGTAAAAAGAAAAACGCCGTCACGAACGTCTTCCAATGTATAAAATAACAAGGAACTGCGAAAAAAATGCCAGGAGGCATTTTACCGCGTGAAAAGCACTGTAAGGAAATGTTACTAACGGACCTGTAGCTGTGCCAGCGACTGCAGCCAAGCCCGAATAATACAAGCCCATGTGTTTCTTCCAAGCAGGATATCTCTGGGACAACCCCCACAAAGGCCATCTTCAAAAATAGCACGGCCATGGTGTGAAGGCATGGAAACCATAGACCTGGGCTCATGTACACGCAAACACAGACTCGCGCTCGAGGGCCCAGGTCCGGTCTATGGGGGCCTTAAGGACCCGAATGAATCCCACACCGGGACACCTGCTCGACCGGCCACCCTTAAGGTGCGCTCAGGTTTTCCCATGGCGATATTCTCCCATTTCCATTGGTCATTGAGACCATCGTATATTCTCATACATGAGGGACACTATTGACAGAGGTGAGATAAAAGTGATGCATCATCCATGGGAGTAGCGGTGTCCAATGGTATCTTGCAAAATCATCAGTGTGTATTTAAGGATTAACCTTTAACATTGATCGTCAACCAAATTTGAATCAGCGGATTTGTGCCTACAGGAAATTTCAATTTTGTTCTTTTATCGTGGATTGAGGGTTTTCAGAATCGTGGGTGTATTTAAATAGCTTACCCTGGCTATTTCCGATTAAAGGATTGTATCTTTTGTTGGCAGGATTATATTATGTGTGTAGCCAGCCAGGATGAATGGCTTCAATGATGCCCTAACTGTAACAGGATGCGAGATGACACATCCTGCTCTCTTTTGGCTACGTCTTCAACATCTGGCAACAGTCTGCTGTATATTTAAGTTATTGCACGAGTTCCGGGTTGCGTCCGGACATCGATATAACATATTTACCTCGACGATGTGTCGCCGCAATGAAGCTCTATTAACGTAAGAGTAAACGATTGTTGATGCGAGGAAGACTGATGTGTGGAAGTAAGGATACTCGGTAATGATAGGCAGCATAACGATCTCATAAGGTCACTGGAATATGTGAATTGAATGTGATGAGACAGGCCATGGAATCTGGAAAGGTCTAAATCCAAGTAAGTCTTTGATATTCATTTCTGATTTTATTTAAAGTTTTTCAGAAGCCAGATCAATAAAATTTTATTAATAGAGCCTCTGAGGGGGTCCCATGGAGGACTTTATGTGGAGAGAACGCACGTTTTGCCAGTGCTTCTTCAATAGCGAAACCAGGAAGTTGATCGAGAGGTGGACGTTCTGTACCAGTTCATCTGGAGTCATGTTAACGTGTCCCACAGCCACAGAAAGACACAGAACCTGTACAGAAAGAAAGATTATTTATTTTGTTACTTAAAAAATAGCTTTATTTTACAATTATTTGTATATTATGAAAAAATGTCTATCCTCCGATTGAGGTCCACTGCGATTGAGCACAGTGTCCTCACCCGTGGAGAATAATTTTATTCTCCTTCCATTGAACGGCCTCGACAACAAGTAACATTAGGATTGCAAGGTGCTTTAAGGAAGGGATATAATTTAAATAAATAATTTCAAGGAATGAAATAGAATTTACCTTCTTCATCTGGAACTTGATGGTAGCCTTGACTTCGTCAATTTTTGCAATCATGGACTCCTGATGAGAAAGAAGACCAGGGAATTTACCAGCCTTATTCAGACCAGGACCTAACAGACGAGGGATCTGCTTAATTAAGGATTCGCTAGCCAGGAAAGCATCGTACTTCTTGGCTGTAACAGAAAAGCATTAACTCGATATTAATCTTACAATATATAATTACAAAATTTAAATATCAAAGCGGTTATAATAATTGTATTGTCTCAACACGGATTGAGGTATAAGGCGATAAAACGACCATATCCACACCTAGTGAAGAATTTAATCTTCTTCCATAAATGAGCATTATTGTTATATTAACGATACAACAAAGTGCTTTACGGAAGATAGTATTTAATATAGTTAAATAACATTACCTAGTTTCTTCACAAGCTTCTTGTTTTTGTTCAGCTTCTTGAGAGCCTCAGCATCCATGTATGGAATATTGTTTGCTTTGGCCTCATCGCAATGCTGCTGATCACCCAATACGCACACTTCCATTTTTGGTCTGGGTATGTTCTTTAGTCTGAAATCATTAATAATACTGATTAGTACACCATCCTACATGATAATATACAAGTATACTTATTATATATGCAAAAATGACTCTCAGTAAAAAAAATGTACATCATTAATATATCAGATAATACATGCTTCGTAGCATCATCGAGCATTTATAAAATGCTGAAAGTTAATTAAGTAATCGCCATTTTGAAAAATTACTTACCTGCAGAATCGCGCGTAGCGATCCTGCATTAAAAATAGCGGTAAAACCTCCCCAATTTTTTTAAGACCCTGGGTGCAGGTCCGCCAAGAGAAGCTTGGCTTCCTGACATACTATGAGGCGACCTTTTCGGATATAACAGTATATAACTAAAGAAATACATTCTAGCCGAAAAGAACCCTCAAAGTCAGGTAGAAACATACTTGACGGTGCCAGAGAAACGCTTGTCCTTTTGAGGATCATAATTCTTCAAACCAATCTGCAGTTCCACGGTTTCTAAGAACGCCCTCTTCTTCTCCTGTGAGTTCTGCAGGACTCCATTTACGCACTCATAAAGAGTGTCACGCGATACTTTAGACCTAAAGAAAGCAATATTGCATTATTATTTATGAATACAACATCCATGATCCAATCAACAAATCAACATTCAGAGCATCCATGCTGATGAAAACTATTTTGAATCCGCCACGTTGGATATATAATAAACACATTTTATATACAAAAAATACGAGTGACATCTTAGTGATATCGTTCTCAACTATCATTTTATTCTTTTACAAGTTCAATAGGAGTTAAGATTAGATATAAAATTTTGGATAAAATACTCACGTCATGATGCCTGCGAAAGCAACGTCGAACGAGCGACCAGCCTCGTCGACGACTCAAACCGGAAAGAAGCGCCACTCGAATGATGCTGAGCGCAGGCATTTCCCGTTACTGTGGGTAATCGTTTTTACACCAGAGAGCGCGCACTATTACATTCCGAATAGATGGAGCCACTGTGTTATCAAACTTACCAATTTATACAAAACACTAGTTTTCCGTTTGACAGAAATCAGCTGAGAAAAATCAGTCTCATGCCTTGGAGTACTTCAAAATCTTATTAACAATAGGACACCAAATAACGGTCTTAGTATGATATTGCGATAAGTAGACTTGATCTGAATGTTATTCCATTACATGAGATTTAATTGTAAACATTTACTATAGTTGCAATTGTTGCAGAGTTTATATTACCAATAGAGATGTTCAGAGTCTCATCCTGACCACAGTTTGTGTAACCAGTGTATAAATATTACTTTCAGATTGAAAAATGTGTCCGACACTGTTGGAGAATGAAGACCGATGTCTTGGTGGAATGACTTTCTTTGCTCAGAGTCATCCGATAGAATTATGTGGCAGTAACGGTCTTCCCCTGACTCCCAATTCTATCACTATCTATGGAAGGTCTCAGTTTCTAAAGACAATTAATCATCCTAATTTGTCTACCTACTTAGACATTATTAGAAGTAAACATGGTAAACAATGCATTTCTATATAGATCATCAGTCATATGTTTCCCAAACTTCAACTGTGTAATATTAATTTTCAGAAAGAACAATTGTGGTTGCTGAATACAGTGGAGAATCTTTAACCAATAAAAAGAATTTATCTTTGGACAGCATTGTCAAGATAGCATATCAAAGTCTCCTCGCATTACAGCATATGAATGATGTGGGTCTGGTTCACAGACATCTGAGTCCAGACAATATATTAATCACTAAAGAGGGTAACGTGCAACTGTACAATTATGGATTATATTATATGACAAATGGAGGGAAAAACGTGTCTTTTCCTATTGGGTAAAGAATCCAAACTATTTAAATATTCAATAAGATATCCTGATATCAAAAAGCCCACGCAGTATCCTCTCTTTGCAGCTATCCAAAGTACACAGCACCTGAGGTCTTTTTGGGCACTAAAGTTAGCGGTATTAAAGTGGACTCTTGGTCCCTTGGAATAATAATCGCAGAATGTCTTTTAAATCAACCAATATGGCCAGGCGTTAAATTAGCCCAGTGCCTGCGAAAAGTACTCAGTCTCTTGCATTCGGAAACAATGATTTTCGAACGTTTAGCAAGAGAGAACAATTGCTATGATACTTATCAGGTTTTTATTTTCCACTAATTTATATATTAATAATTTGTCTTCGTAAGTACTTTTCATCCAATACATTTTCATTTATAGGCTGTTCCCCAAGAACTACGTGATCTTGTAGACTCCTGCCTTCAAATATATCCATCGAAACGTAAAACCCCAGCAGAACTTTTACAGCTACCACCGTTCGCTGAGCTCTTAAAGAAAGATGCGAAGGAACGAGAAGAAAATCTCTATAAAAATGTCATCGTTAGAAAGATGGATGAACTGTATTATCTGTGGCAATTAGCTGGTGGAGATATCACAATGGAATTAAAGAAACAAGGGATGGTCAGATCAAGACCACCCATTCTATCAATACCGAAGTAAGTCTATCAACTTTTGCTATAAAATATTCAAATACATCAACTTATTCAAAAATAATTATTACAGTTTAATTATATTAATTGGGCAAATGTTTGGGCGCCGAGACACAGCAGGTCTGCTCGATCTTCGCGTGGTGAAGGTTCCTCTGGATACTCTTCGACAGCGCTTATCCCACATTCCTTACACCGCTAATTATCCACGTTTAACTAGCCAGTAAATAAATTATTCAATTGATCCAAAGAGATTCAATTATACTACTTTTAAACAATTAATTCTTTTTATAGAATGCACGTTCAAGCTCAGGATGATCTGACGGATGCTGCTTCGCAGTTGCCGTTAATTATAAGAGAACGAGATACGGAATATCAATTTTACAGAATTGTTCTGTACGACCGATTGCTGCAGGTAGTAAACCACGTGGGGGTATCTTAAGTTTCAACTTAATCCTCCCTTCACTCGGATATTTAAATACTATTTAATTGGTCCTATAGATTTACCCAATTACCAGAGAAGCTATTATAAGAGAAGCACATAAAGATATACCACCTCCAGTTAGAGGAGCCGTTTGGGCTGCTTTGCTTGGAATTAAAGGAGATATTCAGAAGCGTTATGACATGATAGATAAGGAAACTCCAACTCACACGGATCGACAGGTGTTTTTGTACAACCTTATAAGTTTTTATATAAAAGACCAATTCACTAATCTTGAAACTTTTACTAGATTGAAGTAGACATTCCAAGATGTCATCAATACAGTGAACTATTGTCCTCCGGAGCAGGTCATGAGAGATTACAGAGATTATTAAAAGCGTGGGTTAGAGATAATCCATATTATGTTTACTGGCAAGGACTCGATTCATTAACAGCCCCATTTTTATACCTCAATTTTAATGACGAAGGTATCAAGACAGATTATTACAAGTTATTCTAATTATTGGATGTGAAGTAATTAATTTAATATTTTAGCTCGTGCATTTGCCTGCCTCTCAGCATTCATACCCAAGTATCTTCACAAGTTCTTTCTGAAGGACAACTCGGCAGTGATTCAAGAGTATCTTAGCAAGTTCTCACAGATCATTGCATTTCATGATCCTCAGTTAGCGAATCACCTTAAATCAATATCATTCGTGCCTGAGTTATTTGCTATACCCTGGTTCCTCACCATGTTCTCACGTAAGTACTTACCCTACTCCTAGCATTCCAAAATATCGTACAACTAGGTGAAATAATTGACATTAGAAAATACTAAATCCTCTTTTCTCCAGATGTCTTTCCTCTTCACAAGATACTACATTTATGGGATAAATTGCTATTGGGAGATTCTTCGTTTCCGCTATTAGTGGGATTAGCCATTCTAAAACAATTGCGAGATTCTTTACTGACATCTGACTTCAACGAATGCATCCTATTGTTCTCTGATTTGCCAGAGGTCGATATAGAGTTGTGCGTAAAAGACTCTATGGCAATGTATCAAAAAACACCTGGCAGCATCACGTACAGGAGGCATCAATTTGACCAATCAAAAGTACGTTAATAAGTCCCTGTACCAATCTTTCAAAAAAATGTCTAAACCATCTTATATTTCCCTTAGGCAATGCACTGGACCGAACCAGAACCAGGTACAGAAAGGATGCCTCGTATAAGCATAGATGATCTTTTGAACCTTTTAGAAAATACTCCGGACCAAGTGATAATCGTCGATATACGCAACAATATACAGTAAATATTGGCAGAACCGAAATTAAATAATTAATGTCAAGAACCAACGAATAATTTGCTATTTATTTTTAGATTCGAAAGGGGTGCAGTGAGAGGAAGTATAAATATTCCATTCACAAGTGTTCAACTCTCTCAAACAGATATCAATACTCTTGGGCCACACGCTCAGCCACTTGCTGACAATAAAGACAGTATCGTTGTCATTATTGGACCACACGATCAGAACAATGCATTGGTAAATAATATAATTAAACTATATATTAATATATACGTACTAACCATGTAATACGAATATTTTATACAGTTTGCAGATTTTCTAGTTAGCTGCGGCGTCATGGGCGTGTGTTCCCTTCAAGGTGGAATTTATGCTCTACGATCAAAAGCAGCACGTATCTTAGTTCCTACACGTTAACTGAGATTTTATGAAGAATATTATTTTTATTTTTCTAAGCTAAAATCACTCTTCTATTATACAATTACGGGATATTTATGACTCATACTTCTTTGAAAATACAAGGAAACATATATCTAAGCCACGTTCACTATCCAGTTACCATTCATAAAAACACAGCTGTTTCCTAATGGTCGCCATAGTAACCCATTGCCAAACACTGCACACAATCCTAGATCCCTAAGCATAAAGCTGCAGTGTGTATTAGCATGGCACATTCAGTAGTTCCTGTATCAATGTAAAATACGGAGAAAAAACTTAAACAATGGAGAGAAATATATCACCGACATTTCGCAAGTGGATGAAGAAGTCGACACAGGAAGAATTTGGGAGTGTTATTGAAAAGGACTTGACAGAGGATCAGGATACTTTAGAGATTGCTCAAGAAATTATTAATTCCAAGGAAATGACAGATTTCTTAACTACAATTAAAATTGCCTATCATCAACATCGTGACACATTAAGATTCAGTACTGAATTAGCTGGAGAATCTCGTCCACAGACGTCAATGTCATTAAGCAGTGATTTATCTTGCGACGAATGGAACGCGTTAAAATATCTAACTGATCAGTACAGTTACATAATCAATAAAATCAGCTGCGATAAGCCTGTTCACGTTAGACTAGCTGGATATGAAACGCTTTTAAAGAGTGAATTGACTAATGCTGCGACTTCGCAATCCTGGGATGTTTTATTGAAGACATTGAGGGATGGCATAGCCGATGGAAGTAGAGCTATCTTTGATTCAAGCTTAAAGGTTCATTCTAAACTGTTAAACACTCCTCAGTCCCAGGAGGTATATACGAATTTAATAAGTGCATTCAATGCACAATATCATTCAAAGAAATTGTATGAAGTACTGCCAAGCTTAACAACTGGTATAAATTTCAAGATATTCCTGCATGAAAAGCTCTGTCGCATAATGAACTTGATAATCCGACATCAAGAGGAAATTTTAAAGGGAGTTAGAAACGTGGACAAAACCCTAGAAGAAATGATTGAGCAGTTTATAGTATTTTTGAGTTCGCAAGCCTTTGGCAATTCCATGCAAACTAATATACTAAATACGTTACATGTCGTTTCCATTTTGGAACCTCAAGCTAACTGGAGCAAAAAGTGGATTCATAGTTTAGCAACCAGAAAAACTTTAATGGCAGCATTGGCCAAGTCTCCTAGCTTGATACAACACATATTAATGTATGTAAGAAATGGATTGACAGATACGCCAACGTTAATATCAGTAACTATTGTTGATGAGCCAGCAGAACTTTTAATTTCTGGCGAAACAGTTAAAACAATGACTTATCTTCATTGCCTAAGTCTCTTAGGGCAGCTATGTAGCAACTCAGCTGGCAGAAAACTGTTAACAGATACTCAATTGGAGCAGCCATTTTTGGTTTCAGACTTTATACTAGCTTTGTTAGATTCCTTAAATATCCTGGCTGCTAACAATGCACCTCATGGTAGTTATCAGACATCTTGCAATGTTCTACGACAAGTATTAGATACTTCAGAGATTCAGTACGATGCTAGATTTTATCATCTTACATTAAATCCGTTATTGAGACCTGTTAAGAACGAGCCAAAAATTTGGCCCCACACATTAGATATAATGACCCACATGCTAGATACCAAGGAAGGATTTTACTTTATGACTAACGAATATCGCAAAGGATCAGCCAGTTTGCAATTGGAGAATTCTAAAATTATCTATCCAATTGTTGCAGTTTTAGAGTATACTTGTAACCTGATTAGACAACCCTTTTCTGTCATGAACGTAGAGCATGTGCTTGCAATGTTTAAATTCTTAGAGAAGGTATTTGAGTATCATGACATCTATACTGTTGTTCAGGATACCATAAGAAATTTATTTTATCCTGTTATTACGTATTTGTATAACAAAATGGATAAGTATTATGTTGAAAATGAGAAGAGGAACCAACTTTTAGATAGGTGAGACAATGAATATATAAAACAAAGTTTTTTTCTTATAACACGTAATTTTACTCAATTCAATTTTAGCGCAGCTAAAAGTATGCTACTCAAAATTACAACAATTCCTCTGGGTTTAGAAATGTTGGCTAAAGAAAAATTAGTTTTTGAAGATCTCATTAGAGGATCGCTGACCCCATTACGAATCTCGTGGATTTCCAATGATATTATGGCTTTCACAACGTCAGCTGCTTTATTAAATCCTGGATATAAAATTGTTTTCAACGTAGCACCTCATGCACTATCACCTATCTTATCTGATGTTTGCAAAACAGTGGAGGATCCCCTGCTCTTTCATGATCCCTGGGATAATTTCAAAGTCAAACAATTTTTGCATATATTGAAACTGATCTCTTTAAACACCAAATGTACGTGAAGATTATTCTCAAATGTTACTGAACTACCAAATTTTTTGAGGAATAACTTGCAATTACTGATCGACAGGTTTCATTGCATTTGTGACAAATACACATAGTACCGATGATACTGATGATGATAATCAACCTACAGGATTGTGGGAATTGATGCAACATGCAGTAAATTTTTATTCGACTTATCACTGTCTGGGATTATTAACATTGAAAGAGATTATGTGGAACATGGACATTTATATTTATTTACAGAATGCTCTAAACATTCAGGTGACATAACGTTATTAGAACATATTTAGAAAACATCTTCATGGAATTTATCTAGTTCATAGATATCAGTATTCTGTTTTTGATTTAGATGGAATTGCTCAAGCTACAAGGGCACTGTGCAATTCAAATTGAAGAGGAGGGTCAGTTAAAAACGGTATATGCACTTGATGAATGTAGTTTTCTCAGACATGAGATTTTACTAAGCTCTTATTATATGAGACCAAGGCAAATGGAAAATATAGCTGAATTGCAAGAATGTACATTATTCTCAAAGTTACCACCGCCAGAAAAGTATCATGAAACTAGATCACTGCAAAATAGATCTTCACATTCTGAGCTCAATAGATTTTTACAGGAGAGCAAGCCTGGTTTGAGGGACAATAATTGGGTGACTGAGGCAAGAAGAGCTCATAGAGATTCGCGAGGTCCATTTAAAGTAATTATAAAGTTGAAGTATCTTTTCAATCTGTACTTCGTTAAATAGTTCAATGAGATGATTAAACTGCAGAGTTCTGTAATAATGGATTTATTGGATGAGATGCAAAAAGCTATTCCAATGGCAGAATGGACGGCAGACTTTAAATGGCCAACAATTAAGCAGATCGAAGGAGATTTATGGTCTCCTGAGGAGAATCAAGGAGTCAAATTGACTTTACATTATGCAGAGCAAAATCATCTTTTGGAAAGCAGTCCACATATTAAAGAAAATATGAAAATATTCTTTCGCAGTGCACACAATTTTGTTCGGTATAAAAGGCCTGATAAATTTCAAGGATTCGATTGGTTTTTGGCAACAGTATTTATCATATGTAATGGAAACATGGAAAAGTAAGTAATCTTCAAAAGCCTCAGATGGCCGCGAATCATTTCTTAAAGGCAGGCAAATAATCCTTGTTTTGCATAAATGCATTTACTAAAAAAAAAAAAAAAAAAAAAAAATTTAAGCAGAACAGTATCACTCAAGCCGCCATGCAAATTCTTAATGTAATAAAAAAAATTTGCAAAATGACTCTAGCTGACCAAACATCATCATAGGCAGGTCTCAGGTTGAAAACTTGGTCATCAACTTTGATAACATTAAGTTACGCAGTGTCAGACATTCTTGTTCGCATCACAGACCTTCCGCAATGAAGTAATAAAGTTCTAAACTGAAATTCTACTTGCAGATGCAAAACATTCATTACACAAATTGTTAAATTTCCATCTACAGCTTTTGTCTGGTTGGCACTGGGTAATTTCCTTAATCAAAATAAGGAAATGCAAATAAACACAGAATTCATATTAGCGCATTTGTTAGAAGGCATAGTTGGTAATGAGTTTCCTGCCATCAAATACACACTCAAGGTACTTTTCGATTGTGTAGCAATAGTTAATCTTTGCGATGCTAAATGTATTTTTTTTAAATTAAAAGTATTTTTCCCAATTCCAGAGTAACTGCGGAATTGATTGGTGGATGATATGTAACAAATTATTATCTCAATGCTTTTGGGGCATACTCCCTTGGAGTGAAATCATTAACTTTTTTGCAATTCTCATCTTATATCCCTCTGATTACATAGTATATTATTGTACGTCATTACTGAATCATTGCCATGAAATTATATTGCACGATATCGCAAGCAACAAATTGTGGCCTGAATCCATGGTAAATATTTGTCATTGCTACAAATAAAGAAATCATTGTGAATTATTAAAGTACTAAAATTATCCTACAATTACAGATCCTGGAGGATTATCGGTGCCACAATCAATTAGCATTTATGGATCGTTTAGGAAAAAGACATAGGAACAAAGTTCTACCTATAATGAGCCTGCAAGATTTGAATATGTCAATATAAGGATATTTCTAAAAACAAAATTGTTGTAAAGTAAATATAAAAAGCCTATCGTTCCTATCGACTTATTTATTTTAATCCATCAATATTCATTACGTTTAGTGGAAACAACAGCAACATGTAATAGAAAACAGTACTGCGAACAATGTATCAACCTCTTTTATGACAATTCTATAATATATTTTACAAGATTGTATAGTGTCATTGGCTTCAGCTTAGATTATTGTATGATTTCGTTTTATACATTAAGAGCACGTATCAATATCGTGCCACAACTGTTCCCATAGTTTTAGAATTACTTCGTTATCTCTAATAACATTATACGTCCGAACGATGCACACATGTAGCCATGTAGTTACATAAATATTTGCAATAAATGCAAGTGCACATTGTAAGCAGCGTGCACGTTCCTATGCACTTAAAGTTCACTTGAACACGAATCCTTTGTCGAAAAATCGAGCACGGATTGTCATCTACGATAATTATTATATTTCCTAAAAGTCATCCATACATCTCATCTATATTTCTCTTTGTGTGCTTCCAATCATCTGTTTTACATTTATCAAAAGCATTGTGGAATCGACTGGTAGACAACTCGAATATATACAAGACAGTGAACCAACCCTATTGTCATAGACACGTAATACACTTGACATTATTCAACTGTCTCATCAATCTTCATGAATGGTGAACAGTTTCGCAACCTCATTCAAGTCATCGTATTGTGTACCCCTCGCGAGAACCTGAAATATTAATTAAACGTCGAGCCAGCCCCCAAGAGATAAGTTGCAAAGCGAAACGGCGCCAGGAATTGATACGTACACGAGTAGTTTAGCCAGTCGTGTTTCAATATTTTAAAAGCAAAAGCATTCGAGTCAACTGTTACACGTTGATAAAGACTTACCTGTCGGGCGATGGACATGCGGTTGAAGATGTTCCAGAGGACGATGCCTACAACGACATCATCGCGTAGATAGAAGATAACTCCTTTACCGAACTCATCGCGTTTGGCGCGAGCAGGTGGTGCCGTCGACTCGGAACATGATTTATCATTAGTTTTATCCTGACTGTTCTTGTCAGCTAACACCTCGGCAGGTTCTGATATTTTTTGAGCTACTAGTTCTGTCTCGATTAAAACCTTGGATTTTACTGCTGGTGCGTTCTGTAACAATTGCAAGTTTATTTTATAGTTATAATGAGGCAGGTAAATTTAGATTAAATTATAGGAATTTTATAAGCACCTCTTCGCTTGCTGATCTTATATTTTCGTTGGATGCTGTCACTGCTGCAAGGGGTGTATCATCTTCAGTGGCTTTTACAAATACTCCAACAGTTGGCAACGAAGAGTCTACGATGCCTATTGCTTCGTACCCAACATCTGGTCCCAAATCAGACCAAAACATTGACTGATGCAAATATGGTTTACCTGTGGTATTTCATTGGAATAGACATTTTTAAGCAATCTCTTATGTGCATATTTTTAATCAAGAAATAAGATGTACTTACCAGCACCTGTCATATTTTCACCTGCCAGTCTACCAGATATCACAGCATGATCGTGATGCTCCACTCTTCTTCTGCCAAGTCGTACATCATAGAAACAAGCTGCATCTCCTGCTACCCATAAATTACTTCTTGCTTCTAGCTCTGCGTTCACTAGGAAACCACCGACCTTAGGATCCACTTCTAGATTTGACGTTGCTGCTAACTGTGTATTTGCTTGAACACCCACTGCCACGACTACTTGATCTGCGTCAATCTGTTTAAGAATTAAAAGCAAACTGTTTCCTGGGACGCCATCTCATATTGATATTTGCTTCTTAATTTATTTCAAAAGAAAAACCTACAATTTGACCATTTGTCAAGATCAAGGAGAGTTTCCCATTTTTGAAATTGTAATCTTGTATCTCGACGTTTGGTATGCAATTCACTCCTTCCGTCATTGTCTTCCTCGTCGTCCACTCGCTCAAATATTCAGGCAAAACTTGAGCCATTATTGATTTCTCCTTGTAGATCTGATAAATTTTCTTCTTTTCCAAGTTCACTGTTCATGATCAACGTTTCAATAAATAAATCAATTCTAATATATATTATGTGATACTCACAATTTCGAGCGAGAGAACAAGCAAGTTCTGATCCTAAGAAACCACCGCCAACGATAACGATATTTTTAACATTGGGATCATGAACGTTCTCCTCTAGTTCCAAAAAGTCTTGGGTCGTCCTTAACGGCACCATCTTTCTTTTTACAGCATCTTCTGCCGTTTCAAGTACCGGTAGAGTTGTTGGTGAAGCACCTGCAGAAAAGTATAAGTATAATCAATCAAGATATTCTGAGCAATCGTTTTGGAACACTAAGTTATCATTGAGTAATAGTGAATATACCGGTTGCAATAAGACATTTGTCGTATTTAATTTGATAATCGTCCTCGAGAATGGCTGTTTTGTTAACGACATCGATTTTTTTTACTTTCCATCCTCTAGCTACAGCCACACCGCCTTTATCCGAGTTAGTTAAACTAGTCACGTCTGTATAAAACTCTAAAGGCTCGTAATATAAACTGCAAAGCAATTAATGTGATCAGCCCTGAGACTTTGTGTAATTTGACAATGGTAGATATATTAGTTACCTTCTTTGAGTGCCATTCCATTGTTTAAAATTTAATATAGCTGATGCCTCCCTGTCGGAATTGTACCAAAGTTCTTTGGATATGGGTGGCCTCATGTAAGGTAGATCACTTTCTTCAGATACAACTAAAACCTATAAAATTCATAATTTACTCGGAGGTTATCAAGTTTAGTAACTTAAGTACCATTTCAGAGACTAAATGATAAGAACCTTGGCTTTGGGATCTCTAGATTTAATAGATCTAAATGCCGAAAAGGCAGCTGTTCCACCTCCGATTAACAAGTAAGGTATTTCGTTTGGTATATGACTTGAAACTGATGGTAATTTTATTGTTTTTCTTTCTCGTTTCTTCGCTTTTTCTTTTTCTAGAAAATAAAATGGGAAAAATTTATATAACAATTATCTGACCATAGAGACTTTGCGTTCTTTCAGTTTCTTACTTACTTCCTATCTTTCCTGTGTTCTGTTGTACCTTCTCATCTATATTCAACCATTTTAATTCTTTAACCTGAAAAACAGTCTGTGCACTTTATACAGTAAAAGATTAAGAAATATGACATGCTAATATACATATGTGAATCTACCGTATACACTGTAGCTCCAGCAACAAAAAGCGCAACAAGTATCTGTTTCCAATACTTGAAAGGATTGTTAGGACCATCTCCTTTGGACGAATTTCTAGATTGCGAGTTTTCTACTCCACAATCTGCATAACATGAGGCTGGGCACGATCCATCTGTTTTAGCTTCACATGGTGGACCAGTAAATGGTGAAGGTTTCTGTGCATTTGTAAATTGTGATCCCGGAACACATTCTTCAGCTTTTAATGTAGTACCACTGGGTCTTCTATTCTTCGTGTCACTACTATACCTCAAGTTACTGATACTAACAATACCTAAAGAAACATAATACACTATATGGTATCCCCTAAATATCTATAATATCAAAAACTAAGAATATCATGCCAATCAAAGAGGTTAAAGTATTCACAATGAATATGATATGGTATCAGAAATAATTAAAGATAAGTATTTAAACTATAAATATCATAGCAGGAGTTACAAAATTTTAATAAAAACAGAAAAAAATTATTAAAGTATATAAAGAGCAGGAAATTGTTCTATATCAATGTTTCAAAACATCCGGATTGCAGTGAACTGCAAAGCCCTTTTAGTGAAATACAACTGAATAAAATGAAAATTCGACTCACCTACATACTTGAGAGGTTGATAAATATTATTAGCATATGCATGCCTTGTGATTTTCGATAATTGTCCGATAACTTTGCCGCAGCTTAACATTTTTGACGGGCCCTGTTGGCCTTATGCAATATGGCGGGCGCGCGTGTGCCCGGCTCTTCCTTTGCCACGATCGAGGATTTCTTGCCGAATCTTCTCAGTGCACCGAAAAAACGATAAACCCACCACAAAATTCTCCATTACCTAATCGATCTTGCCCCTACCTGGCCATTTATTTTAATCTTCAATTTTTATTACAATGATTTCGTGCATTTATATTCAGTTTGGTCGGTACAAGAGAAATTTTTAAGCGTGCCTAATGCGCCTTGATTGAAAACGAGTGACGGACGTGCCATGACGATCGCTGCGTTTTACACTGACTTTTGGCTTACTTTCGACTATATTTTTGTGTTATGTTTACATACTGATTTTTTTTGTTGAATGAATAAACATTTATCACAGATTTTATGATATCCAAATTAGCATATCAAAATTCCCTGGGCTATATTACAATCTCATTGAGAATTGCAGATAGCTGACATAGTCAAATTAGCAACGTTAATTTATTAATTATATGAAAGGCAAACACACTATTACCATTTGTATAATGAATAGCACATAGAGTAGAACGAGACTTGCTTTTATTTAACTTCAGAATAGAGATACGTCGTACCCTTTCACGAATCCTACACGATTTACCTAGAAAAAATTGTAGTTCAGTAAGAACAAGTATAGGAGATTCATTATAATTTCTTACAATAATCAGAGTGATTAATAAAAATCCTCCACCGATTATCAAATTTTGATTATGCTTCTTATTCTTCCTCTTAAATTCTTCCTGCCAGGAACCACAAGGAATTGGTAAATCATCCATCAACACCCATCCGCAAGGTGGAGGACAAGGAGGCGGTTGAGTTGGATCGCAAGCACATTCTTCTGTGCTTAAGACTCTGGATGGCTTTAGTTTTCGAGGAAAGGACACTGAAACTTCCCAATGATAAATAACAGAAAGGATATTATAGGAAGTTTGTCATACCAGGAATAACATGTCTTGGATTCAAAATGTTGTGCTGCCGTAGATACCTCATAGACTGCAACATTATCAAGTAAACGTGACGCTCTTTCCTTGAGATAAAAAGCTATGTTTATCAGTTTGGACAAACGTGGAATATTGTTTTTACAAAAGAAACACGTTAAGGTATATTTCTTGTGTAACTCTCTCGCTCGCGTATACGAATCACATATGGCACAAGGTCTGCCTGTCCATGAAATTTCTATTCTTCACGATCTTGTGCTTCAGGATTTCAGTCAAAATCAAGGCAGACAGCTTTGGAGTACATGGCCAACTATGGTTGTTCAATGTTACAAGTATTTTTTATCTTGCAACTGACATATTAATGTAGTTCGAGCATAAGATAAAGTATACATTGAAAAATTAATTTCAATGGTATTTAAATCTGCTCCATTGCAGCTGGATGCTGGATAACTCTGTTTATTTATAATTTGGAGTATCTTATTTCCAGATACAAATTCCAGTTTGAATATATCCCAATACGCCGGCGCCAGCTATTGACAATAAAAACATGAATCGCTTCTAACTTCAGGTTTCAATGCAGCAGAACCTTAGTTAGTTGTAAACACACTCCACAGCTGTTCCAGACGTAATTAACCATTTGGATCAGTTTGAGATTTATTCACGGATGTTTAGAAAAATTTGAAGTGTATCTTGATCAAGCTAAGCTACTGACAGCCAGCCATCAAATATTTTAGTGGAATTATAAAAACGGTGAGTTCTCGAGGTTTCATATGCGTCTTAAAAGACTTGCCTAACTATACAAAATAATACCAGTATGTGTCATAAGTTTTATAACTGTATCTTCTGGCACGTTCTAAAGGAACTCCACCTTAATGATGCATTATCTTGATGAGTTATTGTTCCAGAATGAAATCGTCTACTTGTTGATACAGCTGGAACTTTTGTTTGTACACAGATCAATAACTGTATACGTATAGCGTATTTTCAAAGTAGGAGATTGATGATTAGAGGATCAACCTTTGGGAGCAATATTTATATTACTCGTACGTTTGAATCCTACGAATTAAGAGATATATATTATTTAGAATACATTTTTATATATCTTATATCCATTTTGGAGCAAGGCTCAAATTAGTTAAAAATAGGATGTACTCCAAAGTGAAACTTTAATGTTAGAAAATATCTTTAATTAAAATATTCAGGAACAATATTAAGTTCACTCATATGAAAATTGCGTTTTACTTGAACAAAGAATGACTGTCCTCCATCTATTCAGGAACTTGAGAGCCAGTAAAGGAAGAATGAATCAGTAACAGGTTGTGAGAAATAAACATAATTTACCAGTTTGGTAAAAGCCAGTCGAGAAGGCTGATGAGTATTTACAGTCTAGCTTACAACATTGTGGGTGTTCTTTTTATAGACAGAGTTCGACCTCCTTCACTGCAGCAACCAGAGCAGTCAGCTGCCAGTTACTTCCTAGTGCAGTTCGTTCTTCCTCTGCTGCATCTTATTATATATTTCTGTACATTAAGTTAATTAATTATCACCATGCCAGACAGGTATGCACCAAGTTTTGATTAAAAAATTATTCATTGAACATACTTTACTATGTGCACAATGCAGAAAGAGTAATTTCATTGTCATTAATTAATCCAATCATACATCACTGAATTAATTGAATCAAATAATTCATTGATCTTGTATAGCCATGACTTTAGAATATAAGTTAAAATTACATAGTCAGTATTCAAAGAATTTGGCCAGAGTCCAAGAAGTACATTCTCTTGATGCAATCCTTAAAAAGTAAATGAACTTGCTCACAAGGTAAATTTCACTCTAAAATTACACTGCCGTAACACAATGAACCTTTTGGCAGGACTAAAGTTTTGGTTGGTGCTGGAGTAGTATGGGGAATTACAATTTGCTGTCTTTTAATCAGAAGAAAGATTCCAAGTCCCACAGCATTATTAAATTTCATCCCAGCAATTCTTTATCGGTCAGTCAGTTTGTTGCGTGTGGAGTTATTACATGTGAAAAACATGAAGTCAGAATCTGGCATTAATTAATTAAACCCTTAACTATACCCATTGTTATACTTAATGAGGACTGCTGTGTTAACTAGGAAATAATAGGAGTTAATAACACTGATCTGTATACTGTTACTTTTTGCTTGATTAATTCATAGAATAAATAGACATTATTTATTTTAAATATTCTTTGCTCAGAAGCCAGAAAATGGAAAGCGATGAGGATCAAAAATGCAACAGCAATGAGGCTGGAAAATCCATAGATATTCAAGGTCGTTCGCATCCTGATACAGAGGATGACAATGCATCAAGGTATATAAAATTACAACAGAAATAATTACCTACATTATTGTTAATAATATAATCTTACTGATTTTGAGACTTTTTACTCGTTAGACAACAACGAGCACAGAACTTTATGCTAGGTGGTATAACTGGAGCGTCTCCACCAAAATTCGTATCCCTGGAAGAGATCCTAAAGGCAGCTAATGGCATGAAGAACATGGCCCTGGCTCATGAAATTGCAGTGGACAAAAATTTTCAATTGCAAAAACTCGAGCCAGATGAAAGTACGCTGCACAGCAGAATAAAAGAAATTATGCACAAAGCTTTTTGGAGTTTACTGGCTGAACAGTTATCGGAGGAGCCACCTAGATACGACCAAGCTCTAATTTTATTAAAAGAAATTAAAGAGGTAATCCAGATACAGCAGAAATTAATAAATTACAGTTTAACTGTATAATTATTAAATTATCCTTTCTAGACGTTGGACGAGCTCGTGTTACCACATCATACCAAAATTCGAGAGAATATTAAAGAAGTCCTAGATGTAGACCTCATAAAGCAGCAAGCTGAACAGGGCGTATTGGATTTTCATCACTATGCTCAGTACGTCATTTCTATTATGAGCAAAGTATGCGCTCCGGTACGAGATGACAAGATGATAGAATTAAAACAACGCACGGACGTGATAGAGACATTCAAAGGTATCATGGAGACACTACAACTGATGAGACTCGACTTGGCCAATTTTACAATCACTATGATGAGGCCGAATATCATAGCTTCAAGTATTGAATATGAAAAAGCAAAGTTTGCCGAGTTTCTGAAGGTTCAGACAGATGGTTTACAGTACACCAGAAAATGGATACTCAAGCATTTGGATTTGGAAAAAATATCTACCACCTCTTCGGATGTCAATGCCATCAAGCAAATTACTCATTGTCTCCTAGCTGAAGCATACTTGGATCTTCTTGAATGGGATTTCAGTCCTGAGGCAGAGGTATTTCATGAGCCAAATATAACAAACATACATACAGTGTCAAAGTATAAGCAATCATTCATGTTCGTCTAGACTTTAATGCTGGACCAAGGAAGACTATTAGAACTGCGAGATCGAACCTGCAGGTTGAGTATTGTTGGCTCAGTATTACTCTTAGTGAATAACACAGTAGGTGCTCCTATACAAGAGGTCGCCAGTTTCAAGAATAATATCAAGGAGCATATGGCTGTACTCTTAGATACAGTACATTCGAACAAGTGGGTCATTCTTCTAATTTTAATAATCCTATATGTATATACAAATTAACATGAGAATCATACATGTTACAGAGACTTGGAAGGAGTTATGCCAAATATAGTATTACAAGTAAAAGCTGATGTTAAGACGACATTACAGGAAGTAGGGGCACCAGATTTGCAACCAGCATTGGAAACACTACTAGAAGGTCAGATTTTGGATCTTTTGAAATCAGATCACAAAATCAGACATCTAGTCAGTGAGTACTTAATAATACAACGTACTAAATGAATACTAATCATAATATTCAGTATAATAGTTTACTAAAAGTTCTTTGACCCTTTGCAGGTTTAAGAATTCGACAGTTCTTACAGAAAATCATATTATCCCAATCAGCTGCTCCACAGCAAATACCACCTGGTCTGTCTTCGCTACAAGAAGAACTGGCAGCCATAGCTGCACAATTTTTAATTCTCGTGGCGCATAACAGAAGTGTCTTTGGCGAGTATTACCAAGAAATAGTAGCTAATGCAATAGCTGATAAAAATCGCGAAACGGATAACCAAGAGGTAATAGCGTAGAATTGAACAAATAAGTCTTACAGCCAACTGATTAACTTCCACTGCAAGTGATATGATTATGTCTGATGATTATTCATTACTGAGTAAAACTGTATGCTGATCCTCATTCATCGTTTAATTTCTTACATGAGATTATAAGGAATATTTTGTGGTTTTGCTACGCTGATTAAGTCTTGACATATCATGACAATTAGTTTTAGTTAACCAAATCATCCATGGCGTGTAGTATTTCAACCATCTTTGTGCTGGTGCTATTAAACGACGTGGATAAGGATCTTTCCATTTCTTTCTTTCAGTATAACTAAACTTGAAAGTATATTATTCAAACAGCACAACTGCTATGTTGGTCAAAGGATTGCACGAGAATCACAATGTATAAACTATGACCTTTGTACGGTTTTCTATACAAGAAACTTTTGATAGATAAATATTTTATAGATCATTAATTCAGATGATACTGAAAGAATATCCTTCCTGGATTATACAGTAGCGATATTGTTTATGGCAGTGTCTATTTAATATATGCACATCTAGATTCCGTAGAACTGTGCTAACTCCAGAATTTTACGAGATTCAAATGGATACGTAATTTAAAAGTAACTAACTAGCCTGTGGTATGAATTCTTATTGTAATTTTAAATTACTGAATATGCAATATTACTAGTCGATGAGCTAAGAATGAATTACTATTGGGACTGAGCTTTCTTGAAATTACCCATAGGGACAATACAATTATTATTGTACCATTGTCCTGTATTGCTAATGAAAACAGTTGTGGATAGAACAACTTTAAACTAATGAACTGTACAGTGAAACATAATTTTTGTACCTATTAACGAACTAGTATAATAAACATTTACGAAAAAGAATCACAGATTTATTTCACCATAAGAACAATAGCTATTTTAGCATATAGTATAAAATTTTTATAAATATATCTTTAAAAATTGCAGCGTTTTTACTCACTCATTGTTGTAGCCTGACAAGTGAGAATTTCTTTTCATATTCTTGATATGCTCATCGAAAAACGATTCATGTTCCTTCTTCAAGTACATTCGGAATCCTACAGAATAATTATAGAAAATAATTAAACTTTAATAGTCAGCTTTAAAAAAATTCAACTGCTGAAGAATAAATAATACATTTACCCTCGAAAAGATGTTGGAGATTTTCCTTTGCCGAAAATAGATATTCCAAAGAGTTCATTAAGTCTTCGAACTTGCCATGCTTCCTGTAAGCGTCTGCCATTGTTCTAAATACCTTGAACTTCTCTTTGGTTAATGAAAGCTTAACCTGCAACAATAATAATAATATAAATATACTTCCAAAGGAATTAATTATAAAGATACTTACACTCTTTACGTAATTTATTCCTAACTCCCGTTTTTTATTCCTCACAGCATCCTTTGTAGTCTCTTCAGATTGCGTACTAATATTGGTAGTGTCCGCAAATGTAAGATCTCTAGATGTAGAAGGTTCAGAAACATTAGCATTAAATCCTAATGGCAGTATTTTAAGTTTACGTTTCTTCGCAGCCGGTTCTGTTACAATTTGTGTTAGTTCACATCTGGTCCAATCATCTTTTAACTTGCAATCACTAAAGTTGATAACAGTCCTACTCGCTGTACTTAGCACATCAGTGAATTCCGTGAAATCAATTTCTTTTGAATTTTCTATTGGAGCTTTATCACTAGAATACTCTATACTGCTCTCTTCCAGTTTTAACGTACTCTCTGCCTCAACTTTTACATTTGTTTTTACAGGCCTTGAAACAGCAATATCAAATCTTGCCGGAACAGCCGGCAAGGAATATTCATTAATATCATTACGTAAGGCTTGCATTTTCGGCCGTGGCAGCTGAAAATATCAAGATAAAATCATAGAAACTAATTAAACAATTTCATATTTATCTCACAATTTACCGTAGCACCAGCATGCCGGAAAAATTCTCTGAGATTCCTAGTGATTGTTCCGAAATTATCAAATTTCGTAATGTGCGGTCGCAACCATGCTGACAATTGACTTTTGAAGTTAGAATCTTCAAAACGGCAATCACAAAGGATAATTGCACCATAATCATTCTTGTGACGTATTATGCGACCAATTGCTTGATTAACAGCACGTGATGCTTCAAGCTGATACCACTGTTTACCGGTGAGACCCTGTATTTTGAGAAATCACGTTAAATATAAATCTTGCATTACTAAAGTATATAAAGTACTTGCAAAATCTTAATACCTCTTTATTCTTTGATCTCAGCTCTTCCAAATATTTTTGCTTCAGAACAACTCGTGGATCTTTGAAAGGTGGATATGGTAAACCAGTTATCAGAACTGCTCTACCATTTGCATCAGCAAAATCTAAACCTTCACTCACTTTTCCACGGCACACAGCCATAAATAATGCACCCTTGCAAGAGGGATCTCGAATTTTTTGATAATATTCATTCATTACATTTACAAAGCCATCTTTTGTGTGTGGTTCCACATAAATTGGCTAGGGAACAAAAATGCAAAAATTACTTTTAGTAATCAAATAAAAAAAAAAAAAGATTTACTGTACCTTGCGATCAGCTATTTGAGTCCATAGACCAGTATTTTGCCAATCATCCCGACATTTTTTCATTATTGAATACGAAGGGAAAAATACTAATATTCCATCTGGTATCAAGCAACTGAAGTTGTATATAGTACGGCCAAGCGAAGCAATGTACTTTGGATTATTTCTAAATGGGATAAAATATATTTAATGATCTATAAAGTCATAATATACATTTACAATACCTTGTGTTATAGGATGAATTCAGCTGATAACCGTCAGGTCCCTTGCTGAGAACGCCGACACAAACTTGTGAACCAGATATTACATGAGGATTCTCAAGTTGCACAGAAATTGGTATACTAAGTTCTGAAATCGTTGGTTTCAGTGGAGACAAGGTACCACTAGTTATAATCACTGAGCGTATTCCTTGTTCGACGAGCTGTTTCATGCTACAAGATTACAGATTAAAAGAAATAATTAATGTATCAAAGAATTCAATAAATTTATTTATTCTTACCCAAAACCAGGACTGAAACACCAATAACTAATAAGTTTCCCTTCGTTCTTAGTAGATGATGGTTTCTTAATTTCCCATCCATCGTTCTTATAATTCTTTTTTGACTCCTCGAACTGAATATGTACCTTGTAACATTGCATGACATTCTGTCTATGTTGCAAAGATCCGCCACTACTGAATGCTATTCTGAGCAAATCGCTGAACTTTTGAAGGCCATTTCCTTTTCTAGTAAATGGTGAAGTACTCGTTGTCGATAGATAAAGTATTATTTTATCCAATTTGTCAATCACCAGTTGTTCTTTGCCATGTGTTAACTAGAGTAAAACGTGGTAACTATTCAGAATCTTCAGATTCAAATTCAGAAACGTCAGCGAACGAATTACCTGTGCTTTTTCAAGAAGTTCAAATATATATTCGCCTGGTAGAGTTTCACCTTCTTCGCGTTTCTTTATTTCTATGCTGTCAATAGCTTTTTCGAGCTCTAGGAACATCTCCTTCAAAATGCATAAATCTTCGGATGAAAAATCCTTTTGTAAATTACTAGTTATATCCTGAGAAAAGTCACAATTCGTTGCTTCATTGGCAAAATCTTGCATTATTGCTGTTATTGCATCAATACAAATAGCTATATCTGTGCTACTTATCTAGGAAACAAATTTGCTATTTAGTATAATAGCATAGTTATAATTTTGATAATATTCGTTATTGAGTCATCTCTCACTTGTAACGAAGCAGCCTCCTCACACATCTTTTCCACATTATGCCCTTCATCGAGTAAAACAACATTATTCTGTAACTCAATTCCCTGTGTTTTCCGTGTTTTAGGATCTAATAAATAATTATAAGGCATGAAGGTAATGTCAGCCCTTTGCTTGAGTTCCCTCGATAAAAAATAAGGACAGCATTTCATTTTCTGTCCTACTTTTACTAGATCCTCTATATCCATTATTTCTTGCTTAAATATAGGATCATCTTGCCTGCATTAAGATATATATGTAAAGATTTTTTATGATACTAAAAATCAATTCCTTAATAAATATTAAAATACATATACCTAGATGCTACATTGTTATAATAAAAGCATGTCCTGCCTTTGACTTTAGCCTGACACATTTGAATCTTAATAAATGAACTGTGCTCCTTGGATACTTCAGGATGAATGCAAAGCTGATCTCTTGAACCAATGACAGCAGCAGTAACATGCTTATAAGAACTTCTTTTTAATTCCTGCATAGCTTGTGAAAGCTGCGAGTGAGTTCTGGATGCATAGATTATCTTAGGTAAAGTCGGCCCAAAACTACTTGTCTGTTGATCAGGTTTTCCCACAGCCTTATCCAAGCTATTTGTTAACTTACTAAAAAATTGCCCACCAAAATCTAGTTTATCTGTAGCACCCGCAGCTGCCTGAGCTTGCAGTTGAGCTTTCTTCACCAATAGCCAACTGAGTGATGAGCATAGTAAGCTCAATGTCTTTCCAGTCCCTGTGAGAAACAGAAAAATTAGCTCATATCATATTTCATCAAACACACGATGAATCACATATCTCAAATCTTAATTATTTTATAAATGACAATGCATTATATCCATACCAGTTGGTGACTCTAAAACACCATGTTTACTGTCCTGTAAACATTCAATAACCTTTCTCATATATTCTTCTTGAACGGAATATGGTTGAAAAGGAAAGCTAATAGTAATTCCATTAATTATAATATCAGGCATGATTTAAATAATTTAAAACTATTATTAAAACTCTACAGCCTATCGTATGTTATGTCGAAATACTACTTTGTTAGGCCCGATTAAATATTTTGTAACTTGTTTTGTTACATTCCCGCCAACTTCCAATTTTCAATACGGTAACTGCACCGTTTTGCGCAATGATGACTTCCGCTGTTAAACCGGATAAGCATGATTTTCATTCGTAGCTCATGCGCGTGCTGACATCTCTTTCCGACAGAAGTTTCAACAAGGAGCATTCAAGTTTGTTTAATTTTATAAATAATCCGCCAATATCCTGTGCATCTGTATTTCTTACAAATAAATAACACGTCGAGTGCGTTTCTTATTATTTAATGAGTAGTTTTATACAAATAATGAACGGATTCAATAATTTTCAATATATTATGGTGCATGGTTACTGTCAGTCAGTCAAGGCCCCTATGAATCTTCTAACCTGAGAAGCTTTAGATTTAGATGATAGAAAATTATAAATAGTGATCAGTGAAGCAATACATTCTTGTGAAGATATGTAGCAAAAAACTAAATGTTAATGTATATACTTTTAACTAACAATTCTTTTGAATAGTTTGGATCTCTTTCAACAATTTCTGATAACCTGTGAATTGAGCTATGGAACGTTGTTTCATTTAGTAGATTTTGCAACAGATGTTTGTGCAGAATTTTTGATGGCTTGTACTATATTAATTCACATAAGAGCTTTGTTTTAATGCAACACAGGCTATTGACAGTATACAATCTTTAATGAAATTATTCAACATGAGACTAAATTGCTTTTGTTTACACTTTGCAGAATGTTGATGCCCAAGAAGAATCGTGTAGCCATTTATGAGTACCTCTTTAAAGAGGGAGTTATGGTGGCTAAAAAAGATTACCATGCACCTAAGCATCCTGAACTGGAGACAATTCCTAATCTTCAGGTCATTAAGGCCATGCAGGTACAGCAATGTTTTTTTGAGTACAGTATGTACATTAATGGATTATGTAGATAATGGTGAAAATATCTTTTTACATTTGTTTTTCAGTCTCTGAAGTCCAGAGGATACGTCAAGGAACAATTTGCCTGGCGTCACTTTTACTGGTACTTGACAAATGATGGTATCGAGTACCTTCGTGGATATTTGCATCTACCACCTGAAATTGTACCTTCCACTCTTAAGAGGCAAGCCAAAACAGAGACTGCAAGAGCCAGAGCACCTGCAGGACCCAGAAGCGAAACCTCCCGACCTGCAGAAGATCGTGCTGCTTACAGACGTGGACCTGGAGGACCAGCCGGTCCTGGAGACAAAAAAGCTGATGTCGGCGCTGGAACTGGTGACCTCGAATTCCGTGGCGGTTTCGGACGTGGAAAGGCTCCTCAATAAATAACTTTTATTACGCTTAATCGTAAAAAATAAGACTTGTGTCCATTTATTCAATCTCCAATTACATTCTATTTCCTTTCTTAAAAACGGGAGTAAATAATAATTAATAATTATCAATCGTTTGTAATAATTATTTTTATTCGAGTTCTCTAATCCAAAGGTAAACAAATTGTCTAAGCTAGACCAATTACCTCAGGATATGTGTTTACAAGTATTTTATATACATATCCCATATCACTTGCAACTGAGAGAGATAGTGATGTTATGCCATTCACGATGCAAGATACAATACTAAATTTTACTCTAAAATCAATCAATTTCTTCTAGTGATCAAAATGTTTGGGTGCATCAGGATACTGTTTGTTGTACCACTCAATATATTCCTTTTTACGTTTTTCACGCAATGCAAAGTATTTAGGATACATAGCCTTTTCTATAGGATGCCAATGATCTAAGATCCAATCAGGTGGAATAACCTCACGTTCATAAGCAACACCTCCTGGTGAATTGGCAAACACTTTAGGTTGATAGTGAGCAAATTCAAAAAGTTCCTCTTCGCCTTTTTCAAGATAATGTTTTGCCAAGCGTAAATCCTTTATATTGACCTTCTTGTCAAACCGATCTCTCATTAAAACAGCAAGGTACCTAAACAGAAAGAAGTATTTAATTTATACACAAGAAAAATCTTGATCCAGAAGATGATCCATCTTTATACCTGAACTCAGGCCTTGTATCACAGTGGCTCTCGAGATTACGCAGGGCTCTTTTATACAGACTGCATACTTTCCTGGCATGAGTTACAAGACCCGTTGGCACCGACACTGCCATTGCTCTCGCAAAACGTTGTAAAACCTCCGATTTACAATGAATTTTAGTTCAATATAAATTATGTAAAGATAAACCTCCACAAACTAATGACAACATAGAAACCACTATCTCTTTTCCTTGATGCTATGTATGCTAATATTTGTTCACCTATAGCTATAGTAATCCAACTTCTTCCTGTCTTCTTCTGTGCATTAGCAACACGCTCATAAAGTGTTTAAATCTAAAACTATTGAGCAAAGAATTCAAACTATGTTATTGAAGGAATACAATAAAATTCATTAAAAGATATACCTTCACTCTTAAGCCTGTGAGAGACTAAAATGTATTATCCTATTTGTCCAAAATGTCTTATAAAGTTCAATCAGAAAACTTAAAGGAGCCGTATTTCCGGTGAGCGACAAGCGACACGGAACCTCAATCATCAATGGCGTCGTTCCAACGACCGTCGCAAGTTCTAGAGTCGCGTTGTCGTTACATCGACGGTCCCTTTATTGCTGGCGATTGGCGATTTTCGCGGATTTCAGGTACGTCAAAACTATTTATGGCGCCGGTTTGCGACTTCGTTACTTGTTCTTAACGACGATAGACTTGCATGCAAACGTGACGAAGGCTTTCGTCTCGCGTAAATTCTCCTTCTTCAATTGGAAACGCACGTTTTGACGACGAGATGCACTTAAAGTGAAAAATAAAAACAATACTGTTCCGTGGAACGATTTTTAATTTTGAACTTAAAAAATTAATTAATATCTTCTCTAGCATTGATGTTATTCAATTTTATCTTTTTGAAAAATACAATATATGGATAGTTAGTCGGATAGTATTCTATGTTTCTCCTTTTTTTTATGTTTCAGGAAACAAAATTTTGAAGAATAAGTTTACACAGATTTTAAAACATGACACCTACTATGCCACCAGATTCTCATAAAATATCGCTAAAAATTATAGAAGCAATTAAACAACATCCTATTCTGTATATATCTGATGTGAAGGGATCCACAATCAAGTTACAAGAGTTTCGACAAAAAGTGTGGAAACGTATATCAGATGAACTGGGCTTGGATTGTTAGATTTACTTGTTTATATGTCGAGACACTGTTCTTGTTTTTTAGTTTTATGCAATTGGAATATTTCTTTCCAGCTGGATGGGTAAGACTGAGGTGGAAGAACTTGAGAGACACGTATTGTCGTATACTCAAATATAAAAACAGAACAGATAAGGGTGCACGGACAAAAAAATGGATATTTGAGGATCACTTAAGTTTTTTGAAATTTCCGTAAGATATCAATTGTCTTCTATTCAAATTACATACTGTAAAATACTTATACATATATATATTTTTTAACATTTAGCTATGAGCCAGATTATCAGCCTCAATGTGTAGAACTAACGGAGGAATATATCCAGGATATAAATTCTGGTGGCATAAGTTCCGAAGGTCTTCTTGAGCAGCTGGAAGATAGAAATGATGAAGATTACAGTGAATATTTAGAAGTACTGGAAGAAACATCTGCAGACCCCATCTTAGATGATTCTCAAGTAATAGAAGTACTTGACACGGCTGATCAAAGGTTTCCAGATCAACTATTGGACAATGATGGAATACAACATGTAGAGTTAAACAATTATGAACAAACAATGAGAAAGTACCGAAAGATTCAACCTAAAAGACCTAAACTAGAACAACAATCACCAACAGAGATTCCCAACAGTTATAGTGTCCTAAAAAGTTCTGTGCTTAACGCCAGCCGCACGATTGTACATAGTGCAGACTACAATACCACAACCAGTCCAGTTTTTCATAACAACTCAATAACTTCCACTCCTACGACTCCTTTAAAGGGTAGTAGCTCTTTAAAGCTGCAAGATACTAATCTTGATCACATGTACCTGGCCCCTGAGGGCAAGAGCAGTATAGAATTATTTTTTAACAGTATGGCACAAACTGTAAAAAAACTTCCAGCAAAAGTACAGGCTGATATAAAAATGGAGATTTGCAAAATAGTTACGGAAGCTGAAGTACGTTACTCTACAAGGAACATGCCCCAAAGTACACAACAATTCATAGCACCACCTGGTATGATACCAAAATTGGTACTCATACCATGTAGTATGATCGATGGTCAAAATAATAAAGGTTGATACAATCAGACAAATAATACAAGCTTTCTGAACAAGTCATTTTAAAGCCTTTTCTTCAGGGTAATTTCTAAGAAATAGGTCAATATCAATTTTCTGCAAAATGCTGAAGTAAAAAAGTTCTATTCTATCTGTAAAGTGTATCAAATAAATATAAGTTTCGCATCATCTTAAATCATTCGAATTGACACAAAATCGAAGAAAATATCACACATTGCTAGAGTTTTTATATACGAAAATACTTTTTGTACAACTATGAACAGGTACAAAAATTCATTAACCTGGATCTTATTTTTTTAAGATTAATTAATTTCATTAAAAATCCCACCTTGTGCACAGCAACAAAATAGAGAGGTGAAAGAATACTAATGAGATCATATTACTTACCAAAAGAAGTATCCACAGAATATGAGATCATAGTTGGGTTAGAATTGAAACCTAATGAAAAAATTAATAATTTACAATCCTGTCTATTCTATTAAAAGTCTATCAAGCTACCTGTTTATTTTGGAAGAATTACAAGTATAAAAATACTTATTCGACTTCTTCAACGAAGAGATAAGTTTACTGGGGTTAGCAACAGGCATATATGGCGACAGGTGTGTTTCCATAGTTATGACCACAAGAAAAATGAAAAGACATCAAGGATGTTTATTCAAAAGTTTGTAAGAAACGCATATGCTACACTGTGAGAAGAATAAGCCGAAGAAGAAAGTGAATTTATGAGAATGATATAAAATTTATGAAGATTCCGTAAGTATGCATGATTTTAAAATTGAAGAGTTATAAGTTCTTCTCACTTAACCTATAGTTCATTTTTGTAACAGATTTGAACACAATTACGTGAAAACATAACAGAATCTTGTGGAAGTAGACATACGATTGAAAAATGGAAGAGATAGAAGAAGTTTATGAGGTCAACGACGTATCTGAGAAGCAAGGCTCAAATTTAGAGGATTGTGATGAAGAAGGCACTGCAGAGTATCTGGATTTAGATTTGGAAGTGATTAATGCTCCTGATGCTGAAGTATGCTATGCAAATGAATCTATCATTCCTATTGAAGGGGACCATATTGAAATTAGGGAACCCAAATTGCAAGTTAAGTCTTCTTTATTAATGTCAAATGTTAATGGTAACAAGGAGTCAAAATCATGGGCAAAGTATAGACCAATTAGACCAAAACCTTATCAATCAAATATAGTCATTGATAATCATGCTAATTTCATACCCCCTATGATGACACTTTCGCCCACAAAATCAGTAACAAACTTTGAAACTAGAAGCTCTACAAAGTCTAAGAGAAAGAATCGTGAGGTCATTATTGATCCAGCTAATATCAAAGTAGAAAGTTTTCAAAGATCAGGTGGTGTTGAAAGAAGCATCGAAAGGAATAGACTAAAATCTCATGAAATTGCACAGAGCATAATGGACAATACTGTAGAGAATAAGCAGGTTGGTCATGGCAAGGACAGTATAGAGTTATTTTTTGATAGCATGGCACAAACGGTTCTAAGTTTGCCCATGCATGTTCAAGCTAAAATAAAAATGGATATCTGTAGATTAGTTACAATGGCTGAAATAGAACATTCAACACCCACAAGAACATTTAACCGACATTGAAAACCGTAAATCTTTTCATAAAAGTAACGTCACTTCATAAGTCTATGCCGTTATACTTAGCATAAATAGTGTACAAGTCATGAATATTTTGTACATGGAGAAAGAATTAAAGACTACCACACATCAGTTAAACTTTAAGAGAATTTATTTATAGATACGAAAGAAATTATAAATGTGTAACAGGCATAGAGCTGCCAGATAAGTACAATCCAAACCCAGCGTATCCACGTAAAACGCCAATAATACGTCACATATTAATGCAAATATTTTTTATATCTTTTTTCTTTATCCTCTTACAGAAATTCGCTTCTCAACTAAAAAGCAACACTCGAATCAAACAAATGTCATGGGTTCTCGCACTCAAGTAGCATAAATTAGAAAAATCATATTAGTGTTCGAGTGTCCCTTATTCCTCATTTTTCCCTTTTTTACTTTTTTTTTTTTTTTAATCACTATTCCTCCCCTAGCTATCTAATAGTCTGAGAAGATATTTGACGGGATGCTTGACAAAGAAAAACATTTGCAACGCTTTTACGGCTAGAAGCAAAGAAGTATAACAAAGTGTCTCTCCGTCTTTTATTTCAACACAATGTATTTAAATGTTTCGTGCAGTATAATCTATAAATGCAACGTAAAACGTATACGTATTCGCCTGTCTACAATGTCCCAATAAGTCTGTTCTACGCGATATACAACACAGAAGCATTCTATTATCCATATTACGTTAATTTCTATAATTTTAATATTTTTTACCTATTACAGTTAAGTAAGAATTAATAAGTAATAAGATTGTTAAAAGTTAGTACAGTATCTTTGGAGTTTCATTCGTGGAGAACAGAAATACAGTATATACTGGAGTGCGGCGATTGTATCCTCAGGAAGAATGGATGAACGAAAGAAAAAACAAAGGTGCACGAGAATATATAAAAACAAAGTAATTCATTGAAAAGAAAAAAAGAAACTCAATCAGACAAGTCCTAAAGGTCTTTATCCTTTTAGGATTCGATAAAGAGATATAACGAATCATAAGACAGCTGGGGCATGGAATGTCGCCAAGGTGTAGTTTTTAAATATGATAATCTAAATCGACGACAAAAGTATTACAGACTAGTCGACGATTTTTATCGCATTTTATAAGATGAATAATACGTGTTAAGATGTAGATGCGTATATCTCTCTTCACCTGGCTGTCATATGTTCCTTTTTTTTTCATCGATAAGCAGTAGAGCAATACGGTACACCGTAGCTAGGATTAAATAGATAAAAGAGTATGGAATACACTCCATTATCCTGGACTACGTCCAGAGGTAGAATTCGATAACAATCGAAGTTACCCAAGCAAAATCATTCAGCTTTTTTAACTTTTTTTTTTTTACTGACAATGACTGGCGATAACGCTGTACCAAGATATTTAAGCGAATAGGGCGCCAAGCGCGACGGCGGCTTCGCTCCACGTTTTCTTTACGTATAATCTCTTTTAAAGGATTCTGATTTTGCAGCGGATGATAATATTTAGTGAAGAGGATGATAAACCTTCTTAACGTTCCTGAGAAGTAACGTGGGTACAAAGCCATCGTTCATTGTTCCTGTGAACTGCTACCGTTTATTCCTCCTTTTCTGCTTTCTCACTGTCCTGCTTCTCCTCGCCTTCCTGTTTATCTTCACCCTCTCCAGGTTTGTCACCCTCGAATTTCGGTCCCGGTGCTTCCTCTCCTTCGAGGACAATTTCCTCTGGATCTGGTGCACGTGGTAGGAAATCTTCATCCGGGTACATTGCTGCAAAGACTTCCTTTGCCTGGAAAAAAAGAAGCAGTGTGCTCGCATGAGTACGTAAACGAGATAGAAGATGGGATGAGGAACGACGTTTACCTGGTTCACAGCAAAATCAAAATCGAGGTCTAAATCAGGACCGGAACAGAGATGAATATTGCTGGGTGCGGAGTTACTGAGCTTGATATCACTCGCTGGTAAATTCAGATAGAGAGACCAGAGTACCTGGGGCTTCGGATTCTTGATCAGGTCTCTAGTCTCTGCATCACCTTCTTGGATATGTCTCTTGTCCGGAGACACAGTTTGGGTATGAGAATCGGTCGAGTCGCGAGGACCTTTAGGCTCGAGGACTTCGGCTCTTAGGAATTTTTTCACAACGTACTCCAGGTCATCCTTAGCAGTGTTGATTCTTTTACACGTCATATGAACCATAACTGGAAAAATCAAGAAAAGGATTAATCAATATATTCATTTAATATAGTAAAAGAACAATGCAAGATTAAAGTCAGGATACATACATAAACCCTGAGGACAAGCATTCGTAGATGGACCCAATTCAATGACAGTTACAGGCTCCTGACCATTCTTCTCGGGTGGATAATACAAAAGAGTTAAATTCTCCTTCTCGCCTTGCATTATGGACCTGTCTGTGATGAAGATACCACGAGATATTTGCTGCTCTCCTACAGAGGCTACAATTTCCGGTGGTACGTGTCCCTGTCCCACCACCAGATGCTCCAGAGCTAGTCTCTGCTTTCCTGTTATGATTGCTCGACACTTATCCTCGCAGACGATAACCCCATCCAGTTGTCTCTTGAGACAATACACGCCGCCAAATACCGCGCAAAGACTACAGCAAAAAATACAGCTTAATATCATCACGATTATGCAGAAAAACCTACCGGAAGTTCAATGATTTTATAGAAAGGAGATGCTTACCGGCAGAAACATTGAGGCAGCTCGCCGCTACCATACATAGGCCATAAAAATGGAGTATTTCCATAACGTCCAAGACTGTTCAGGAAGTGTTTTGTGCGATTAACGCCATCCCTGCAAGAGGTTTTGTCAGTGGCCATTGCAATGGCTTGCATCACGTAGTGCTTCACGATAGGCGTAAGATTTTTGGTATTCAAATACTCCAGGAATGTTTTATCACGGAATCCTATGAAAGACAAGATATTTTGAGAATGACGACAAAGAACGTTTCATGAGATCAAGAATTTGTAGAATGGATTTTTACCATCAAACTCAGGGCTGTCTGCTCCTTGTTCCATACAGGAGGTCAATAGCTGCATCAACATCCTCTTCTCTATGACGCTGACCGTTTTATTAGCGAAGACGTCGGCACGAGAACAGGGCACCTGGGTGAGTTTACCATCCATGAACGTCGCTACCCTGGAAACCGCACGAAATTCCGCATAGCGTGCGATATTACTTGAAATCAGGAGTTCCACAAGTTCTCCTCGTGCGAACAGCAGCTAGAATAAAATATAAAATGAGCAATGTTGATTATAGAGCAACAATGAGTGGAGATATCAGATAATTTACCTTTGGTGCCAGATCAATATTGAATCTTCTATATTCTTTCTTGATGCGATCTATGCTCCATTGCTTTACTGGTTCTTTTTTCTCCACCTTGTCTTCATCTGACTTCTCGGATCCCTCTGCAGATGCTCCATCACCAGAGCCATCTGTTTGAGTGTCCTTGGAAGTGAGCACTGGTAAATCAGCATCACTGTAAAACAAAATAAAGATTAGCGTAAATAATATATCTAAGAAGTACTAATAGAGAAATATCTTACTTAGAGATGAACCAGGTTTCTTCAATATTCTCTACAGCAGAATACTGATTGCTTGCATTAAGGAAGTTCTCACCAGCCTCCACCTTGATAATGGTATCCTTTTTTCCATCGCTCTTAGCTGCCTTAAGATCTTCTATCCACTTTTGCAGGCCATCAAAGTTGAACGTAGCCCATAGGCCACCATAGTATTCGTTGCTAAGATAAGAATACAGTAACAGGATTATAAAAAGAAATGACACAAAAAGGAAATAGCAAGAGGGGGAGTACCTATCCAAATGTAGGACCTTCTTGCCAATCCTGCTAGCAGCTGCAGCCACTATGGACTCAGTCATACCTAAATAAAATAATAATTTTCTCATCATAATGGGAATCAATTTGAACATACTGGGACTTATTCCCAAGGATTTGTGGTTTCAGATAAAAAATCAATACCTGTGCCCACAACGACCACGTCGTATTCGGTCGGCAGATCGTCCTCCATGGCTACCGGTTTGTTCGATACGAAGAAGATTCCTAAGAGATCAAAAGAAAATCAAGAATCTTGAGCACCGATCGCCACGGATAAGGAATCAATTCATTTTAGGCAATCGCCCTGCTAATCTCAAATTTCACACGACGGCCCCTCCCCGCCACTCTTTATCCTTCACGGGCTTTCACCCTTTTTTACTTCAAGTTTGACAGCTAGTCGGATACCTTGCGTCCACTCTTGAGCGCAGAGAAATGTGTCATTCAGTGGCGCCGCCACCAGTGTGTCTAACGTATGATGAAGGTGTTATAGGGTGGACGCGGCAACTTCAGGTATCTTATTTAGGATGGGACATAGTTTTGCAATGAATCTAAAATTCTAGAATTGATGATAGTGAGATAATGAATGACATTAGAGAATTTCAGGATTTTTTATAATTATTGAATATAAAATTGGTACAAGCTACATGGTTCGTCTTATTAGAAGCATTTTAATATTATTACAGTACTGGTATAGTATGAAATATTTGAGAGAGCGATACATCATACATAGAATTCTAATTAAGGATAATTATAGCAGTCTTATTCTTCTCTGCTCATAAATATTTTAGGAAAGCCCATGCCTTCTTTTTTTTTGTTATATTTCTTCATCGACGATAATAATCTTTCGTATACCAGTTTTGGAGCATCTATTCCCCATAGGAAATCCAAATGATTGAATTTTGGAAAATCCACTTTATATTTACCTAGTTTCTTAGGTAATTCTTTATACAGTCTGTCGACATCCTGTACAGAAATTAAAAATGTCTCTTGATATATTATATTTCACTAACAATAATGTTATTTATAATTACCACAGAACTTGCGAGCCAATCGTTATCTGCATAATAAAAAGCAATAGGTACATCAATGTTACTCAAGATGTACTCTGGAGGGTTTGTACTATTGTACAATTCTTTATTCTTCTCTGTACCATAATCGTACTGGCGAAATTTGCCAGAAGTAATTTCCTGAGCATAATGAACTAATGATTTGGTCGAAGTTCCTGCTGGTGTGTGATTTAAGATGATGGGCATAAGAGTCTGTATAGAAAAAATATGTTGAAACATTTTTTATGAGAGCAAATGCAAATTACTCACATTATTGAATTGTGCTTGATCGAAGCCACAGAGTACAAAAATTGAATTAGCACAGATCTTTTCCTCAGAAGTGTCTATGTCGCAACCATACTTTGCTAAGAATCTCAGAATCATATTTTGAGGCAGGAACTCGTTAGCGCCAAAGAAGTGAGCTATAATCTATAATATTTTTTTTAGTACATGTGTCTAGTCGATAATTTATTCAATGTTACCTCAATATCGTGTGAAAAAGGAGCCACAATCCTTATTGGACTTTTCACATGATTCATAAATCCAACTGGAGCTAAACTGAACATGGCTGACACTTTTCTTGCAATCTCAGGATGCTCCGATGCCATTACATAAAACATAGTAGTGCCCATAGAATGTCCTACATAAATTAAACCATTTTCCTGATTCTTGAGCTCTAGAATATAAGAAATTACTGCAGGCAAGTCGTGTATTCCCATTTCATGCCAGCTGAAGTCCCAAAACTTTGAATCTGATGTCGACAAACTTGCGTGAGATCTTGAATAGGTATTGCCTCTTGCATTTCCTAACCAAACGTCATACCCTTGGTTTGCCAGCAAGTATGCTAGTAAACATATATAAAAGATGATATCCTTATACATTATAAACTACATAAACATTAACAAAATTCATACCAAATGCTTTGCCCTTGCCAGGGAGTATCCAGTCAGCTGAACTACCAAGAAGTCCATGTTGTAATAGCACAGGAGTTGATCCTGGCTTGCCTGGAATTCGATGCACAGTCAAGAGATATCCATCATCTGTTTCCACAGTATGAGCCTCTGCATGATAACCAGCTCGTCTTATAATATTGGGCTGCAATAACAACGTAGTAATCATAAATAATATTAATGAAAACTATTTAAATTCTTACTGTTGTCAAATCGATATCAGGATTATATCCTGAATACTTGACATGTACAGCAGTTTCAATGAATTCCATAAAAGTATTATGGGCAGATACATTGAACAGAACCAGCACCCAGAAAGTTAAAAATGAATAAAATCCTCTTATTGTCATCTCCAAATTCATTTGTACAAAATTACACAGTAAGCTGTATTGCATAAGACTAATGTATAGCCTCAGAACATATGATCTATATAGTATTTGTAAAGTATATTTTTCTCTACTACGTTCTTAACAGTTATAACGGATTACAGAACGTATGCTCGAAGGCCGGCACAAGATACTGATTATTTGTCATACATTATTGTATTCTTTGATGATTACTGTGTATTTCCTGTTTTGCTAAGTAAAGTTTTGTAGCCACAAAAATAGATAAGTGCAGATAAGTGTCAAGATATCATATTTGAATCACATTCACGTTGTACATACGAATGACAATGAATACATACATATACCGGCGACATGTGCGACAAGGAAACTAAGTAACCTTTGATAGCCGGTGTGCATCAGCGAAATCTACTATATTAATTTGTTAGATAAGTAATATTTTAATCAAGGAATTTATTAGCGATTAATCATGAATGAAGTGACTTTTCCACCCTCACCAAATTGGTATCTCAGTAGTATTTTGGCCTGTTCTAATAATGGCACAGTTGCATGGGGATCAAGAAACGCTATTGTTATAGCAAAGGCTAGTCAGGATGGAAAGATTTTTAAGTACAATATCATTCCAAATGCTCATCTGGACAGAGTTACATCTGTAGCATTTTCGCCAAAATTTGGAGAACCTGACAACAATTTCTTAGTATCTGGTGGTGACGAGTATATTGCCAGGATATGGAATTTGGATACATGTAACGCTCATATGGCATATAGTTATCCAGACGTGGGTACATCGTTTTACTAATAAGATTAGTAATCAGTGCGTTTTATTGTACCATGTTTATTTTCTTTACAGAATAAACAGAAGATTATAGGAGTACAGTGGTCAGTATCTGATCCAACGATGATATGCTGTATTACCACAGAAGGCTCATTGATACTTTGGTACATTACTCATGGAGGTTCAAAGAAAATTTCCTTAGGGAAATTGACAGCAACTTGTCTTTCTTGCTGCCCGCATAATTCTAATATTGTAGCTGTGGGTACTAAGATTGGTCTAGTGTACATCATAGACATACGTGGTTCAGGCACTATAATGTATAAGCTTAGAGGGCACGATGTAGAAATAGCAAGCCTGTCCTGGTGTCCAACAGATATAAATATATTTAATACAGGAGCAAAGGATTTACTTCTGGCTTCTGGTGCAAAGGATCGGTAAGCATCCGAATCTTAGCAATCATTGACCGATGCTACATTATCTTTGAATTTAGATCCATATTTATCTGGAAAGCTGGAAGCGATGGGCGATATGAAACAGAAATCATCCTTCCTACTGGACCAATGGATTCACAACGTCACAGAAGTAAATTAGGTACAGCATCCGGTGGCTGGACCACTGTATGTTGGGTCGATCCCAACCGCCTCCTTAGTAGTTCTTCTTGGGGAGAACTCATCTCCTGGAAGTTATCTGCGGCAACAAAAAAAAAACCAACCTGTGAGTTGATTCACGCCTCTCATGCAAGAGGACTATTTTGCATCGCTCACATTCCAAGTGTCAAAAGTAGCGAAGATGAATCTTGGAGATCAGAAAATAGGTGAGTAAATTTATCTTGTGAATAATTGGAAATTATCCATAAATAAAATTTTTTTCATTTTCAGTGTTACTGTATGGACTCTAGCTCAAGATCGACAAGTCGTATGCTGCAAAATCACTGGAAGTAAATTCGAAGTGGTGTACAGTGTACCTACTCAGGGTGGCTATGTATATTGTATCGCTGCCTGCCCTTTGGATACTTCCAGGATTGCGTTTGGTGCCGGAGACGCTATGTTACGTTTATGGAACCTAAGTGAACCCCATGAAAATTTCTTTGACGTTACTCAACTCTGGCAAAAGATCAAAGGAAAAGTTCGTTGCATATCCTGGCATCCTGAGAAAGAGAATTGGTTGGCATTTGCCACTGGGGAAGGTCGTGTTGGAGTGTTTGATACAAATTCTTCCAAACCTCCAGTACTTTACAGACAGTATCATAGACACACTGTTTACACCCTGGGCTGGGGACCTGCACCAAAGAGTGAACATTTTGTCTTATACTCCTGCGGAGACACAGAATTAGTTTACTATGATCCAGAAAAGCCTAACAAGGATCCTGTGTGTGTCAGGAAAAAGGAATGTACTGAATTCTCATGGAAACCAGACTATTCCTGCTTGGCTATAGGATTCGAGGATGGGTCTCTCACGTTCCTTAACCGTGATCTTGTAGAGTACGGAAGATCAACCTACTTCTTGAAGAAGGCTATCCAGTGTGTGGCATGGCATCCGGGGAGTACAGCCACAGACTTCAACTTCTCACCCTTACAGCATTACCTTGCAGTTGCTGTAAACTCACCGACTATTACCATATTCGATGTCCAGGATCTTGCTATAGAATCATCCACGAATAATACCGCGGAAAGAGTACCAAAGCTTGTAGCAGTTTTAAATGGTCATACCGCTAAAGTAGTCAGTCTTGCTTGGAGTCCACATATCAGTGGGTATCTCGTATCTGGCAGCTATGACAATACAGCTCAAGTATGGAAAGTAGAAAGTCAGGAATTGCTAGGAACTTACACAGGACATACAAATCCTGTACATTGTTGTATGTGGAGCCCACTTGATCCTGACCTGATAATAACGGGCTCTGCTGACTTTACATTACGTATATGGCGACTTTCTGAACAGCCGGTGATCCAGGCTGTCGAGAAGACTGCGCAAAAGAAAGTACGTACAAAGAAGTCAAAGCACAAGACTAATACGTCACAAAAAGAGCACAGTACTGATATTATGGATACCAGTGTTCAAAGTGACACCCTGGATAATAGTACAGTAAATGGTATGGAGACGATTAAGAATATAAAAGATCAGCAAATCCTGACAGAAGTAAAATCTATCAATACGGTTGAAACAAAAAAGAGAAAGTCAAAATCGTATACGTACTTCACAAGTACTACAAAATTATTGAACAATAAGAGTACCCTGAGTTCTATAAGAGACCTTGCAAAGTATGTTCATGCAAGTGAGAAGGATGGCAAATCTACCATGGAAGTTTGTTTAGAGGAAACTAATAAATTTCCATCATTCTTCGGTGGCGATGATGATCTTACCAACATATTGGAGAAGGAGAAATCGGTACATGCATCGCAGGGACAGCACAATATGGTTACAGAAATGGACATTTGGACCAATAATCTTAAGCACAATTTGCAGGAGGCTGTGAAAGAAAAACGCTTGAATGATTATCTCGTATCTCTGGCACCATGTTTGTCTATGAAAACTTGGCAAGATATGTGCGAAGCTTATGCATCACAGCTCATCTTCGAGAACAATCCTAACAAGGCTGTATCATATCTCTTGTGTACTCATAAGATTCATCGTGCTATCGAAGTGTTTAAGGATTCAAAGATGTTCAGGGAGGCATATGTTCTTGCTAGATGTAAACTAAGTCCTGAAGATCCTCTTCTGGTAAAATTACTCGAAGAATGGGCTGAGAATACCGTAAAGGAGGGCTACTTCGAGGAAGCTGTACGATGTTACATTAAGCTTGGCGATTTCTCCAAAGCTGCCAAGTATCTTGGACGACGTAAGGATTTGGCTAGTTTACAAGTGGCTGCTGAGCTTGCACTTTTAGCGGGTGATCAGATATTTAGTGACTCCTTGGCAGAAGAATCTGTCACTGAAGCTCTTTTAAACTCGGACTGTGCTACTGCTCGTGGGATACTTGAACAATTTTCGGGAATCAAATATCGAGAGGTTCAAATAGATGCATTTGAGGAGGTAGCGAAGGTTCTACGGAGTGGAAATGAATTGAATAAGGTGGAGGACTGGCTTAATGGCAAGGTTCAGTATGACCTTTTACTTCATTTAAGCAACAGGTATTCTACTTCGAGTGATAATTATGAAAACTTAGCTAGAATTGTTTCCAAAACAGTTCCGGAAAACGAAGCACAATTACGAGTTAATATCAGTCATGAAATTTCATTGGCTATTACTTCAAATTCCATGGAAAATAAACTCAGGCATTTGGTAACTGCTTTGAGTATAATTTCTCAATTCGAGATAACGCATCCTTCAAAGAATTTAGAGAATTATGAAAGCCTTCTTATGAAAATGCTTGCACATTTGGAATCTAAAAGTCCTACGAATACAGACAGTATATTTACTATAACTGTACACACAGTAACCAAGAGCTTAAGAGCTTATTTGTGTCTTGGACTGTTAAACTGGTTGGTTAACATTCATAATAAGACTCCTATGGATGAGATTGATGAATCATCGATTACTTTGATTGAAAATCTTCTTGTGGATGTACTTGATCAAAGAACAGTAAAGTTTTGGACCATGACCAATGAAATCAATAAGCTTGAGGCTTTGCTTACTTCTAATATGGGTAAGTAATTTAGTAATATTTTTATTTTATTCAGAATTTAATTTGAAGGAATGAATTATTGACTTTGCAGGTAAGTCATTGACTAATGGCACTGAGAATACACAGGAAAGCACAACAGTTCTTATGGAAAGACTCGAGAGTATTAGAGCGGAACGTAAGAGTTTTCTCGAGGAAAGAATTGCAGCACCAAGTCCTATACTGGCATATAGCAAAGCAATGGAATTGGCAAGCAAGTTACAAGACATCAATACTAAAGAGAGATTTGATCGAGTTTTGTCCGATACCTGGAAAGAGGCTACTTCTTAGATTTGATCTATTCTATTTTTTTTTTTGGTTTCATGAATAAGAAAATACTGAGAATATAGGTTTTAATTTTTTTTATTCTGTATTACAAAAATACTCTTTTGTTATCTTAGGATTTAATAGAATCCATAAGGAATGGCTTGTCAGCTGGTTTTCCTGATTACTTTATAGACATATTTGTGACTTAATGTTTACTCTCCAGAAATTGAGTTGTCTGTCGTTGCTCGCACAAACATATGGTAATCTGTGGTGCCAGGTCAGGCCTCCAAAAAGTCGAACTTTTCCTGATAGTATTATTTGTTGCGATTTCAAATCAATAATCTTTAAATGATTGTCCGGTCGTCCTATACTGGCTACAATCAACTCATTAGCAGGACAAAATTTAGTCTTAAGGCAACCTTCCACGTGCAGCGTAAAGCTTCCAAAGGGTCGACTGTGAATATAAGGAATTTGTATAATTCGTAGATTAAAATAAGGTAAATAATTTTTACACACCTAGGTCTAGTTACATCCCAGAGTAACAATTCTCCAGCTGCTGCACATACGACATTTAAAGGATTAGGACTCCAGTCTGCAGAAACTAAAGGTACAAGTCCTGCATCAAGGGACATTATGTCTTGTTGACTTCTGACATTGTACATGTGAATCAGACCGTTCTTCTCAGCCACCAATAATTTTCCAGACTCCTCCCTGTGCCAACACACTGTAACCCCTGGAGAAGTTAGGTAAAACGATGAGATGCACTTTTGGTCCTCTTTCACAGCCCACAGTTTACAGGTATGATCATCTGATGCTGATGCCAATAGTTCACCCTCAGGTTCATAAGCTATAGAATTAACATAGTCCGTGTGTCCCTCTAAAATCTAATAATAAAATATACGAAATAATTCTTTTTATCCCATAGGAATTTTCAAGTTTCTGAATTACCTCATATATGTTGACATCGTTCAGGTTACTGTTGTACAATCTGATCTTGAAGTCAGCTCCTGCGACACAGAATGCCACAATTTTGGGTACAACACTAAGAGATGTTTCTGGACTCCAAGCAATAGCATGTACTCTAGTTTCATGATGAAATGTCCGAATAGGACTGTATGTGATATCCTCTCCATCATCTTCATCCTGGACCGTTGAAAACAAAAGTTACACATCTAGAACTTAATTCTGATAAATCGTCTCATCATACCCTGTAAGTTCACCTGAAACTGGACCGTTCCCACGACGATTTCCTCACCCAGGGCAATGCATATTAATTGCTGAGACCATTCATAAGGTGACAACTCAACACAAAATATCTGTTTTGAAAAGTCCAGTTTGAACGTAGGAGGGCTGGTCAGTGCTTCTTCCATTTTCTTTTCACTAAACAAAATCCTGTGAAAATTTCAACTCTCTTGTAAATGTCACAATCTTTCAGTTCCTAAATTACAGCTGTAAAATTCTAAGGAGTACTCTAAACAGTGGATTAAAAAGCAGATATTAGAACCTCAGTTGTCAAGTTTGCCGGCTAACGGCGGGAAGGTAAGAAGTTCTACCTGACCTTACCCTCTTGGGAAAAGCCGTAGATAATGTGCATGCACGCTTGCCCAGGTTCAGTTGGGTTAAAGCCAGTTAAAGAATATCGGCTGTAGATAGTACCCGGATGCTAAGGTGGCAGCACATAACTTTGCGCGTGTATCTCCTATGCAGTCGGCTAACGTGCCGCATTTCTCAAAGTGAGCACTCAGACAAATACTCGGTTATTGCTTGTAGCTGGACAGCCGTCTGCGGATCGCTAAGAGAACCAAAGTTCAAGGAGGCTGCAATCCGGCGAGAATAACGTTGAAATCCTGCAGACTTTATATCCTCTTCAGGCAATTTATGATCGCGTCCCGGGGTGAGTTCGCGCGGATGCGTGTCCTGTCAAGGCATGGTCGGCAAGCATGATTCTACACGTTTTAACATTCTGGCTGAGCTTTGAATTGTTCTGGAGGGTCATCCTTCCCTGGTGAAGGTCAACACGTGTTTCTGGATAACGAATCTTTTATTTTCCATGATACGTGTGTCCGTTTGCTTTAAAAGATAGTGCTAACAACTGAGCTACTTGTTAGAAAATTCTTTTTAGTCCTGGTGGGCTGTTGTAAGAATTTTATTTGATTGCAGCATAGTATTTTTGGGGCCATGGAGGTCGGTGTGGGTGATGTCGCGCAAATATCAGCGGAACTTGCACGAGTTGTGGAGGTCATGATGTCACCAGATGTGCCTCACCAACAACGGCTTGAAGCATACAATGCTTGTGAACGTTTTAAAGAGTCATCTCCGTTGTGTGCTCAATGTGGTCTCTTTCTTGCCCAAAAATCTCCAAATAAAACTTCCATGGTTCGACACTTTGGATTACAGCTAATGGAGCATTGTGTAAAATACCGTTGGACTCAAATTTCACAACCTGAGAAGATATTTATTAAGGAAAATGCTATGAAGCTCCTTCAGGAGGGTACTGAACCACTTTTGCAGGAAGAGACTCATATTAAAGATGCTCTTTCTAGAGTGGTTGTGGAAATGATCAAAAGAGAATGGCCTCAGCAATGGCCAACGCTTCTTGCAGAACTTAGTCAAGCTTGTACACATGGAGAAAGTCAGACAGAACTTGTCTTACTTGTTTTCCTTAGACTTGTAGAAGATGTGGCACTCTTACAAACACTGGAATCCAATCAAAGACGAAAGGATATTTACCAAGCATTAACAACAAACATGACTGAGATATTTGCCTTCTTTTTGAGATTAATGGAACAGCATTTTGCTGAGTTTCGAGAGAAAAGTTCTTTGGGAAGATCAACAGAAGCTGCTGCACACAGTAGAGTTGTCCAAGTCAGTGATAATGACCTAGAATATGATTTTTATACCTGTCACTTGCAATTAACCCTTTGACAATTCCACAGGTGGTTCTATTGACTCTGACTGGCTTTGTAGAATGGGTCTCTATAAATCATATTATGGCAGACGATGGGCGTCTTCTTCAGATTCTCTGCCTCCTTCTTGGTAACCCCACGTTTCGCTGTTCAGCTGCAGAGTGTCTTTTGCAAATCGTTAATCGTAAAGGAAAAGCGGACAGAAAACAGTTAATGATTTTATTTACGGAGGAGGCGCTCAGGTGTATTTACACAGCTGCTACTGCAGTTGCACCACGTCCTGTCTTAAATGACCTCGATGAAAGTCACTATCTATTTCTGAAAAAATTAACACAGGTGATAAATCAGTAAACGTGTCAATGTACGAAAATAACACAGCATTTGGAAATCACAATATACATATGACAATTTTCGAATTTCATAGGTCTTGATCGGTATGGCTACCCAACTCTGTTCACTCTGGGGAAAAGACGAGGGTTCTGGAATTCGTCCTGCGAGTTTTAATCTTTTCCTGGACGCTGTACTTACATTTACAATGCATTCGAGTGTCACCCTGGCCCACCTGGCCAACTCAATCTGGATCATGCTCTTCAAACACGACCAAATTAAAGCAGAACCTCTCCTGTTGACCTACGTTCCAAAGTATGTGGAAAGTACGGCACCAAAGCTCATCAAGGTATCCTATCCGAATAGTAGACTGACCAATGGGGCCAGTAGCTATTACCTTGCTGACTACGACTCCGAGGAAGAATTTAATGTGTTCTTCCATCGACTAAGGATGGATCTACTAGAAGGTTTTCGACATGCCACAATGGTGGCACCCTTGGTAACGTTCGCCTACGTACAACAGTGGCTTACAGCGAAGATAACGAAGGGGATGACAAACCTGGGCCGAAAAAGTAATCCTAGCGATCCGGAGTATCTTGAATGGGAAGCATTGGCTCAAGCTCTGGACTCTGTTATATCAAGGCTCTTGCATGTGAATGAAAGACCTAGTGTACAGAGTGGCCTTCAACTCCTGGAACTATGCCTGGGATACTCGCCATTGGATCCTTGGCTGCTCTCAGCTTTACTCTCCTGTATAAGTGCATTATTTGTATTCCTGTCAATGTCAACGGGTTCGATGGCTATGCCTGGTGTTACGATTCTACCCAGAGTCCTGGAGAAGATCTTCGCGGCTCTGGTATTTGAGGCACCCGGAGAAACCAAGAATACGCGTTCAAGGGCAGCTAAAAATGTGCGACGTCATGCAGCCAGTCTTATGGTGAAGATAGGATTGAAATATCCCTTATTACTTCTACCAGTGTTTGAACAAATTCATACGACTGTACGTGGTTTGGTGCGGGAACCAAGTCAGCTGTCCAGGATGGAGAGTGTTACTCTTTACGAGGCGCTACTACTGATATCTAATCATTTTTGTGATTACGAACGACAAACGCGGTTCGTTGCGGAAGTCATTGGCGAAGGGTCAACCAGATTTATAGCAATGGGCACGGAGGCATTTAAAGGTCCAATAGAATTAATGAGATCTATTGGCCTGGACAGACCAGCCGTGGAAAGTGGTTTACATGACTCTGCAGGAAGAAATCGAGGGGATTTAATGTTCTGTATCTGCACTATCCTTAGCGTTGTGAAACGATGTTCGATTCCAGAGGATCCCGACCGCGCAGCACGTGGCGGGTTTGTGGCAGCACTTAGTGAAAGTGGTAACCCAATATACAGAAATCCAGCAGCTCCACATATTATACCTATTTTACCTACACTCTTTGCTCTCGTGAGAGCAATGAATGCTCTTTTCACACCTGCAGCTTTGGCTTCTTTATCAGAGGTAAGTTGAACCTCACCTTCTGGAAAAGATCATTGATTTATCATATTGTTTTATTTCTTTGCAGGATTATAGGAATGCACACGGACTACTGGAGTCTGAAAAGGCTAATCTCCTAGGGTTAAATGTCGCTAGTAGTGACAATAATTCTGAAATGGATCAGCCATCCTCTGCCCCTTTGCCTCGCATGCAATCTTTCCTTAGTAACATTCACGATAATTGCTATCATATGTTGGGTAGTGGCTGTCATACTATAGGAAGAGATTTTTATCAACTACCTGGTCTTGCACCTGCACTTCTTAACTCTGTGTTTTCCAACTTGGAGGTAACGTATATCTATTTTAATGATACATTACATTTAAATCGTAATATCCATTGTATTACATGCATATTGTTATAGGTTGTTCCAGATTACAGATTGCGCCCAATAATTCGAGTTTTCATGAAGCCTTTTATATACTCCTGTCCGCCAGCCTTCTATGAGACTGTCCTTGTACCTGTACTAGCCCACGTATCTACACACAGTAAGATAAACAAACTCAAACTATATGCTTCTGTACTGAAATATACAAAATTTTCATAATACATATTGTTACAGTGTGCCAAAGACTCAGTGCGAAGTGGCAGTACATGACAAGGCTCTATGAGTCGGGTGGACTCGATGACGCCAACACAGATACTCAGGAGGTGATTGATGATATGCTCAATAGGAACTTAACGAGGGACTTCGTAGACGTTCTCAAGGTCGCCCTGGTCGGTGGTGCAGCAAGTGATGCAGCACCTCCGGATTCCATGGATCACGACAGTGGAGGAATGGCCGTGGATCCTCCATCAGCTAGAGGCAATAGTGTGGTTGCTGAAGTGGTCAGCGAACTAGGGGCTTTTGTATTACGGCATCCTTCTACTTGTCACAGTGTGGTTCTCTGTGTTTTGGGGTAAAAACAATAGCCATTATTTCTGTAGCAGCTCCTTTAGTCTTTTTTCTTTACTATTCTATTGTATTTTCCTTCGCAGGGCTCTTTCCTGGAATGATTCCAATGCCAGTCTAAAGGCTACAATGCTCACTGGACCTATAGTTCGTGCCCTGGCAGCAGATGGCAGCTTAACTCCAGCAATGGCAGCACATATAATGGTAGCAGTTCTCCAAGGTCTACAGTTACATGGACAACACGAGGCGAATCAAGGATCGCTTGTAACATTAGGCGCACAAATGTACGAATGTCTACGACCAAAATTCCCGAACATCATCGAGGTCATACAACAAGTTCCTGGAGTGAATCCTGCAGATCTACAACGCTTCGACGAGAAGATGGCTGTGGTTAGCACCAAGGGAAACAAAGTGGAAAAAGGGAAGAAGGATCTCTTCAAGAAAATCACGAATCAGGTAAGCGCTAGTTCTTTTATTGAAAAAAAAATTGTTTTATTCTCCTGGTATAACATTGCTTTTACACCACCTTCATACTTTTCACAGTTGATTGGACGTAGTGTAGGACAATTATTTCGCAAGGAAGTGAAAATAGACAATCTGCCCAGACTCGACATAACCGGTAAAGCACGTGCACTACGGGTTGACGAGGTATCCAAGGGACCACTGGATACCGGTCTCACAGCACTTTTTGCCGGACCCACGTAGCAGCAGTTCAACAAAGAGCAGAGTGTAAACGATTGCTCTTCCTTGACGTAAGTATATATAAGTTATTGTAAATCGAAATTCTCCAGGGAGAATTGTGCACCCGCGTGCAGCATCTACGACGACCTGGATAAGCACGCGCATCCGTATTAACGGTTATACGAGTACGGATTCCTTGGAACCGTTGTACCAAGGATTGTCAGTGGCTGCTGCGCAGCCTGTACCATCCTTAATAAACTTTTCAAGTAATGCGATAACGTGAAATTGCATTGTTGTTTTTAAGCCGCCTATCACAATCGTTGTACGTCAGCTTGAAACGATGTTAATCTTGTATATATTGAATTGTAATAAAAATGAATAACATGTCATTGACAATAACGTGACGACGATAATAATTGTTAAACTTTAATGATACACTTGAGGGCGTTTAATAACTAATCAAAAATATCCAGTTACTGCATCTTCACGTATCTTTATTTCGATTAAATTACTATCTTACATCTTTACAATTTTTATTTTCAGGGTTGCAGGCAACCTGATATACTCTCTCTCTCTCACTCTCTCTCTCTCTCATTCTCACTCAAAATCTCTCTACTATTATCTTCGCATTTAGAGATTCTTTCGCAGCTTCGCTCATATAATCATAGCTGTAAACATATCGTAGAAGAATCTAGTTCCTGAAACTCGATAACTTCTTTCCAGGAGCTAGTATAATAAAAATACTCAGAGATTCATGTTAGTCTCATTAAGCCAGTCGCAAACAATTGCCGCCTATAATTCTCTTCTCTCTCTTTATTTATCATTACACTTAGGAGAAAGAAACTTTCGACAAAACTAGCGTAAAATGCACCACGATTGTATTTTCTGTCATTCGCATCTCGGGCTCAACCATATTTCAAATCATTCCTACGATTTTTTGCTTTTTGGAATGTTATCCGGTACGCGATATAAACTGCTTTTACAATAAGACTTTTAAATTTACGATTGGTTTCAAAAACTATACACTTTGTTTCTTTCTACGAGTCGTGACTGTCTCGTTGATGAATTATTTACAAGAAAAAAAAGAGTTTAAAATACAGATACTTGACACTCAATTCTTCCGTTTCTTACTCGGACTCATTGTCCCTTCTTGAGAATCGCTGCTAGTTTGATTTCTAATATTTTTTTATTTTTAGAAATTCACTGTATATATATATATAATAAACGAGGCACAGAATTAGGATCTCTCGATGTTTCTTTTGTACTTGATGATAAAAGACAGACATTTTGTTAAGAGATTCGATCCTCGTTGTTTTCGCCGTACACACGAATTATTTACAACAACAACAATAGACAATAAACAACGAAGGAATCCCATACATTTACTGTCCGTTTCCTATCGTTCTCCATTTTTCATGCATTCCTCTTTTTCATTCTTGTTTTGAGCAGTCAACCAGTAAGGCTAGCGTATATTGTTGCATACGATTTACAGAATATATCACGTTTCTCCATGTATCCTTCAGCCTCCACAAATACCAGTAAAGTATGGATACTTGTATTAGCATTTTGTTTTTGTTGAAAAAGTCTACCAAGAGGAATGAACGTCCTGAACGATGGGCATCCAGGTATGAAATGCTGTAGGAAAATACTAGTTCCAGAGGAAATTGCATTATTAACCTTTTTTCAATTTCGTAGACGCGGTCACTTTAGTGGAAAAATTATTCACTGAAATACCAAAAAGGAAAACAATAAAAGAGAACAAAGGGGTGTTTGGTAAATTCAGTGTGATCACTCAGGAATCCATCGTGGACGAAGGATCCTCGCCTTTCTTTCCTTTTAAAAGAAACACATCCATATTGTCCTTTCCTTTGACGTATACCTGACCTCTTGGCTCGAATTCGTAACGTTCTGACAGTGCCTCCAGACAGTTAATGGGTAATTGTATTCTACTCGCAACTCCAGTAGAGTCCATACGTGACGCAATATTGACAGCATCGCCCCAAATATCATAATACAATTTCGTAGCACCAATAACACCCGCGGTAACGTCACCGTAATTGTAACCGATCCTGAGAATCAATTTAAAGCCTAACAGATCTCTGTTGAAATTATAGATCACCTTGTGCATCGCTACGGCAAAGTCCAGCAGCTGAAAGAGATGCGTGTACTCATGTTCACTTTGTTGTCTCACCTGGGGATTCAGTCCGCTAGCCGCCATGAAGGTACTGCCAATCGTTTTGATCTTCTCCACGTTCGCGAATTCTGACTTCTCCAGGAGTTCGTCGAAATCACCAATGAGCTCGTTAAGTACCCGCAGATACTCCTTTCCACCAAGATAAGACTCGTCATAGAGTTCATTGAAGTTCACGATACTAGCAAATATTATTCCCACGGATTTGTGATTTTGTGAATATTTTGCTGTTGTCTTCAATTGATCCGCTACGTACTTTGGTATGATATTGTGCAACAACCAGTCGGCTTGATTCTTCATTGATTGTACACATGCCTTGTCCCTTGCAGCTACTGCGTTTCCGTGAAAGCTTAGCCTGTAGCTTATCTCAAATTCACGATTTAGAAAGCATACGAGTAAAAGGAGAAGGACCATGTCCAGGAAAATCTCAGAATTGTATAACCTCTGGTTGTACCTTTTCTCTTTGTTTTGTAGATCCTTTTCCTTATCATATGTGGAATTAAGGCCATTCGACGTGAATTCCTGATCCAAATTACTCCTGTGAAATTCCATTTTGGAATTGATAGTAGATAATATCAATGACTTCTTCGAGATGTATCCTTTATCCTCCTCGTGATATTTTTGAGCAAAGGGTGTCGAGTTTAAATTAATAAGACTTATATTGGCCTTAGTCCCTGCTAGGGATACGTTGTTAGGTCCATGATGAGCCAGATTTGTTGGATTAACAATGCTACGCTCGTGATATACGTGAGTTGCCACAAGGCAAATGAAAACTATTCCGGTTAGGGTAACCAGTAAGTTCTTCATCCAGAAATTGAGCTGCGTGAAATTGCAAAAGTGTACCAGGCCAACGAATATCAAGTAACTGTAATAATACTCAAAATTATTGAGACTCGCATGGAGGCTGTGACAAGTGAAATTCATCAGGATGGAAATGATTGGGAGACCGACCAGTATTGCACCACAGAGATGCCAGGGATACCATCTGGAGCAGAATTTGAATATCTTCTGGGTAAAGCTGGCGTGAGTAGTATTGGGATTGACTAATTGTCTAACACAGAGAGATACAGCAAAGACCTGTACTACCGTGGCCAGGGTGCAAAAGATAATATAATACGTTGTCGGTTCGCACAGTAGCAAAAGTGAGGCCGTAATGGCGGAGTAAACCAGAGCCGAAATTAATATATCAAAATAAGTATTGAATCTAGATGTCGCCAGCGTTGGTGGATTGTCACCTATACCTTCACTGGCCTTATGTGCGTTCTCTCGATATTCCTGTTCCATTTCCTTGTTCTTGAAGAAGAGTGTTACACTGGACAGCGGTGGCTTCACGAAGTAGGATCGCTGAGACGTTACGTTATCCTGGACACATCTGATCAGCTGGAGATCAGACTGTTTTCGTAGCTTGTAAAAACAAGCACCAAAGGTATCCGTGACGACTGGTGGAAATGGATACGGTGGAATCGAGGAAGATGGTTCCGGAGCTGAGTTCAACGTGGAACTAGAGGTATAGTAACCGCTCACTCTGTGCGCTAGTAAATCACCTTGTGTCATTCCGTTCATGAGATAGAGCTGTGGAGATATGGTTTCATGTACCTGGTGAACTTTTAATAGATACTTTGATTCTGGTACCTGCTGTTGTATACTACTGCGCCTACTGTTGCTTCTAATTCCTGAATCCTTTCTGCTGCAGACTGAGGATGCGTGGCTCACAGGTTCCTGGTCAGGTAATAAAGGAATGGTGAGTACTGGATTCGGATCCATTTCTACACAGTTGTCAATGGGTACCTAGAAATTGATTATAGTCTATCAGGATAGTTTTATAGAAATTATGAATATTGTTAATGAATTTGGAAATTTAAAAGATTATTTACTCGGTCGTATCCATTACGTTCCTCGTGACGTATCACGGGTGTAGGTTCCTCCTTAATCTCAGGATGAACTACATCTGCATTCTCCCTTTCCAATGGTGTCATTTCTTCAGTAGTTCGCTGTCGTTGTAAATATCTCCATGCTTTGTTACGTAGCTTCTTTTTATTCTCATAACTCACTGTAGATGTGGGACTCTTATTTATATCTTCCTTCTGGTCCACCGTGTCCTCATCGTTCTCAGAGTCCAATATACTTGGTAAAGAATTTGCCTTGGTTTTGTAACTATTTAAATTGGTCACCATATGCAGATAATGAGGTCGCGGTTTTGCTTGATTGTTACAGGATGAAAGTCTGTGCCTCGGATGCAGTAAAGGAGAGATACTCGTTGGTCCAGTCACGTTCGTCATGAATTCCGTTACCAGATCCGACTTTCGACCCCGGATGAAATATGATTTCACTCCTGGAAGAAAGTTCAGTGGCGAATCTCAAGCTTGTACACTCTCACAGAATCCGGTGCCCTATGTCCTAGAGTTCACTTACCATTAACAGTTTCCCCATCTTCAGTGAGATATTGATCTCCCAAAAAGCTCAAGGTCTTCTCACTGAGATGCACGCGTCCAGGTTTCCCAGTACTCTCCAGCTTATTTGCTAGGGTAACGTCGTTCGACCAGACATCGAATTTGAATCTTTTGGTGCCCACGATACCGCAGAGTACCGTACCAGTGTGTACGCCCACTCTCATGTTGACACCCTCTCGTCTCTCGACGTCAAACTGTTTGATAGCTTCTATCATCGCTGCGAAGGAAGCGTACAGTGCGAGTGCGGTCCTCGAGGATCCCTCGAGGAACATCCTCGTGATAATACTGGATGTAAAGTAAACCTACCCAGTCCCATCTCGACGCAGCACTTGGCGTGATCCAGTCTTGGCTCTGGACAACCGCTGACACAGTAGTAGCAGTCACCCAGGGTGGAGATCTTCTCACAACCGTGCTGAACGCAGAGATCATCGAATCTCTCGAAGAGGTCGTTCAGGATGCCAACCAGCTCCTCTGCAGTCTTATTGGAACTCATCCGCGTGAAACCAACGATATCGGCAAAGAGGATACTCACGTCCTCCATCGAGTGCATATTGAAAGGACGGAATAAGGATCTAATATCTGTATTGTTTGAAGGTATTGAACCTTTCTTCAAAGAGTCTTCTCTTTCACGTTCTCTTTCGCTCTCCTCCATTAACCAATCGGCAACCTTAGGCGGCATTACCGAGTGTATCATCTTTTCCTTGAGTTGCTTTTCCATTTCCAATTGGCGACGTACGAGTAGCGACTGTCCAACCTTCATAAAAGTTCCTCGCATCCTTACAAATGTCATTATCAGAATATGTACACCTATTAGGTGTATGCAGATCTGCATCAGGATCCTTATCGTCAGAGTAGTCGCGAAATCTACGTTCTCCGAATATCCACTTCCCGACACATTACCCTCCCAATTATTTAGAGTCCTTGTGAATTCATTCATCAGGGTTGAATTACTCGAAACTGTGCTTATTGTTGCATTTACAAGATCTGTAGTAAAACTAGGCTCTGTTGACGTCCAGTTCGAACCCAGAGATAATATACTTGGTGTAACACTTGAATAACCAAAGCCATTGCTCGTCGAATTATCAATAAAACTGTTGTTCGTTGGGTTGAATATTGCACTGGAGTTTAGGGTCGAAAAAATTTTCGAATCGGTCAAGCTCTCATTTAACTTAGCTAAAGCCGCGGGTACCTTAGCTGAAATATTAAAATATCCAGGTACACGAATACTCGACGTCTTCTCAGAATTTTCATACAGAAGAGCACCAGGATCCTCGCGCATAAATCTTTTAGTTATATTTCTTCCAACAGTCTGATTAATTGGAGCATTAGTCGGTAAGATAACTTCGTCGCCGTAACTAGATCGCTTTGTACCTTCCAATCCGTAGAGGTAGGCAGTTAGGAACTCGAAGACGAACGAGTATACTGTACAAATACCCACGCAAGCATAGAGTGGCATGGGTACTACTGTATATATAAGGAGTAGAATCTCAGAGCACAGTGCAAAGTGGCCCACTAGGGTCAATCCGTCAGAATATGGTGGTACCAATACAAGGAATAGTAAGGACAATAGGCAAAGCGTAAAAGCAACTATTAAGGATGTAAGAACCGCATAAGATCTGTAATAGTCTGTATGGGTCAAATAAAGCACCACAGATGCCATTGCACCTACTGTACTAAATATGGTGGCAATTGCTGGCCATGAGGAAGTGTCATTCTCAATACCAGATATAACAAAGTATGCCAGCCAAGACAGCGACACGAACAGTATGTACGTCAGAGCATACCTAGAAAGGTACGGAGTAAGCATAAAATATGAGACATTGCAAGGATTGCATAGTCATTTCACTGTACCTGAATCTCAATCTGATTTGTGGAAAGGCACTTCTTCTAAATTGTTCCTCTAAGATTTCAGAGTCAAATTTAGGGTTCCACCAAGATCTTGAAGCAGCCCTTTCGAATGGCACAGGTAATCCAATGCCACAACAACCTAATCCTTGGCCACTATGTGCCAAGTATGTTTGTATGTATGGTGTAAGCGATATTTGAATCTCATCCCTGTCATCCTCTGCATCATCCTTCGCACGAGTGAAACTCACAGAGGAGCCTCTCTTGCGGCTCAATGGTGGAGTCATCACAATTAATTAACACTGCTGTAAACCAGAGTAAGGACAACCAATAATGTTTATAGGATATTTGCAAGCGTCAGTGGGGGCGTGAAATGAACAAACAAACCTGACTGACAGACAGATTATCTAGCCTTCTCTTCAAATCATATTCCAAAAACCTTTCTCACGCCTCTTCTAACAATTTCATCTGGAGTCAGTGACAGCTAATACTCCATCACTAAACATACCGTTCAATCAAAGGCGTAATCGCCACAAAATTCTCAAAATCATCGTCCACAGTCTCCTCCTAGCAGCCATCGGAGGTTTCCTCGATGAGTGATCAACGAGTAGGAATTCTCACCATCCTCTGGCACTTGGTACAAGATCCGGCCGTGCTACCCGGAGTAAACAGTCCCACAGACTACGGACAATACGTACGTACTAGCGCCGTCCGATAATAGACTAGCCTGGAGGTATACGAGTATGCAGTCCTGATAAGAACGAAGGAAAATACCTGGCCCGTCCAATCAGCGGACGACCATCTTGGATAGACCGACTAACTGACGACGATGACGATGACAGCGCCCAGTCTAATAAGTTTCCCACTCGGCAAAGGATCATCCTGAGTATGATTATCAACTTTAGATCATTTTGATACTTCCCTCTCTAAGAGATCAGTCAATCTGAGTCAGTCGTCTTAAAATACAGAAACGCGAACCAAGTACATAGGAAAGTAAGAGGATCTAACTATTATTTTAAATACTAAGCGGATATGCTGTATGGGCAGGAAATAGGTATTTGAAATTCAAGTATACTTCTTACTGACATTTTCTCTGTTTATTCTGTTCATTGAATATGTCTTTAATACACATGTTTAATGAGAGATCGATGCTATCGGTGGATCCTGCCATTTGAATTCCTCCTGATACGTAACGTATATCACCCAGTAGCAAACGTTTAAAAATCCAAAAGATGCTGGAAATACGATACGTGCTACTCGATCTATATAAGAAACACTGTTCACGTGTCTCTCAATACGTTCTCCATGCTTTCTATAACCGCCAGCAGCTTCTCTTTGTCTGCGTCTCCTGTTAGGACATAATTTAAACAACTGACAAGTAACGTTCATATTCGATAGTGCATATAATTATTTTCCTTGATGTTTAAGCGTCTATTTATATACATTATCATCTCTAATATGCATAGTCATACCGAAAGGCGTCGTCACCGACTAAGCAGTACAGAAATTGTCGCCACTTGGGTAAACGTAATTCAGTTTGAGTTTGTCTTTCAACGGTACCAGGTTTACTTGTCGTCGTGGAAGTTGAGCGACGAGAGCCTAAACTGTACAGCCCAGGATCTTGCTGTGTGGAAAAGAAATTTTTCAATTAAGAAATTAATGTTTCTCCTTTTTTTTCATATGTACGCACACTGAAAATCTGGCAAATGATTGAGTTCCTCCTTCTGGAAGTAGTACCGGATGTAAGATAGTCACTTTGAGGACTTCTGGCATCAAAGGATGATTCAAAAACCTGCCCATATTCATCCTCGGCTATTTCCTCCACGTCTTCCCATTCTTCGTCGTCAATAGGAATCTCGCCACTCCCAACCTATCGGTAATGATAAAATACTTGCCGTTCCACAGTCCGGTTAATAATATTTCACAATGGACTTTTATAGAATACCTTAGTGAAATAATGCACGCCAGCAAATTCCAAAAGGGTCGCTATGCAGTATCCGAAGCTCATTAAAAGAAACCAATCTAAAGCTGTTGCATATCTGACCTTAGGTAGGTCAGTTCTTGAATCCAGACTTATAGTCGATAGCGTCAGTACCGTGGTTATACCTTTGGAGAGTATATTTAGGACAAAGAGTCATTAAAATTATTATTCATTTCCTGTCGTGCTTTTTATACGTAGAATGATATTGCTGCTACTTGCCAAGACCAACTCTGTCGCTAGTGGCTTCACGATGAATCCAAAAGGACACCCAGCTGAGTACAACTATCAGAACACACGGCACGTATACCTGAACATAAAGATAAAGATTCTTACCAGAGTCTATATATACTATAAGTGTTTGTATAGTCTTATAATATTGTTTTACTTGTATCAGAAAGTAGCCCGTGTGTCTCTGGAGATTGAACGATACTTGAAGAACAGAAAATTCTCCTTCCCGTCTAGCAAATGTTAAGTTTCTGTATGGTGAACCCATGAGGTCAAATTGCGATAGCGCCATTCCTGATACAAAATTCACCGAGGAGCCTTCCTGCCATTCGTATATCAGTTGACCGGATGTATAAGCGTCTGAGAAGTATTAATAAAAATAAGACATTCGGTCGTATAAATAAATATTGTTTTTTTTTTATATATATATAGAGTTATCTGGGACTGAACATTTAGTTACTCACAGCTTCCTAAGATAAGCGGACAGGATTGACGATCCATGGGGAAGTTTCTGAGCTCCATAGGACACTTGGCCTTTATGGTGAGTCTGCTTTGTAACATGTACTTCTTGAAGATCAGATTAAAATGGATTGTCGATGGGTTTATTAATTAATAAAAAATTAATCGGATAGGTGAGAGACTGGTGATGCTATTAATGAGACTGATGAACGCACCTCATGGAGTAAAGAATATCGCCATCCTGTGATATTCGCAGTAATTTGTTTGGCACGGTTATGGTATGCACATAGCTGTGCTTACCATTGTAAAAGTATGTATCAGGTCTCCAAATTCTCTCCAACATTTTAATGCTCAAGCTGAGGGACTTAATAGGGCCCAAAAAACTGAGACGGGAGTCCCGCCAATATTGTCGAAAGTAACAGTCCATAGAATAGTCCTAAAACCATTGTCTTTTATAATTCTCAAAGATAAACTAAATAATACAAAGGGCATAGAACTCACCATGTCCAATTCAGAAATAGGACCCATACTCCTGATTAAAATATTAGTTTTAACCACCGTGGGTGTACCTAAGTGTTTTATAGAAAAATTGAGAATTACGTAATCCCTGTGTGAGATTATACAAAAAAAAAAATCATAACAATTTTGTAACCATCAATCCCCTTAATCCCCAGCTAACTACTTTCAGCCCTCGGTTCCAATGGAAAATCCCTCTATCATCCCCGACTTTCATTGAAAAACCATTAAGCTTTTATTCGTTGGAATGCCATTTTAATTCATATCATCCTGCAGTGAGCTGGACAATATCACTAACGCATCAGCGAGCCAGAAATGTCAGGATTAGGTGGGGATTATTCTCTATAGAAAAAAAACTACCCCCTTAGTGTCATACCCTTGACGTGAGTAGGAAGCTGACTGTTTTCATAGTTCATCAGTAAATTCTCCAGAACCATTGTGATGTTCTTGGAGACGACATCATTCACGGTAGCTCTTCTATTTCTGACTGGAATACCAGTTGTCCTGGTCGATGATATTATCCTTGTTGGTCTCTTTTCAGGGTTGTGCTCGTATCGCCTAGCCAGGATGGAGGTGGAAGTCAAACCGAATACGAAGAACCTGCGTTAAAGAAAATCCTAAAGCTATGCAAAGCACGTTGCATCGCCAGCAGGCTCTGTGTTTCACCACCGTCGTCACCCACATTCTCTGCTGTCCCTTGGCATACATAGGATGCTTGCGAACTACCCTACATCATCCCTACATAATGCTCACTCAAGTAAGAGGATAACAAGAGAATAATATCATTTTTCTATCTAGTATAATTGTACTTGTATATATATTTTTAAAAGGCAGTCTGGATCAGAAATTATCATTACTAAGATTATACTCTGATAAATAAGAAATAGAAAGTTGGCTGGTATAAATACCTATCATTATGAATGATAATGTTACCTGACAGAAATATTTATCCAGTGGATAACTTCCTGTGGAAGTTAATACATATGAAAATGAAAGCCATTCTGGTATAAGGGAGTTTTAGTTAGACCATTGGCAAGTGAGTAGAAATGCAAGGGTTTGTCTTCTGGGATTGTAACCGTCGGGGGGGAGGGGCAGATGGTTATAAGTGGTGAATGCATGAGGGTGAGTCGGGAAAGAGAGTCCTCGTGATCCGCTGAGGCAGCAGCGCACACCGCGAAAAGGGCCCGCGTCATGACTTCAAGTGAACCTCGTTACATTTTATCATTATTGATTTACACTTTTAGTATATTATTATATCATAATACTCTATTTTGCACTGTAGATCTCATTCGGTCGATTTAACTCTATCAGATCTCTTTTTCTCTATATCTTTACCTTAATCATTTCCCTGGTGTATTTTAAATCCTAATAGGACGTCTGGGTGGACTTGAATGTCTCGGATGTTAGTCGTAGATTGGTGCGTTAACGAAAAGAAAAAGTCTACATGGTTCCTCACTTTCCATTTGTGGATCCCAAGCATTACGTCCAGAACGTGTTCGAGGACAGTCACGTATCTTACACTTGGAGTACGATTTCTCACCCTTTAAGGAAGCCCATAGCTGGGAGAAGGATCAAACGTCGTAAGGGATCTTTATACATTTTTGTTGGTTTTTATTTCTTCTTTTTTATTTCCTATACATTTTTTAGGCCTTTATATACCCTTTTAGATTTAAAGGTGAATCAACTCTTTTATTGCTATGGGCGCGTATATCTGTCCGGCATGCTTTTAAATCTCAAGAGCTCCACAGTCAACGGGTTAACAAGGTTCCTTGGTAATTTTCAAATTCTACTTCTTCCAGTTTTATACAATTTTTGTGTAATTCTATCATTTTGTTTATTTCTTTTTTTAGGCAAATTAGAGAAGATAATACAACATTCTTAACGAACTTTTGCAATGCGGAATGGGCAATCAATATGGTGCAAATAATTCTATGTTAATGTGGAACTTCGACAAAGGCTCAGAGTAGTTTTTGTTCGTTTGCAGCTTTGCAATTAGTGGAACGAGTGAATGTTTAATCAGTACACACAAATATCCTGCACCGCGTTGGATAAATAAAAATAGAAATAGAACTGAAAACAGTGTGAGATACGGTGAATAGTCAGTAGTACGGCAGATGATGGAAGTTTTACGGGTCACGGATTTATTTTGCAGTTCGTAATTATCGGTGAAAAGAAAAAAAAAATACAAATTTCAATCAAAACTTTTTCACAATATTTTTTGAAAGTTAAGGAATTATTCTCAAAATTTGTTGACTGTTACTTAAACTCTTATAAAGTTATTTCGAACTCACGTTAAGCGCCAGATTGATTTCATCTTCTCTCTTGATTCCACCAAAGAGAATTTAACGTTACTTTATTGAAAGTGATTGCTTGTAAAGACACCCCAATTCTATAAGTTTCAATAGTAACAGAGGGTAGTTCTCTTCTACAGTTTAGCGGCACGTCTCGCGTGGAACATCGGACAGACCGCGTGGCTCTCTTGATCCCCTGGTAAAATTCAGCCCCATTGGACGCGCAAACTCGTGGAATCACCCCCGACTGCATCCTGCGTATTCGGCGGCAATCCTCCCTCAGTATATAGAAAGGGATTGAAACTTTGTGGTTTAGCGGGAAGAATAGGCCTGACGAGGTATGCATCTATCTAGACTAGCGCCTTTTCAAAAAGCAAGATTAGGGCTTAACGATGGGAGTTGTTTGTGCCTTAAGTATCTACCCCGTTGAATTGCGTTGCAGGGGAAGAATTATAAATTCGCAAAAGAACATATAACTATTGAAGTAAATATTTAGAAACGGTATGCAATGCGCTATGAAATTGTTATTGATATACTACACATAAACTGGGCTAGTAATACTCAAGCTTTATTCATAATCATAGGGGATGAATATTTTGTGAGACATTTCAAAGGATCTCATCCAGATGGAGTCTCGCATCGGAGAACATTCAGGGTTGACGACATGCGCAGATAGAGCAACCCCTACGAGAGGATTGCTCTTGATTCGCGAAGGGGATGCTGTTCGCTCGAGCGACGCTTGTTTCATCCTCAAATATTTCCATCATCGGTCCATACGAGAAATAGGAATATCTTGAGCAACCCTGTGCTGATCTCTAATCTGTGTATCATTATCTTCATTACAGATAGCATACAGAATATCCTTAAAGGATATTGTACACAACACAGTGTCAAGTGTCCTAGTGGCCTAGTGTTGTTTGGAGGATTTCTATAATGTCATCAAAAATGACCACTAGTAAGGATTTATATCACAAGGATCAAGATCGATCATTGAGGCATATCATACAGCTGGATCACTATAGATTCTTAATATAAGAAATCACGGTAAACATCTTTGGAATAGAAAGTTGACACGTGCGACTGCGTGTCAGAATTGTTGTAATAGCAACGCACATTTCACCAGGTGGTGCAAGGATTTTAAGTGCTGTTAGAAAGAGTGAAGTGGGATAGAGAAAAGGAAAATTAAAAAAAAATTAAGAAGCAATACAGTCATGAAGATTTTTAATGCGCGTCGTACTCAGCTTAAGAAGTCAGGAATCTTAAGAGAACAATGACACTTTTTACCACAATCTACTTTCGGTATCCCTCGGGGATACAGGGTCCTTCCTGCCTGAAGAGGATTGTCCATCCAGTGAGTTTCTTTTTCATGTGCTGACGAGAAGTGCCAGTCACCCGGGGATTCTCAGGATGTCGTCACGAGAAGTCCTGGCTATGTGTTTTATCCTCTTACTGGGTCAACGGATCGCCTGGTAAGAGATCCTTTCTTTTTATTTGAACTACTTATTTCTTTTCTACGTTTCACATACTTTTCTTACCGATCTATCTGCTATGATTTGTAATCCAGATGAGCATTCCGCAGACTATGGTACCTGCTATGATACTAACCACTATGTAATACCATAGAATAGTATTGATAGGGTAAAAACAAGGAACCAGTGACATTCTTCTTATATCCTGATAGTATTATCGTAATAGATTATTCACCAGGAGACAGATTGCGATAGTTAATGTAATTATTCCCAGGGACCACGCAAGATCAAGTCCCGACGGTGTTAGATCGTTGCATTCCATCCTTTAGAAATTTAGTTGAGTATCCATTAAAAGTAGTTGTTGATTAAACTATAAGTATTCTTTCATATTTGATAGGATTTTGACAGGTTTACTGTAAAGACTATTTATTTACTATATGATAGTCATTTATTCTCATTGATACAAGATTATACATATATTGTTTTCAAAATGAATATACTGTGTACACGAGTTTTGACTAAACTGTAAAAAAGTTATTAATTATTTTCAAAAATTAACATAACCTCATAGTGAAAAATTATTGTTATTTACATTTCACAGGGCTGTCGTCCAGGGCAATACTGGAATGTCAGACAGATTGGAGAACGTGACACAGACAATTTCAAGAATTCTTGAAGGATACGACATTCGCTTAAGGCCAAATTTCGGAGGTGAGTTTATTGCCGTTGTACTCCAAAATATATATAGTTGGAGTTTATACAAGGAGAAGCATCGTCAAGGAACATGTATTTAAAATCGTTGAAGACATTACTTCGTGTCTCAAGGATACTTCTTTGTCCCGGAGTAATAAAGATATCAAGTGGTCGTTACTTTTAACAAGATGATTTCCTTTAAATTGGTATCAGTTTACATGGCTCGCTACATCTTGTATCTCAATTCCACCCCAATTTTCGTGTTGCGCTATTTTCTGTCTCCGTAAAATTTACGGCATTGTATATAGTTTCTGTTCTCATCTTATTGTTCCACAGTATCCCAGATAAATTGCAGGTAGAATTACAAATTGTACGTTCTCACCAATCACGACGTACTTAGTCATCCAATTCAACTGTACCGATCAGATTTTGCAGTTGTATAATATAATCGATTCGTTATCGCAATTAAAATGATAATTTGTTACACTTCAGCTGTATAATACTATATGATACAGCAGTAATCCATCCGATAATCCACCACCCATTCACCACCCTCCAAAAAGCTGGCAACCTGTATCATCCGTGTCCATTTTTTTTCTCTTTTCTCCTATATCCTCCGTTCTGCTCATTTCATCGATGGATGCTTCGGTTTTACAAATGGAGGAGTGGTATCCCGAGAATGAAATTTTCCACGCCACTCGAGTCGACGCGATTATTAGCGTTTTTTAATTGAACGGCTCGATGACTGGAAATAACGCGTTCTCCGTTACGTCCTGAAAATCCATCCAACTTTAATACGAATTTTTTTAGTTTTTCACTTTTTCAGTTGGTCCATCCTACTTCCAGCATTCACTTTCTTCAGCACGATTAACTGGGTTATCTATTTCCAGGCGAACCACTTCTAGTCGGTATGGATCTGACCATCGCAAGTTTCGACGCCATCTCCGAGGTGAACATGGTGAGTAGAGTAAGAAAAGAGTTTCTTAATACTTGTCCATATTTCCGTATTGGATCAATAGAAGGAAAGAATTTCACATCCGGTCGTATTCATATATTACACAATTTCAATTCCACCTTCCATATTGTAACATCCCTCGCTTCTGAATTTCCTATTTAAGATAGTGATATCATGTTGGCCCGTAGGGAAGGAAAAAAAATAAAATAAATCCACGATGCCTTTTTGAGGATGATCTTTCAACATCCCTAATGTTCCGCCCGGACGAGTCCCATGATATATGCCTGATGGATCAATGCATTGCAGGACTATACAATAACCATGTACCTTAATCAATACTGGAAGGACGAGAGGCTGGCTTTCTCTCACGAGGAAGAGGTACTGACGCTGAGTGGTGATTTTGCAGAGAAGATCTGGGTGCCGGACACCTTCTTCGCCAACGACAAGAACAGGTTAGTCAAATTCTTGGATGTCCTCATCAAAGGAAATCGATCCATAACATCGCACTGACAGCTTATCAGTGTATGTATGTGGGTTAAAAGCGGCTCATGCAAAATAGTTCTCTTTAAGCGAGAGTCCTCGGCACTCTGACCTCGTTTCTTTGGACTCTTGCACTACGTATGCTCTCTCTTACAGTTTTATAGTAAAATTTTTCCACCGTTTACCATGACTGATGTTAAATTTAATTGTTACAGCTTCCTACACGACGTCACTGAACGCAACAAACTGGTTAGACTGTCTGGGGATGGCTCGGTCACCTACGGGATGAGGTTCACCACGACTCTGGCCTGTATGATGGATCTACATTATTATCCTTTGGATTCACAGAACTGTACAGTCGAGATAGAGAGCTGTGTGTATTCGCCATTATCTAATAAGTAGTTGGAATGATTGCACGTCATTGGCACATATGTACTATCTTATTTCCAGATGGATATACGGTGCTGGACGTTGTCATGTACTGGAAGGAGACTCCTGTTCGTGGTGTCGAGGAAGCTGAACTACCTCAATTTACGATTATCGGTTACGAGACCAATGATCGAAAGGAGACACTAGCTACTGGTATCTACCAGAGGCTCTCGCTAAGCTTCAAGCTTCAGAGGAATATAGGATACTTTGTCTTCCAGACTTATCTGCCTAGTATCCTAATCGTTATGCTGAGCTGGGTCAGCTTTTGGATCAATCACGAAGCTACCAGCGCGAGAGTTGCTTTGGGTATATAATTATTATATAAAAACATCAAATAACATATCAATAACATTGAGAAAGTTTTATATTGAGATATCATACTTTTTTGCCTTTCTTTTTTATTATTAGGTATTACGACTGTACTAACGATGACGACGATATCGACCGGTGTCAGGAGTTCGCTGCCACGGATCAGCTATGTCAAGGCCATAGATATTTATTTGGTGATGTGTTTCGTATTTGTGTTCGCTGCTCTTCTCGAGTATGCCGCAGTGAATTATACGTACTGGGGTGCCAGGGCCAAGAAGAAGAGCAAGAAAAAGGAGACGACCGAAGAGAAGCGGACTTTGTCTCTCAAAACGGGTGAGATTATTTTACTTTAATTGTTTTGTTGATTTACCTTATTTATTAATCGTCTGGCATTTTTTTTTTGCAAATACGAAATCTTATCAGGAAGCAAAGCAACCGTCTCGCCATTCGCCGGCGGTCCGACGGACGCAGATATTATAGAATTACAAGATCTGAGAATGTCACCGCTGCCAAGTATCAGGAATAGGTCGGGGCTGGTGAATGCCACTACGATACCAGGAGTAGGAAGGGAACATGACCCCGTCAAATTTCCACCAAGTTTTCGAATCTCCAGAGCGGCTGGGTACAATACACATGGTAGAAATAGCGGTCTGCGTTACAGAGGAATGAAGCAGCAAAAACCGAAGGTAATCAACAACGGGATTGATAAAAGAATTCGAATAATTTAACTGTATACTAATCATTATTGATATTCGTACAGGTTTTACATGCTCTACGTCGTGGAGCATCCGTCCTGAGAGCTTCGATGCCAAAGATCAAGGACGTTAATATCATAGACAAATATTCAAGGATTATCTTCCCCGTGAGTTTTATGCTCTTTAACGCCGTCTATTGGATCTTCTATGTTCTTTGAATCTGTAAGCCTCTCGCCTTCGGGAGGGACCAAACGATCATGATTCTGCAGTTCCTTACAATAGGATCTCTGATCGTGTTGCCCGTGGCTATAATCTTATACCACCCAGCCATTAATTTTGCATCGTGGCTGCGAATCGGCGCGACGGTATATGTATCGCAAGGCGGACATGTATATTTGCATACAAATAATTGTATCATCAAGAGATTTTCGCGTAACGTATAGATCTTACTTAATGTTAGATCTAGGATTAAAAATCAAATTTAAATAGAAGATCTAGGATTAAGAATCTAGCTCTAAAAGTAGACCTAAGACGATGACGACAAGGACAATATGTTCCTAAGTAATTCTGGCCAGTTATCGGCTAAGATTGTTTATTTTCTGTGCAACTTTTAAAAAATTCTAATATTTTAGCCGCACGAAATATCCCGTTGCGTGATGCGTCTTGATTTAGCATAATAGAAGCTGCATGGATAAAAAATTAATTGCGCTAATTTTGAGACACTACAGATCTAATGCCAGAAAGAGTACTTGAAGTCCTCGACGCTTCCTATGTAGGAAGGAACCAAAAATATAAAAGCCCTCGAAAATGGCGATTCGAAAATAAGGATGACTAAATAAATATCATCAACATGATTCACAATAATGAGACATATGGTGCAATATACGAAATATCTTTTATCAATTATATACTATCCAGGGAACTGTATTAATATTAAAATGCTAAAGGAGTCGATGTGTATTGCAAGTAAAATATTAGGTAGATACCAAAGAGTATTAAAAAAAGAAATCATCGAAGTTTCGTCAAGTTATTGATGATTACTTTTAAAAGATCTTGTTGTCGAGCTTATACATAAAAATATATTTATGTAAATTCAAAGTCCATTCGGAATGGACTTTGGGACAACAGCAAAGAGAAAACATTTCTTTTAAATGATCGAGCGTACAAACGATCGGCATTAAATTTGCGGAACACTGCCTTAAATAATTAAAGTCAAAAGAGACAGGGAAAAGCAACAAGATTAGAGGAAAAGAGAAAGAATAAGTTATATGAGCAAAATAATGAAGAATCGTTTGATCGTTCGCATAATCGTTGACATTGGTCGTTGATCCTTTTAAGGATTATCGGATTGGCTGGTACATGATATTGAATCTTGTCTTTCTTTTTCAATAATAAATGAAAGACCTATTATCATCGGATAATTAAAGAGCCTGATTGCTCTCTTTTTCTCCCTCTTTCAATCCTCCCATCCTTTCACCGGCCACATGGCGAAACGTGACCGAGACGCAGTTAGAAGCCGTCAGAACTGCGGGTGTTAAAGGTCTCAGAAATTACTCATTACCTCCCACTCATTCTTGCTCTGTACCTCCGTCACCATTTACATATTATTATTTGACGCTCCGTATTCTTGTTGTTTGAATACTTTTCATTTGTGCTCATTCCATGTGTTCTCCCGCATAACCTTATCGAATTCTCTGTCACTGACAAACGTCAAGCGTCTTTTTTAACTGCTCAGTTGAGTTTTCACATTCTTCCCTTTCACTACTCTATATTGCTTTCTACCTGTAGTACCTCGACGATGAATTGTATATTTTTGTAGTATAGTGTGTAACACGTACGGTTTGATTCTCCTGACTGTGTGGTATTATCAGGTGTTTGTTTCTTTACGTATTTCGAACGAATTTCATCAGTGTCATTCTACATAGAATGAGTAAAGAAGTAATCCAGGATGTTGCATGTATGACAACAACGGTGCGTTTTTAGTTTTCATATATTAATATTCATTGATGAGTTATTGTCGGATATGACTATATTATTGCTCCTGGAATATTCCAAAGAAAATATTTGCTCAAGGTTGTCAGAGTTATTTTAGTTTGCTCTATCATATCATCTGCAGTTTAAGAAGAGATCATCCTTGTGCTGTTCTGCATTATAAACAGAGGCCTAATTAAACACAGTATAATTAGTGCAATCATAAATGTATTGACCATACTTAAAAAAAAAACGATAGGATAATAATATATGTATAACTTATCAGCATTGCAAATTATTTTGTTTTAAACACTTGTGATTTCATATTGGTAATTGCAGCCTGAATTGATAGTGGCTCATGGTTATACCGCTGAGGTACACCGTGTTTGGACTGAAGATGGATATTGCTTGGAAATGCACCGAATACCCCATAGGAGTTCTAGCAATCCTGTCTCAAATGAATATTTGCAAAACTCCATGGAGACATTATCAGATACTATCAGACAAAAGCCATCCCTTTCCAGTGGAATGTCAAAACCACCAGTGCTAGTGCATCACGGTCTCTTATCTAGTTCAGCAGATTGGGTTCTTCTTGGTCCAGAAAAAGCCTTTGGTAAATCAAATAAATAAAAGCATGATACAGTCAGCCATAACTGGAAAAACTTAATGATGTTGTAATCTTCTCGAATCAATGCAGTACAAAGTCCATGTGGGCTCTTGCCTGTTGATTGTTTTCATTCCATACATACTGTTTTATTATATTATTGCAGCATACGCACTTTGTGACAGTGGTTTCGACGTTTGGCTAGCAAATGCACGGGGTAATGCATATTCACAACACCATAAACAATACACTGTTAATGATAAAGAATTCTGGGATTTCAGGTAAACTTCAATGTGAGTTAACACATACATGTTATTTCGCAGTTCTCATATTCTTAATGTAATAATCATTGCAGTTGGCACGAGATTGGATATTATGACGTACCAGCTATGATAGATTATATCTTGGAAACTACAGGACATAATAGCCTTTATTACGTAGGATACAGTCAGGGTACAACTGCATTCTACGTAATGGCAAGTGAGCGCCCTGAGTATAACGCGAAGGTCAAGGCAATGATAAGTATGGCACCAGTAGCTTTTCTTGCAAATCAACGCAGTCCTTTTCTTAAATGCGTTGTTCCATTCCACGCGCTGATGAAGGTATGACGTTATTGTATTTGTATTTTTATGATTAAATTTTTTCTCTTTATCAATTCTACTCTAATTCTTACATTACAGTGGCCTTGTGTCACATTCAATTTGTATACTATTGACATTTTACAGTGGGGCTCTCTGTTTTGCAACATGCACCGATGGTTTCAACGCAGCAAATTGCAAACCAAGACGCTTTCCGGGAACGTTCCAAGTATGCTGGCAAAGACCATATGTATTTCCTGTTTAAATCTTGTGGCTGGATTCGGCAGTAATCAATTGCAAGACTCAATGCTTCCATTAATATTTGAGCACTTTCCAGCGGGATCCTCTGTAAGGCAGATTATTCACTACAGCCAAAGTATTATGTCAGGTAAATCTAAGAATCTTCCAATTTCTAAAAATAAAGATACTAACAGTACATAATGAATGTTATATCTAAAAATATTGTTGTGTTTCCAGGTACTTTTCGACAATATGATTACGGTGTGACAAAAAATCTCAAGTTGTATGGGTCAATGCACCCACCCAATTACAATCTCGAGAAAGTAAAGGTTCCAGTAAGCATCTTCTACAGTGAGAACGACTTTCTCACTGATCCAAACGTAAGCCGACTATAATAATCAAGCGTAAAATTACTTCCTTGGAACCATCTCGAACGATCTTTCATTTCAGGACGTGCAAACGCTTGCAGACAAACTGCCAAACGTAATTGCAAAGCACAAGATAGAATACAGAAAGTTTAATCACATTGATTATCTATGGGGTGCGGACGCCAAGACTCTCGTATACAATAACGTAGTTAAAATGCTGAAGCGTATGTAACATTAATCATTAACAAAACTAAAAGGAAAGTGTTGCTAACGAAGAAGGACACTATTTCTTTAATGATGCATTCGATAATACTTTGTCATTGTCTACCAAGTGGGTATCCTCGATACTAAACGTTAGTTAGTCATTGCTACAAAAAGTTTTTATAATTATAAAGCCTGTAAATAAAGCTGCGATATTTATTAAGAAATCATGAAAAAAGCAGTGCACCAGTTATCTACCCAGCCGGATAACATATCTGACCCGTTTCTACATTAGGATCGTCATTCAAATTTAATTAAGAAATTCTCCGCAAGGGGCGCTGCTCCGTTACGCGATGTCAGCCGCAAGATTGCTCAGTATCAATTTGATAGCGAAGGAGGATGTGTGTGTGTTCCTTGTATCACAGCTGGCGACTGTGAATAGTTTCAAGATAAATTTATACGATAGTGCTCCGAGCAGCTCCAACGTATATTGGAATCTGGACACATCTCATTCGAGAACAACAAACTTCTTCAACTTCTTAATATCATCCGACTGTAAACAGGGTACGTAAGCATCACAGAATCCCCTTCCAGTGTCGTTCCTGTAATACCCATGGACCATTCGATCGATACTCTCTGGATGACTCGATACACTTCGGATTGGGGTCGAGGTTCTTTTAATTTGGAAATTGCAAAGGCGTAACATACATTCCAAGAGTTGACACCAAATCCCAATGTAAGACTCTCATGCATTCAAAATTTATTAGTGCATCCAGCATTCTGTACATCTATATTTGTATGCTCCCCAGAAGGAATGTCAATCCCACTTAACGTATACTGAGCTTATTATATTTTTCGTGGCGACTTACGCAAGAATCCGCCCTCACTCTATTATATATTTCTCAAGGATATACAATTTTACTGCATGTATGCCAAGAGACAGTGGAACTATACGAAATAGTTAGCATATCTCCTCTGGGATTGTTTCATCATTCCCGCTAGAAGGTCTACGATGCGTGTAGTATACACCAATATCAATAGAACAAAGGCAAAGCTAACAAAGTGAGGACCGGAAGACTTGAATGTGAAACATTACAAATGAAAAATCACGCGTCAGCGTCTATGGAAAAAAAGGAAACTACTTCGTGCAGCAGGAAGCGTGCCTCTCATTAATTTGATTTCAATGTTAAATTGAATCACGGGCCTTCATTTCGCTAACACGTGTAAAGTCGGACATCAGTTTTCCACACCTGTGGCTGAATGTACTACGTCGGTACGTGCGAATGAGTTGAGACCCAGTCTTTGAGATCTACAGGTAGAAACAGCTTTCACTACGTGATATGGCTACAGGGAGAAATCGGTCGTGTGTACGTTTTCCCAGTCGAGCGATAATCAGTCAGAAAAATAAATACATGTCCCATGATGCATTTAATCAATGGATTTTGTATATCAAAATAATCACGTAGTTAGGAACAATAACAATGGAGTTTGACAGCTGATCAATATAAAAGATGATTCATTATCAGCTGATATTAATCTGGATTTTCATTCAATAGGTGAAACAATGCTTTTATTTTTCTCAAATATTGTTCATTGTTTGAAATAATCGGCTTATATATAATATATATAGATATATATTTTATGTGCTCTGATTATAGTAAATGTATAGTGAGAAACTGACACCGTTAGTCGGAGCGCTCTACTTGACAGCAACTCGAAGATTTCCTCTACTGCCTTTCTAAAAGTCGAATGCCATGGCGATGCTCTTTGCAATTCGTGGGAAGAACAGACGCCCGTTGCTCCAGAGAGTGTAGTAGAGAGTCTGGAGAAGGAGAGTCACTAAGAGATTGGCAATAAATATGTAAAAGGAGAAGGAGAGAGGGAGAGTGAGAGGAATGGAGAATTCGCAGTTACTCGAACTACGCATTTGAAAGTCAGGGCCGGTGGCTCACCCGACAAGAATCGAATTCCATGAGCGACCTGATGGAACTTCGTATCCACTATGTTTCTCTCTTTCCCTCTTTCCCTATCAGTCAAACTCGCTATCTCGCACTGCACGATATACTACGGGAAATCACGAAACCGGTGGGACGAGTTCCCATGCCAGGAACGTCACATCCCGTACTCCAGGCTATTAAACCGGAGTCCTACGTCCGTGGGACCATATGGAGAGGAGCTTCATGCACGACGTACTTATTTTGCAATAATGTGAGGTCAGAGTTCATACAATGTGTTACCCTTACTCTGACAGTCGTGTTCATCGATCTCAGCCCCTAAGTTGACCTTTGCTAGGGGCAACGATTCCGAGACAAAAATAAACCTCTGCGTCACCAACCCCCCTGGACTTCCACCGTAACTGCTATGGAAAGAATTTTTACTCTTCTTGCTGAAACTGTACCGTGTAAAAAATTCGTTCATCTAAACGCAAACGATTGGATCAGAGTCAGCATACGAATTGTTAACTGAATTCATGCATTTTGTACTCGTAGGTGCATCGAGAATAAGAAAGGGTTAACTGTGGAATTCATCGTGCCTTACGCAGTCACGTCACGGACCAGAACGTGACGGTATGCATGATATGATGCATGTATTAAAAATAAAAAATATTAATCTTTTTCTTCCTTCTTTTAGAGTCATTAAAGCACTCTTCTCTAATTCTACAATAATCTCCCTGCTGTCCAGCCACAATATACGTGCATAGAAATGCACCGTGAAGAGGCACGATAAAAGCTAAGTAGAGGACTGAATAGGTGGATTCCTTGCGTATGCCCGTACTTATACTCAAAGGAGATTGTACTTTCGTCCCTTCGACAGTGAGATTCTAGCACGATTGAACATTCAAGAGATGCCGATCAGAAAGAGAGAACAGAGAAAGAGAGAGAGTACCCGATAGAACCCCACGTAATACTATCTCCGTGTATTCAGGATACACACGCATGTCTTCATTCCTTTATGTCAGAAAGACGGAGTGGGAGAGAGAGAGAGGTCTCAGGCTCAAGAAAGAGCGAGAGAGAGGGGAGGGCAAGAGATAGTGGGAGAACTGTATACACGAACCATCGTGAATCTCCAGTCGAAAGGACCCGATCAGTACACTCGTCGGTGCCTCGAGCGATTCTTCAAATTGTTGTTTGCAGTTGTGTAATGTGTACAAAGACTTTAATATATCTTTATCAGAACTTTTAATTAATTTTAAAATTCGACAAGTTTATAAAACCTAATCAAAGGACAATTTTGAAGACCTCGTGAATACTCGACTGCGTCAAACACATCAGGTATACTATATATATACATGTAAATATCAAGAATGCTCTCGAGATATCATATCCATATTACAATTGAATAATAATGTATTCTGTTATCACGTCACGCTTTATAATTAGTTTTAGCTAACGAGCATATGGATTAACATTATATTCTTTTCTTCGATACGAAATTATGTATCTTCGTAAGAAAATCATTGTAACCAGAAGAATGAAGAAAGATCATGGAACGATCCAAGGCATTTTGAATCCACGTACTGTACTGTAACTATACAGAGTCTGCCTGGCGTGAAATGAGATTTACACGGACATAGTTTGTACGGCTACGAAGAATCTCAGCAATATATATATAAACATATATATATATCTATACACATTCTCCATACTCAATGTGAGAGCTTGGTTCTCGGTCACACGCTCAGCAACCAACAGTCATTATAACTCAATGGCGTTTTGAACCAGAAGCCTGACTGTGTATGATAATCTTGTACAGCATATTCCAGATGCATAAAGTATATACGTGAGATCTAGCCTACATGTTTGCGTACGACCGCCTGGGTAATTGACACTGACTCGTGATAGTACGGAATCTATATTGCTCGAGTAGCGGGTGTCCGGCCGTACCACTCGCCGACTGTTTGTGCTCGGGATCGGCGATATAGCCATGACGCAATTCCTCATCGCGATTCCCTCCTACGTACTTTTCCCAGAAAAAATAACTCCTACCGGGACTCCCGCCATCCCGTTATACATATAGTACCGTGAATGTACGATATGCTTGAGGTTTTTCAAAAAATTTGTCTCTTGTTTAAGTGTTACGTTATATATATGGATCGATTGGGGAAATCGTTTGACTGTTATTTAGATTTCTCATTGTTTCCGTTATCTTCTTGAACCGCTGGAATTTTCCTGTACTCTCCGTGCATTGTGTTATTATTACTGTCTTGCGCCATTGTATAATGTTATATAAAATAACGTGGGAATGCTCGGGGACGAGCCAGGAAAGGGAGGGGAGGAAATTATAGTTAATTGTTAATGGAGGTTGAACATTTTTCAAACGAGTCTTGAAGGATTTTTCAATTGTTGTCTCTGCAATTGTGTATGTCACGTGACTCCCTTAGTCGATTGCTGTAGTTGGCTGGTTGATTAATTCAGTGTCTTAATTGTAGATTTGCAAATGGACGGATAAGCCAACGTCGGGCAAGGATGAAGGCAGCTGAGCAACAGCAGCAGGAACACAACTCGATGGATTCGAGTGAGTCTGTTGCCGTCGGTGGCGAATACGCCTATCGACCTCTTACTACTAAGCACAGACGGGCTGGGAGCACGGGAACCACCGGAGACGAGGAGTACACCACCGACGAGGATGAGCTTTATGCCGACGAGACGGATTGTGCTGGTACCAATTTACATCCGCATCCTATACTCAAGTCGGACCTAGCTAGAGCAGCTACTGATCTGTTTGGTTACGCTAATAAGAGGGACGATCAAGATGAGGAACCTACCAGTCTCTTTGACGAGGAGGATAGCAGTAAGGCTCATCAAGCTAGAGATGCCGATGCGGATAAGGCACCATCCCCTTTCACGTACAACGAGGAACACAATTATGCTATATTATCGAAACAGCAACAACGAAATTCGCCTACTCGCGAGGGTTCTAAAAATTTATGTAATTCCGTGGAATCGAAAAACGATGTGAAATCTCATGAGGAGGAATCTGTCGATCAGGTCAATAGACCTGGAGACTTTAGAATAGGAATTGAGTCTAGTACTGATGTGTCGGTATCTTCGGTAACTGTTGTGGACGTGCCAATTCCTGAGGGTGCAAGAGAGAGTCAGGAATCTCATAGAAAGTCCTCGCTTCCCAGTGAGACAAGACAGCAAATCGAGTCTGAGGTATTTCTTATCAGGGGTATTTAATTATGAGAGACTAGAAAGAGTTTGTGTTTTACTGATTTCTTTTTTTTTTTTTTTTGTGAAGGTTGAATCTCAAGCGAGGCAGGAATTGTGTATGTCGAGAACAATGTTCCTGGAGAACGACGGTCCGCCGTCCCCAACGACTGTACAGTGGGAAAGAGCTGTAGCGGAAGTGAAGGGACATGCAGTGGCTAAACTGCAGGACGAGCTCAAGAGAGCTCACGAGGAATTGAAACTCAAGGACGAAGAAGTGGCCAGACTCTCAAGAATACGGCAAGACGTTGAGGCGGAACTCGAGGAGCTCACCGCGAGTCTCTTTCAGGTATGTCACCACATGCTTACTTTCTCCTGATACATAGATCCTCTACGGGTACTCTAACCTAGTTATTAAATGTAATTCATGCACTACTGAAGGAGGCTCACAATATGGTGAGAGAGGCGAACGTGCGACAGGCTACTGCCGAGAAGCTTCTTGCTGAAAGTCGTATGAAGAATGAAGTTCTCGCGGCTGAAGTGGCTGCTTTGAAAACTCTGGTGCTTACCTCGACGCCCGCCAGGCCAAATCCACATTTGCATCCGCAAATTGATACCAGAGGAAGATCCGGAGATGACGGGCAACAACAGGGACTCTTTGCAAAGAAACATCGAAGATCGCCTTCGCATTTCAATCTCAAGTATGGACGAGAAAACTCACCTCCGGACTCGCCGGTCAAGGAACAACGAGCTTCACTGCCTAGCGACAGGGATATATTTGAACGTGACAGGGAAAGGGACAACACCAAGGAAAGGGATCGCGATAGGGAACGGGAGAGAGACAAGGAAAGGGATCGCGAGAACAGAGACTACGGACTTGAGGTTGATCCTCGCGTGCACACGGAATTTCTAAGGTGGAAGTTAAATCCTTCTGTCGATAAGAGCGATCCTTTTGTGGCTAGGATGTTCCGGGAGGATATAGATCTCTGTTTAGACTTTGCCAATAGAGAACTTGGTGCTAAGGTTAGGCAGGCCGTCTTGGATGGGATCATCTTCATCGAAGCTATCAGTGATAAAAGCAAACTCGCTTTTCCCAAGTAAGAATCTTTTTGATATCTTAGCTTTTGATTAACTTTAATCTTAATCATTGTGTTATCGCGTTTTCCTTTATCTTATTATTTCTTTTACAGGAAGTGCGCACTTCTGGAAGCACCCCGACAATGTCACTACCGAATGAGATTAGGAGACCAGGAGAACCAGTGGCACTGTATCTCACAAATCTGCCGCAATCGAGTGAGTTCTCTACGTTCCATTTAGTATGGGATCTTCAAGCGGCGACATTCTTAGTCCATTTCAATATATTATAGAATTGTCTACGTTAACTTGCAGATCATAGCGGTTTGCGATTTTCTAAACTACCTACGATACATCAAACGTGGCCTTGTCAAAAGTTCAGGTGAGCTCTTGGGACAGGAATTGAACGGTCATTTAGTATCGTTATTAATGTCTCATAACAGTTCTTAAGTTGCCCAGTAATTTTAATTAATGAAATTTACTTTTCAGTCCATGACATTTACTGGGAGATTACTCGATTACGAAAGGAAATGGTTTTCGCACGCTTGGGCTTAGCGTTGTCTTCTTAAAGTCCTAATATCCACACACGCCTAGTCGAGCGTTCTTTGCTGAGATACATTTTGCTATATTATTGCTGGTCCATCATCCCTATCTGAATCAAAGGGACCCCATACATATTCTGGGATATAAAATTATCAGAAATGCAATGCCATCATTGAAAATGGCCACGCAGCCATATACCGTATAGGGAGTACAGAATCTTTTGAAACATTTTTTAACGACATAATATATTCTTCTTTTGTTATATCGCTATCTATCACAAGGACAGTGCGATAATGATTAATTTTAATTACAAGAAGTGTTCTGAAGCGATAACGAACTGACCAGGAAAAATTATTTGATACATAAAATGAAAGCAGAGGAACAGGAGATTACGAGGAACAAAGGATAGTACTGAGAGTGAATGATTGCGCAATCTAGGAGAGAATACATGACTTGTTATTATTACATTACTCGACATAAATTTATAATTGTTTCATCACGTCGTTATGAAAACGCGAGGATTTGAGAAATTGTAAATAATATATAATACTCTGTGCATCCTCAGGGTATGATTTTTGCCATTTTTTTTATTCTTGGCAAAAAATCTGTCCGGGACATAGGAAATGGAAGCTCGCCGAATCATCGGTATATAAATACTATATAACATTCTACCATGTATATATTATACGAATGGAGGAAATTTAGAATTTTTTTTAATCATCGTCACAAAGTGACAAGAACTTCTTTGCCTTGATAAAGAACCAAAAAATATTAAGATTTTGACATCGGGCTCATTTTATTTTCCCAAAGGTGAATGTTTTCCTTCGTCTGCAAACATTCCGAATTACTTGATAATTTGCGTCAATCATTTTCCAAGAGACGATTGATGTTATTTGTCTTCCATATTTAATACCCATGTAATCGGACTGCAGACAGGTAAAAAAGAAATAATATCCTTCAATTTTGTTTTTCGCCACGCAATCGACCTAGTTGCAATTGCCAAATCTGCGTATTTTATTGCAGTGTAGGAAAGTTGTACCGACTCAGTGATACTAGTGTACGTTTTTATGTAGAGAAATTATAACATTTGTGAATTATTAATGTGTGATACATATTGTAAATATTATATAACTTTGGAAAGTCTCTGATGAATCTCTTGTATTTAATGAAGGAATTAATAAATATTATTGCCATTATGGAAGTCTAGATCTAGACGCGGGACTGTTGTAGGGTACTCCAGACTGAATTAAAGTTATAATTCATAAAGTCTGGTGCATGATATACTATTAGCAGAGATGCTATTAGAATCTCTGCTTTTAAAATGATTTGACAGTATTTATATAGCATATATACTTAAATAATCGAATAGAGCTACTTTGGTAAACAGCTGTGCTCAAATATATAGTACGGCTTATGACGTCAAGCTGCGCGTGTAAACGTCAAAGAAAAAGTTAAGAAGACATATTAAATCTATTTTATATTCAGCACACAGACGCGTTATTATTTGAGTTCTATAATACATACGTGCATCAAGTATTGAAGATAAATATTTGTATAATATTTAATAATGGGACGACTGGCAGAGGTAAGTAATATTTCTTCATAACCTCAAAACCCTATTTGTGTGTATGCACGTGGATTGATTCATTGTGTCTTCTGTGACAGCTTGCTGGTGATGAGGATACTGGGGATAGGTGCAGAACATTTGTGTTTCAAGATGAAGGACATACTTTGGGAAATGCTTTAAGGTCCATAGTATCTCGATAGTAAGTACAATGATTTTATTAAATATTTTTGTTTGGTAGTCACTTAGGATGTTCTTTGTCGACAGTCCTGAAGTATTGTTCTGTGGATATACTGTACCACATCCGGCTGAAACCAAGATGCACTTTAGGATACAAGTGTCTAATGGCAGAGCAATTGATGTTTTAAGAAAAGGGTTAGAGGATCTTGAGAAAGTTTGTGATCATACTAGTAAAACATTTGAAGCAGCCTGGGAAAGCTATAAGAGTGAGCATGTGGCATAAGATCAATAAAACAGAATAATTCTTATAGATATTTGTAATAAATGCTATAACTTATGACCATTATTTTATATTTTTTATGTAATATTGGATTAGTGGAAATGAGGGTGAATAAAAAAAAGTTTGTTCCATGGAGGATCAGTTTATTTTTAAGCAACCTCCGCATGCCTCTGGCCAGTTACAGGACGATGATTTTTGGACAGATAATCTGCATGCTCCTGATAAGGCGCCTTAGTCAGGGGCAATTCCTTCCACAAATCAGGAGTTAGGTAGGCGTATGTCTTGGCAATGGCTGCATATGTAGCCTTGGCAAAGTTACCCAGAGTACCAGTAGAGCCTCGAGCAGACGTGTAGCAGTCTTCAATACCAGCCATCTGAAGTAACTTCTTGGGAACTGGAGCCGAAACAATTCCAGTTCCTCTGGGTGCAGGGATCAACCGCACCTGGACTGAACCACACTTTCCAGTAACCTTGCATGGAACTGTATGGGGTTTCCCGATCTTGTTACCCCAGTATCCACGACGTACTGGAACGACAGAGAGTTTGGCCAGGATAATAGCACCACGGATGGCAGTGGCTACTTCTTTGGAGCATTTAACTCCCAAGCCGATATGGCCATTACTGTCACCAATAGCAACAAAGGCCTAAAATCAAACAAAAATGTAAGTAATAGAAAATCAAAATTTTTTAATTGAATTATTTACCTTGAAACGTGTACGCTGACCAGCCCTAGTCTGCTTCTGAACAGGCATGATCTTGAGAACCTCATCCTTAAGGGAGGGTCCAATGAACATATCAATGATCTCATACTCTTTGATAGGTAAGGAGAAGAGATAGATTTCCTCAAGAGTGCGAATTTTTCCATCCTTTACTAGACGCCCTAACTTAGTAACAGGGATCCATTCCTTGCTATCTTCCTTGCCACGACCACGGCCACGGCCTCTACCTCTTCCTCCGCGTCCTCGTCCACGAGGACCTCCACGATCTCCACCTCCTCGCGAGCCAAATCCTCCACGGAAACCACCACGTGCGGCTGGAGCAGCGTCCGCCATTCTGTAACAAGTATTATCTGAGCATAACTACAGATATAGAAACGGCATGTGGCTCATCGAAAACTCTAATTTCCTACAAAGATTGCGCGCTCTTTATGTAATAATTAGAAAAATCTATTAAAACTCAATATTATTTACTCAGTTAAATAAGAAAAGGGCCGATATATAGTTAAAAAATAGTTAAAATTCGAGGAGAGCACTTACGTTACTTCTTTCTGCAGAATATGGTCACGAAAGAAAGAACGCTTTTCACTAGGGCGCCACTAATAAAACGATAGTTGGATAACAAAAGTGGCGACATCTCCATAGGAATGCCTCAAACTTCTTAACAATATTATATTCCACCTAAAAAGACTAATCATCTATCATCAATACAACTCAAAGAGAGAATTCAGCTTTTTCTTTGCAATTTCAAAGAGTTTTATAATGATCTAACTCATATTATATAAAATATACTTTAGTTTGTGATTACCGCATTTAAAGAGGCAACAATTTCTAGATAGCTTATGTAGCGTCATCTCATCGTCAAACCGCGAACTTTTCGCAGCTTCGATTTTAGCTTTACAATTTGTTTTTCATTTTATGAAAACATCTTTATATAACAAGTAAAATTTGATTTTCTCTCGGATATTAACAGTTGGAAATCAGAAATCCTGGCCAAGAATATTTAGAAGTACTGAAAATTGCCCAAAATTGTGTACGCGCAACTTCGCCACGCAGGACTCGGCGAGTGGGGGGGAGTGGGGGAAGCGACGAAGACAGCGCCCGGACTCCGAGCGCTCATTCTTCCTCGAGCCGGTCTCCTATACTGGTCTCTTGGAAATACCCCTCTCTTATATTTTCAACCTTCTTCTTTTTCTATATTTATTTCTTTATCCTTCATTCTTTACTTTCTAACTTATCTCTTCCCTCGTTTCTTCTTTACTTTTAAAACTCTATTCCTTACTTTTCTACATTTTGACTTCTTAATTTCTATTTTCATTTCTGATTTCTCGTTTGACTCTGTTCCCTCTCAGTTTCCATTGTGCTTGTATTACTTTTTCTATATTTATTTCTTCTTTACTTCCTTATTTCTTTATATTTCATTCTTTACTTTGTTATTCATCTCTTTCCTTGTTTCTTCTCTACTTTTTGACTTCTTCATTTCTATCTTCATTTCTGATTTCTCGTTT